AAAAGTGATTGCCTCTTTAGCTTCCTAATATAAGCGAATGATATGCCATCCTGTGACTCACATCAGTGTAATTTCCCTGAATGGTATGGAGTGCTCATCAGATCATGGGCAGGATCTGTGAATACCAGTAAATTAAACACCTCTATTTACAGGGATGGCGAACAGGAGGGAAACTGGCCATCAGCTCGTGGTGCTCTTTTTAGCATTTCTTATCTGGATGAAATTGCTTCTCCTCCCTTAGATGTAAAATGCAGAGGTTACTGCATTATACATAAGGGTAGGGAACTGAAAATTTTTCCATCAAGAACCATGAATCAATAAATCTTATGATCTCACTACTGGTGCTATAATTGAGCTAAATCATCTGAAAACGGGCACTGTTCCTGAGGTTCTTTGAAGCATGCTCACTGTTTCTCTGAGTTAACACTGAGAGCTGACCTCCATTTACAGGGATGCGGAGGCAGGGCTCATAAATACTAATCTTCTGTACCAAGTTCACCAGAGCAGGGGTGTCACACCCAGGCCTGTCAGGGTTCAGTGCATGATTTAACTCAGAAGAGAAGAGGAGGTCTTGGCTGCACCCGCCAGCTTTTGCCAGTGACTGAAGGGCTTCTCCGTGGTACAAAAGCTGCTGCAAACTGGAGGCTGTTAATTACCTTTTTTTTTGGGGGGGGGGTATCTGTTTCTTAGAAGGCAGATTCCTGAGTAAGCAGCAACTCCGCGTGTTGTACAAAACGCTGCCAAGTGGGTTTCAAACAGAACTGGGCTCTGTCTGGCGAGAAGTCACTGTTCTTGTCCCTTTCGTTTGTGTCTTATACTGAGTCAGTTCACGATAACTAACTAGTCGACATCTGCCCCATGATTCATGATGATGTTAGAAATGAGAAATTATAACATGTGGCCCTCATCAGGCCCTCTCCATGCCTGGCGCTCAGCTAAGCATTTATGTGCAACATTTCTCTTCTTGCCTCTCAACAATCCAGGGAAGGAGTTTGTCCTTAATCCTCTTGTAAAGATAGGGAAACTAAGGCCAAATGAAGGTAACCAGCTTGCTCAAGGATGTGTAGTCACAAGTAGAGGAGTCGGGGGGCGCCTGGGAGACTCAGTTGGTTAAGCGTCTGCCTTTGACTCAGGTCATGATCCGAGGATCCCGGGATCGAACCCTACATTGGGCTCTCTGCTCAGCGGAGAGTCTGCTTCTCACTCTTTTTCTCCCCCTGCTGCTACTCTCTCTCTCTCTCTCTCTCTCTCTCTCTCATTCTCTCTCTAATTTAAATAAATAATTTTTTTAAAAAAAGTAGAGGAGTTGGAATTTAGTCTCAGGTGGTCAGACTACACAGTGGTGGGAGGGACGCAGCAGTCACCTTGCTAGGCAGCCTCCCCTCACAGATGAGCCCCCCAACCTCCCAGAACCTGCAAGATGGAGACTTGCTTGGAGTCTGCTGTCCGGTTCCAGGTACAGCTAGAAGCACCTCTTGATGTCCTACCAACACCTTTCTCATTACGTCCCCAGGGACCAGACTGCGTCCCCTCCTACCACCCAGCCAGACACCTGTCCGCATCTCTTCTGAGTGCTTACTAAATGTGAGTGCATATCGAAAACATTTCTAAGACCCTTTGAGAAATGCCTGCAGAGGATCCTGGAGGCTATGGGGAGAAGTAATAGACCATGTGATGCAACTGCAAACATTAGAAACAGAGGAACAAACTTAAAAGTAAATGAATAGCAGGGAATTGGAAGACAGAGCTTAGCCGAGACTTGGATGGGACAGTGGAGGCCTTGTCCCCAGGGTGGCACAGACATGTCAAGTGGTGTCATCGTGTCATCGTTCATGACTGACATCAGATATGTTATTGTCTTCAAAATAGCAAAGATTAACTGACACTTGAGAACTTTCCAAAAAAAAAAAAAAATTAACCCCTGGGATTAAGAACAGTGTGATGTGCAGAGCCTGAAATGATGCAATTAAGCCATGCTCCGCACAGTCGGGTGGCTTCGATGGTAGCAGAAGTGCTGAATTTGAGGGATTTTAAATGCCCTTAAAATTAGGCCTGACTGCAGATGGGGTGGTGCTGTTGTTCTTGTGTTAGTGGTAGGACCAGGCCCTGTGGTGGTCCTGGAAAGCCAGGAGTCCAAGGGGCCCCATGTGGGAACTTTGTAGTCCTGTCTGTGTTGACCGCAGAGTCGATGGCTTTAGGCTGGAACTTCTTTCTCTATTTCCAGATAGTAGGAGGTCCCCACACATCCTTCTGGGTTTGGGCAGGAGCACCTGGGATGGCAAGAGGTCAGAGGTGATGGCAATGCAGGTTAGTGGGAACAGGAGGGGTAGAGCCAGACCTGCAGTCAGGAGCCCCGGGGGCAAGATTTTGCTGCCTCTCAGACCCACCTCACGACCTCATGTGTGTCCCTAATGCGCTCTGAGCCCCAGCTCCCTCATCTGTAAACTTGGGATCATAAAATCCAGTCAAAGCTAACTGACACAGAACACATTAAAAGGGCTCTGTAAGGGCAGCCCCGGTGGCTCAGTGGTTTAGCGCCGCCTGCAGCCCAGGGCTTGATCCTGGAGACCCGGGATTGAGTCCCACGCTAGGCTCCCTGCGTGGAGCCTGCTTCTCCCTCTGCCTGCGTGCCTACGTCTCTGCCTCTCTCTGTCATGAATAAATAAAATCTGTAAAGAAAAAAAAAAAAGGCTCTGTGAGCAAAGGAGTGGTCCTTGCTCCTTGATGTGACTTATCTGCTCCAGTACGGGGCACTTCCGTTGTCTCAGCCCTGTTCTCCCCCAATGCCCTGTGAGTGGGTCCAGAGTGCGTTTGTGCAGGCCGCTCATTCTGAGACCCCAGGAGCAGAATGGAGCCTGGACTCCCCACCGCCTAATGGAAACATGAACTCTTGGCCTTTTTCTCATAGAGGCTGGGATTCCCTTTAGGGGTCTGAGCACCGCTGCAGCCTCCGTGGGCTCATGCCCCGTGGCCCAGACTCCACATGCCATGCCGAGCTTGCCTCTGACACTACCCACAGCTCTTCCTCATGGCTCCCTGCTGCCTTGCTGCACGGGTGTCACATGCTGGCCTGCTCTCACAAGTGCAATTAAGAATCATCTTGTTGAAAACAACTGTTAAAGGGAAAGCAGGATTTAGAGCTCCATCATCTATGACAGTTTTAAGCAATAAACTAATGGTAATTGGATTCATGAGTTTTTTTTGTAATTTCTTTTTTTTTAAGATTTATTTATTTTAGAAAGAGAGAAAGAAGGTGAGGAGAGGGGCAGAGGGAGAGAATTTCAAGCAGACCCGGTGCCGAGTGCAGAGCCCGACGTGGGGCTCAACCTCACATCATGACTTGAGCTGAAATCAAAAGTCAGATGCTTAACTGACTGAGCCACCCAGGCACTCCTCTCTGTGATTTCAAGGCATTTGCCACTCTGAAAAGAGAGATTCCTTTTCAAATATATACAGCCCAAACCGTATCACTTAAACTTTAATCTTAATAGTATTCATAAACTCTTTATGGTGAAAGTCCTATAAGCCCGTACAGTGTTTGAATGTCACCCTTAATGAAGGTTGATGAATCAACATAGGTTACACTGTCCCAGAAACCCTGGAGTAGATAGAGTGCAGCCAGCACGAGTGAGCAGGGGGCTTAGGGCAGGTACTTGTCCTGTGGTCTCCAAAGGAAAGGAGAACCAAACAAAGGTAAGGGTTGGGGCAGCAACAAAATGAAAGAGGGGTTACCTTTTGCCTGCCTTTTAAGAATTTCTCATCATCTGACCACTGAAATTCCAGTGGTGGACAGAGCAGACTGATTTTTTTTCCATAATCAGATTCTTTTTTCCATAATCAGATTTTTTTTAAATCAATCATAACTGACATACGTCACGTAAACATAAGATGTGCAACCTGTTGGTTTAATACATTCGTATAGTGCAGTATGATTACCACGGCGGCATCAGCCAGCACTTGTAGCGTATCATGCGTTTATCGGTTCCTTTTTTGTGTTGAGAAGAGTTGATTCAGTCGCTTAGCAACCTCGAAGTTCGTAATACCTTATTATGGACTGTAATCACGGTGTTGTGCATGAGATCTCCAGGACTGACTTATCTGCTGGTTACAAGTTTGTGCCCTTAAACAGAAGCTCCCCAACACTTGTTCCCCAGCCCCGGGTAACTGCCATTCAACTGTTTTCATAGGCTCCGTTTTTCCGATTCCACATATAAGTGATGTTGTACTTTGTTGGTCTTCCTTTGTGAGAAGACTGACTTAGTTTCTGGCGCTTTCTCTAACATTTTTTTTCACTATAGTGTTTCTTAACAATCAACCTACTGATAGGTTTCCAACCTATTACTTGGAAACATCTTTGAAAAGGCACTGGTCTTGGAGAATGAGCAGAAACCCTTTTCAGGAATCATGTCCATGATCCTTCATATGATTTTCAGATGTTAGGCCTGCATTTTTGTCTGCCTGCCCAGATATTGGTCATCATGGCAGTCGGGCCCCTGGTGCTCGGTGGTGTTTGTGTGTTTCCAGCAGGCTTGATGCCGCCTGGCTGGGGTGGACTTGGAGGACTGCAGGAGGCAGTGGGGCAGAAGGAGGCCCCGAGGCTGATGAAAGGAAACCAAATAGCATACTTGGTGGGAAACATAGAAACAGCGATGAGCTACTTGAAAATAATAAACAAGTGTTGTAGACACTGTAGACATTAGATGACATAAATCATAAAACATGGTGGGGGAGAAAATGGGGAGTTTTGTCAAGAATCTTCAGAATGAGTGGATTAGATTCGTAGACTGGACCACACTAAAAATATTTACTTGATGTTGGCATTTAGTATTGACAGTTCAAGTTGAAATATGTTTGTCATACTTCTTCTTCGTGCTAAAATAAAGATGACACCCAAGCCATCAGTTTTTCTTCCCCCTTGAAGTCCTGGGCAACAATGCCCCATAAATGTCAGAACAACGGATGCACAGTGTCTGACTTTCCCCTGTGTCTTCTCCCTACAGGAAATAGGCCGAGCCCTCCGCCCTACGGGTTCCATCTCTCACCAGAAGAGGAGATGAGAAGGAAGAGGCTCCACAGATTTGACAGCCAGTGAGGTGGCACAGCATCTTGGACAAGAGTGGTCCAATTGCGTGTTGACCACCCATTTGGTTCATCCCCCAAGCCCCAACTTCACACCAAAGCAGAGTGCAGCCTTACCTGCCGTCTGTTTCTGCTCATCGTCCCATGGCCTCTTTGGGTCTCCATGCACCAGCACACCGACTTGTCCGGAAACCAGCCTTCTGGATGCAGCTCACAGCCCTCAGGAAGCGGCCCTCCTGCTGGCCTGGTCCCCCTCATGGGCAAAAGGGCATTTCCTCCACGCAGGGACCGGTCGCCACATGCCTCTCTCATGCTGCTAGCTCAGCGGTGCCTCTGCCTTGTTCTCTTTGTGAAGACTATGACTTTCTCCAGCTTGGGAGATCGCACCCCCATTCTTCCCAGCGTGCCCAGTATTCAACCTGGCCGGAAGTGACAAGCCATCCCCAGTCCTCCCTGACACGTTGCCGTGATGACATTCCAGGAGCATCATGTGGCTCCTGTAACAACGTTATTGGGGTCACCCCTGCCCAAGTGCCTTGGCTCCTCAGGCCCTTACGCCTGGGTGGTGTTGACTGTGTACCGACTTTGTTTTTATGTGGCTCTGCCTTTATGAGTGTTTGGCTGGAAAAGCTTGGGTAGGACCTCAGGTGGGTGATCACTACACACTCTGTTAGATACCAGGTGGCACCGACATTTCAGGCTCACAGCAGCCTCTCCGGTGACAGGATAGGTTCCCAGAGATGGGACCCGTGTTAGCTAACCAGTCAGGAGGGCAGCAGCAGGTGCTACAGGCAGAGTAAAGCAAAGTCGTTCAAGTGGTCACTGAGAAATCCCTCTTGAGATGGGTTTTTTTTTTCCCCCTCATAAAAAGTGCCTTTTAAATGGCCACCGTAACAGCCACTTGTCCTGCCCAGGTGTCCAAGTTCCCCCGGGCCCCCTGCAGTGTTAGAACCACAGGCCGTCCACGGCACTCAAGGTGGGTCCTGGTGCTTGTGGTTCGTGAATACAAAGACCAAGTCAGGTATCACCGATGCCCTGTTGTCACTGAGATATTTATTTCTAAAGAGAGTTGGAAGCCCAAAAGGATCCTCCTGTTTTCATGTATGTTTCTAACATTTGTATATAGTTTTCTGATTATAAAAGTAATATATCTGCCTTATCTATGCATAAAGCAAAATCTGAAGGAAATATACATTAACTGAGCTTATCTTTGGGGGTTAGAGCACGTAGGATTTTGCTTTCTGGGTTTTTTTATGATTTTATACTGCAGTCTTTTTAAAATGTGTGTATTTGTATGTATATGTATTGCTTTTGCAATCAGGAAAACTGATTTATGTGATAGTAAAGCAAGAACTATACAACCAGGAGAACAGAATAAGTACTAGGTCTCCGCTGAGAAAAAAAAATCACAATACAAAAAATACAAATCCATGTACAACTTTAAAATCATAAATCAACTATCTTCTCACCACTTTAGGTCCCCAAGGTTAACATTTTGGGGACATGACTTTCTCACTTTTTCTTTGTACATGTGTGACAAGCTTGGAGCCTCCCAACTCTGCGGCTTGGTGTCTGGCTCCTGATCTGAACGGATCTAGGAGGAGAGGCTCTGACACCTGCGTACAAACAAGCAAAGAAAACCCGCGAGTCCTGGGAGCACTTTGACCTGCGCAAGGATACCTGGGCTCCGCGGTTTAATTTATAACCGATGTGACGCTGCTTGCAGCCTGTTTATAATATAAATCATATCTGCGAGTCCGGTAGCCTTAAACATGTTAAAATGTTCAAGTTAAAGGTCATTTCTCTCGCTCCCAACCTCTACGGGTTTGACTTCCATTCCCCCGTTAGACGCACCCTCATTCTTACACTGTCTTCTCCTGGCGGGAGGTGAAGGTAATTCTGTGATAGCACTGATGTCTTGCCATGTTATTGATTGTGCACAACTGCACAAATATGTGCCTTCGACGCGGGGAGCGTAGACTGTGTGAATGGCTCGGGGACAAGGACGGTGTCTTATCTTTCTGCACTGTCCCTCTCTCCCCGGCCACCACCCAAAGGCTTGGCCCCGGCTCCTTGGAGGCACTCACTGAATGTTTTCCCACCAAAGTCCAACCACTGTTTATGGAAGTATTTTTCTTAACTGCTGTTGAGTCTGGTAGGAGTTCGGTGTAGTAGCTCCTCACTCTATCTGTATACAGGTAGACACCATTGTTGTATTCTGTGTGGCATGAGTAATAAAATACGCACACCTTCTTTATTTATGGAGTGGAACATCACTCGACTTTCGAGATGTGGGAAAGGTCATCCTAGTTATAAATAAAAACCAGTTAGCACAACAGCGAAGCTGTTCTGGAAATCCTTATGGTTACTTTATTCCTGATAGACTAGCCTATGGCCAATGCTTCTTATTTTCAGTTTCCATCTTCTATTTTTTCCTGCAATAAGGAATCCACAAGGCTATGTCCACAAACTGGAATTGGGTTGAGAAAGACAAAAGCAAGTGTATTAGACTAATTACTTCTAATGGAGAATAAGCATTTAGGGCTGTTTTAATAATTTGGTTGGTAGTTGGGTTAATAGCAATTTCCCCATTGTCCATTAAGCACCCAGTTGCCCTACTTTGGTTGCGGTCAGCCAACTTAGGAGAACTCTCAGTTCAGAATCTTCCTGAAGGGTGAGGGGATGGTTACAGTGGCTTCCTGGTAATGACCTCGAGTGCGCTGCCTGTGATGCCAAGGTCGTACATGCTAGTTTGAGTTCCCTCCATCCTTTGAAGCCCTGTGCTGCCCACGCGCAGGCCAGCAGCGAGTGGCAGGGTTTGGTAGGAGCAGAGCCAGCCTACGTACCTGACACTCGTTCTGCCCCTGGGGGGGCCGGTTACATAAGAGATGAGACCCGCCACCCAGGACAGACCGTGAGACGGTGTGACAGAGCTGGCCTCCTCGCTCCCAGGCTTCGTTCCTCCTGAGAGCTTCAGTATCAGGTAAATCACTGTATTCAGCTGGACACGTTTAGCAAACCTTGTACGTACAGCTCTTCCTTTCCCTTCCCATGGAGCACTGCGATCCTTTCCTGCCCCACCCCACCCCCAGTCTTGCATTTTAGAACCACGGACTCTATGTAGAGGACCTGTTAAGGTCTCTCAATTCCTTGCTCTACTCAACACTTAAAATACCTCTTCCCTCAGCTCCTCCAGTTAATCTTCCAAAATTGACCCCTGTGCTGGGCACTCCTCACCTCCGTAGCCTTTATTGTCTCTGTTGCAAAAGCATGAAAGTCACACTCCACAGGCTCGACCATGAGGCTCCAGCCAGCCTTTCCACCTCATCCCCAGTTACCCCTAACGGTCTGTGCATCAGCTCGCTGGCCTCCCCCACAGAGGCAGGAGCTTTCCTGCCTCTGTGGCTTAATCGCAAGGTGCTTTTACACGGGACAGTCTCTTGACCTCTCTCGGCCCATCCAGGCCCTGTCCTGCCCCGGATACCACAGCCCAGCATGATCTCCTGCTCCTGTTGGCTGTTGGTCATAGTTTCCACGGCCTCTTGGAATTGCTTCTAGGTGTTCTACAGCGACAATGTCTCTCTCTCTAGGTTTCATGAGGCAGGGGCCATGACCACTTCTGTGTGTCTCCTCACAGTACCTCGAGCAATGCTCTGTCTGGAATGTCAGAACCAGTAAGTGCCGTGGACTGAAACAGCAGCTCATCAATACTGTCCCCGGCGGCACGTGTTAAGAGATAACACGTGTTGCTAATGGACACTGTTGTGGTTTTTTGATGTTTTCTTGAATCCCATCAAGGAAGGAATATCATGAAGGAAAGGATTTACCTCTAGAAAGCATTTCAGACTCTTCCCAAGCTTCCCAAGATAGCACGCCCACTGGTAAGAAAGTGGGGAGGTGTCGCCACCCTTGTGTGTTGGTCTGAGGCCTCCCCCCACGTCACAGCACAAGATTCAAGATCCCAGTCTGTCCAAAAAATACCACTGAGGACTCCCTGTCTATACCACCAAATCTGGTCATTATAATTTGCAGAATGCTTTTGATGTGTCTGCTAATTTTTTTTTTCTTCTATTGAAGTTTGGGGCAAGGGAGAGTGATCTTGACATCTTGTTCAGATGACAGAAATGAACTGGTGGATTTGAACATAAGGTTCAGGATTTGACAATGAAAATTAGAACATGGTCAGTAGAAATCATATTTGGTGGTAACACATATCGGTGCTTGGGAAGAGAATGAATGAGATGATCAAAATCCGTCGTCTCGTGTGGCTGAAAGAGGCTCTCGGCATCTGGGGCCCGCACCAGCACCACCCGGGAAGCAGCGCCCTGCCACATGGCTCTCGGTAAACACAACCTGATGTGGGTCCCTTTTCTAAGCATTGAAACAAGCTGCTCACCCACTGGCCGGGCTTTCTGCCAGGAAGTTGTGAAGTTGTTTCTCTCACTTTACTCCCTCCTAAATACCCTGCTCAGTGTCTGGAGGGAAGTGTTAAAAGCAAGAGCAAATCGAAGCGGGGCACCTGGGTGGCCTCATGTTTGAGCATCTGCCTTCAGCTCAAGTCATGATCCTGGGGTCCTGGGATCGATTCCTGCATCCTCCTCCCCACAGGGAGCCTGCTTCTCCCTCTGCCTGTGTCTCTGCCTCTCTCTGTGTGTCTTTCATGAATAAATACATAAAAACCTTAAAAAAAAAAAAGACAACTACTATATGAAGTCATTCATGTGTGGAATCTTAAGAAGAAAAAAAACAAACAAACTCAAAAACAGTAGAATGGTGGTTACCAGGAGGGTGGGGAGAACTGGGAGATGGTGATACAAGCTCAGTTATAAGACGAATGACTCCTCGGTATCTAACATACAGCACATGGTGACTATAGTTAATAATACTGTATTATACACATGAAATTTGCTAAGAAAATGGGTCTTTATGGTTCTCATCACCAGGGAAAAATAATGAGAATTGGTAGACGGGGTGAAAAAAACCTGGTCTCAAGTAGTTTACAGGCACCAAAATCCTTCTCAAATTGCAGTGTGCACAAATGCATTTTTTAAGGGATTTTTATTTATTCCTGAGAGACGCAGAGAGAGGCAGAGACACAGGCAGAGGAAGAAGCAGGCTCCCCGTATGGAACCCGATGTGGGACTCGATCCCCGGACCTGGGATCACGCCCTGAGCCAAAGGCAGACGCTCAACCACTGAGCCACCCGGGGCCCCCAAGTGCATTGTAAGATGATCACCAGGGGCATGTGGGGGACTCAGTCAGTGAAGCGTCTGATTCTTGGTTTCAGCTCAGGTCATGATCTCGGAGTCTGAGACTGAGCCCCTGTTGGGCTCTGAGCTCAGTGTGGAGGCTGCTCGTCCCTCTCCTGTTCCTCCCCTGCTCTCGCTCGCTCACTCGCTCTCAAAACCTAAAAACCAAACAAACAACAAAACCGATGATCGTCTATTACCTGCCAGGATTGTGACAACCATCCTGCCAGAGAACCAGGGAGCCTGTTTCCAGTTGCATCCCGCGGCCCAGGGCGGGTGGCGTGCAGGGGTGGCCTGGGGCCGAGCGCCTGCATCTCCGCGGAGACCTCTGAGCCGAAGCACTTTGTGCAGCCGCAGCCCCTCGCCTCCTGCGAACAGGGTCCCGGTCACAGGGCTCGTGGCCCGTGGCTGGGAGGCTCGGAACGGCCCGGCCTGATGTTCCAGATGTAGAAGGTGCTGGTTACTCCTTGTTAGGGTGAGGGCCGAACCCCGGGGGGAGGGGGGGCGACCTGCACCCGTGCTCACGGGCTCGTTATCCCCGCGCATCGTGTATATTCTAAAGCAGGGGGACTCCTTTGTGATCAAAACATTTTACTCATTTCAAAATGTTCTTACTTTTTCCAAAGAGACGAAAATGATGCCTGGTTGAGAATTGCCCTGTTAGCGGATAGCGTCCTAAACCCCCTGGGATCCCCGGGTGGCTCAGCGGTTTGGCACCTGCCTTTGGCCCAGGGCGTGATCCTGGGGACCCGGGATCGAGTCCCGCATCGGGCTCCCTGCACGCATGGAGCCTGCTTCTCCCTCTGCCTGTGTCTCTGCCCCTATCTCTCTATGTCTATCATGAATAAATAAATAAATAAAAATCTTAAAAAAAGAAAAAAAAAAGAACCCTAACCCCCAGGTATTTCCCCATTGAAGATGCAAGCCCTGCATCGTGCCCTACCTGCTGATGGGAGAACAAAGCCAGCCACGTTGGCTGGTGCTGCAGCGCCCGAGCCTCCAGGGAAGGAGGGACGTCCAGATGCTTCTTTCTCCCGCTCCTGAGGGCCCGACCTGGATTGCACATCGAGGGGCTCCGGGGCCCCAGCCAGTGTGCAGCGCCCCCGAGGTACAGGGGGCCTCCTAGGTTCCCCAGCTGCCTCCCTCCGAGGCCGGCTGAGGACCGTGTCCACACCGAGCGGGGAGGGCTGCCTGAGGATCTGAGACCTGGGCCTGGGCCGCGGTAGCAACAGTTCAGAGTGACACCTGGCTGGGACCCTCAGTTTCACCAGCCAACCCACAAACGGGAAAGCTTCCGGAGGTGATGGTACAGCCACCCGTAAGAGCGCAACCCTTAGGAACAGGCCAGGGTTCACGGTCCCCTGGATGCTGACCGTGGCCTGGAGCAAGTTCCTCGTTCTCCCTAAACCTCAGTCTTCCTGTCTGTAAAATAGGATAGTTGAGAGGTTGAGAGGGAGCCCATATGACAGGGTTCCTGTCATTTAGTAGGTGCTCAAGAAACGCTGAATACAGTTCTTTCTATCAGGTGAAAGCCTGGACCAAATACCCCTACTTCAAAAGAGGAATTCCATGAAAAGCTATTGGCCACCAATGCCTACCCCACTTCCAGTTGGTATGGTTATCAGTGACAGGACGTTACATTGTTTTCTCTTTGTTGTTGTAGCTCTAAGTTTAATGCTCAGGACAACTCGGTGAAGCAGATGGTGTCGTTCTCCTTCAATTAATGGGACAACGGAGCTCCACAGGGTCTGAGCCCCCTGCCCACTGCCCACACAACTCAACAGGGGTTGATGCAGACCGTCTGGCCCTGAGACCTGGTTCCTTGTCCATCACCTACCCCATCACTGTGTGCTGGCCAGTCCTTCCCAGAGCCTCAGAATCCCGTCCTTTGGCTCAAAGGGGGGACTTCCTATGCTCTGCCCACGCCCTTCCCACCGACAGTCTACACCTTGACCATGAAACCCATTCTCTCCACCAAGCCAGCTCCAAAGTGGGCCACAGTAGGAGTGAAGCACATCAAAAAAGCAAACTTGCTTTGGCTTGAAAGAAAATATATGCACCACATAAAACAGAGTTGTTTTGGGAGGTCATCACAGAATTTTATATATAATGAACAATATTATAACTTGTAATACAACAAAGATTTAGGTGTCAATAACCGACCAGGTATCCTGCAAATGTTACATTTGAAAGTCTTTATACTTTACAACCACAGGTTAGAGAAAGGGATGCAATTTATTGGACACATCTCACATTTTCTCCTATGAATCGTTAAATATTTAAGCACCATAAATTCAAGCATTTCACATGGATGTGGCAGCCAGTCTTGGTGGTTTAAAATGCATTATGCAGAGTCTCTGGCAGATAATAACAGTGACAATTGCAGAGGACTGATTTTTAATGTCGATTGTTTTGTTCCCTGCAGAACTTCCTGATAATGTCCCTGTAGGAAATTGTGATTTGTGTGTGTGTTTTTGGGGGAGGGGGGGACAGGTTATAGTAACTTTGAGAATTGAAATAAAATAACATTCCCAAAGACACTATGAATTGGCCAGATATAAATAATTCTAATCAGTAATTTCCATGCCCCGTAAGAATCATGATACAATTCTACTATGGACCAAAAACAAAACAAAACAAAACAAAAAAACAAGAAATGTTTTTTTCATATTAAATTGTTGTAAAAAGATGTGACCAGAATAAATGCATAATGACTGCTGTATGCTAGACATATAATCTAACTCAATTTTCAATGTAAGAGTAGGTGTTATGTCCCATTTTATAAATGAGGAAAATGAGGTTCAGACAGTAGGTGTAACTCACCCCGGGTGACCCCGCTGGAAAGTGACAGAGCCAGATTCCAACCAACTCCAAAACCCATATTTTCCCACTATTCTTGCGGTCATACCGAATGAAAGTAAAGAATTACCAAATTCTTGGTGGGTTGATAGAAACACCTCTAATGCAACTCCCTGGAACACACAGAACGGTTTGCTTTGTTATAATCTGTAAGAGGCTCAAAATATGATAAAAATCCAGTTTTCGTGGACCGTCCCATGGACTATTTTCCTAAGCACCAAACACACAAACACAAACTTCATCGGCGTGATCTTGACTAGGAAGCTCTTACATGAGGAGGGAGGACAGGCTACAGCAGGAGTTGAGTCTGGTCACATTTCAGTGAGGAGCCTTCTCTCAGCCAAATCTCATGGATCCCATCGTTTCTGAAATTTCAGTTTTAGAAAAGTAAGCTATATTTCAGGGAGCGATAATGGTTAAAGACCATCCATTGGCTTTCTGTCAAGAACTGTTAAGAGGAGATTCGGGGTGTGCAGGTACATTGGCACATTCAAATGTTTTGAAATAAGAAATGGTTTGAAATAAGAAATGGGGGATCCCTGGGTGGCGCAGCGGTTTAGCGCCTGCCTTTGGCCCGGGGCGCGATCCTGGAGACCCGGGATCGAGTCCCACGTCGGGCTCCCGGTGCATGGAGCCTGCTTCTCCCTCTGTCTCTGCCTCTCTTTCTCTCTCTCTGTGTGTGACTATCAAAAATAAAAAAAAATAAAAAAATAAAAAAGAAATAAGAAATGGTTTCTCTTACCATTTTGTCCACGAGAACCCTATGTGCACAGACCTAACGCCTAACGATACTCACTGAACTGTCATTGAACCTATCAATATTGCAACTATCAATATTGCACTCAGCTCCCCGTAGGCACGGGGTGTACAAAGCTGAGCAAAGCATGGCCCTGCCCTCGAGGGGCTTGCATTTTAGCAAGAGCACGGAGGAGGCGTGATGAGACCTCACAGGAGCGAGGAGGGAGCCTGAGAGCGGCCAGGCCCAGTTGTTGAACTGGGAGCACTGAAAGGGACTCCAAGTCTCCATGGGGAAATTCGTACACCCTCCCCCAGAAGTTCATTCAGTCTTTAAACAAGCAGGTGGGGGCACCTGGGTGGCCCAGTCTGTTAAGAGACTGCCTTTGGCTCAGGTCATGGTCTCAGGGTCCTGGGATTGAGCCCCACGTCAGGCTCCCTGCTCAGTGGGGAGCCTGCTTCTCCCCCTTTCCCTCTGCTGCTCCCTCTGCTTGTGCTGTCTCCCTCTCTCACACATAAATAACATCTTTCAAACAAAAATATTTTTTAACAAAAGGAGCAGAGTGTCCCAGGTAAACTTAGTTGAGCGGGGAGAAACTTACTTATCACTGGGAGAAAGAGCAGAGGAGCAAGTCACAGAGCTGGGACACGCCTCTGGGATGAGGGTACAGGTGAGCTGCCGGCAGCCTGGCAGCCTGTCACCCCACGGGAAGTCACTTGGATTTCAGGAGTCATTGAATGATATTTAACCCATTTCTAAAAACAAAATCAAGTTTGCCTCGTGGAGAAAGGACTGGCGTTAGACAGTGGAGGCATCCAGTGGGAGCTGTTTGCCCATCAAGAGTATGGGGCAAGGACAAAGGTGCCATGAGGCCGGGGGCGGGGGGTACGCAGCAATCCCCAGGAAGGAGTCTCTGAGTTTTTAGGTCTGGGGAAGATGAGAAAGAATGAGCCACCCACCACTCGCAGCACAGAGGCTGGGTACCTGGACAGGTTGCATGGATGGGCTCCACTCATGGAGAATAAGAGACCAGGAGGAAACAGACGGCCCCCTGCCGCCCTGTGACCCCCTGCACAATCCAGGTGCATTCCAGCCAGGAGGTGGGGGAGGGGGCTCCTGGGAAGGAAAGTTGGAGAAGGCTCATGACCAGCCCTGGATTAGAACCACCCTAAAGCTTTGCTCATCCTTCACACAGAAAGGATATTTCAAAGTACACTGATGCATAAACGGGTGAGGCGAGCAGAGTCTTCTAACCCAAGGAGTGATTTCTTCCACCGTGTTGCTCTTTAGACCAGTTAAAATAATTTTTCAAAATCCGAAGGCAACAACTGTGTAGCATTCAGAGAGGGGCTCTTGCAATGTCAGTATTTTGAACAACCAGCCTCAAACACAATCCCAGGCTCACCGTGGAGTAATCGCCCACTTGATTCAACCTGTGTCTTAAGATGTATTTGGCAAGCTTATTAGGATAATATTCTGATGTCTTTAAAATACTTCAGGGGCACCTGGGTGGCTCAGAGGGTGAGCGTCTTGCCTTTGGCTCAGGGCATGATCTTGGGGTCCTGGGATCGAGTCCCACGTCGGGCTCCCTGCATGGAGCCTGCTTCTCCCTCCGCCTGTGTCTCCGCCTCTCTCTCTGCGTCTCTCATGAATAAATAAATAAAAATCTTAAAAAAAAATACTTCCGCAAGCAAGGTATGTCTCTAACGTTCTATTTATCACCCTATCTCTTCTCAGGAAATGCTCTCAGACCAAATTCACAAATGAACAAGATGAAATTTTAGAAGGTTTGATGTTTGGTGACAACATATAATAAGCCTGAGGAAGCAGGAAAATGTAATTATAAACGAGGTTGAAATTGGCTTAAATTTCAGGTGTTCAAAAATATTTAATATGCCATAGTATGATTAAAAATAATCAGTATATGGGTCAAACGAACTAGGAAATACTCTGCTTTCATCTTAAAGCGTACATTTTTTTTTCCTCCTTTTTACTGGAAAGTATTAAAATAAATTGCCATCCTGGGAGTAGCCCATAGCAAGACTCATTTGAAATACGTTCTACATATAAGAGCTCATTGCTAATCAATGTTTGGCAAAGAAAACAACTCTTGTAAACAAAATTTTAATTGAGTTTTTCTTCTCTCAATTATTTTTAAGTGGGTTGAGACTAAGCACGAAAATGAGTGTCACGTGCTCACGAGACATTTCCTCGTTTTTTTTTTTTTCTTCCAAAATGACATGTTTTTGAAGGAGGAAGGCAGGTTTCCCATCATTTATTTCCCACAAGCTTTCTGATTTTTAGGATTAGGCCCCTGAATCCCTACCAGAATAGGAAATGTATCCCTTTGCTATTCAGAAAACCACTCATCATAAATTGACATATCTTCTAAACTTTTATAGAATATATTAATGCCAAGCATCAAACTGCCGCCTTAGTAGAATACTGACAAAAAAGAAGAAGAAGAAGAAGAAAAGAAGAAGAAGAAGAAGAAGAAGAAGAAGAAGAAGAAGAAGAAGAAGAAGAATGGTTTTCAAATTGGCAAAACAAGATACTTCTGTAAAAACCAGGAATAGGAACGTACAATTCAGTCTGTAGGTTGTTTTTGTTTCTTTTCAAATAGCACCATATCCTCCTGGTGGGGTGACCATGACTTAAATGACTCCTCTTACCCAGGTTTAATTAAGCCGGCCCTTAATTTTCTCCCAAGTGCGTAATGATAACGCTGTCACTTCCCTGTATAAAATGCCATTATGTTTTGGGGGAAAAGCGTCCCCGGGTGGGCTTCGAGGCAGCTCTGCAGGTGCTCCTGGGGAAGGGGCAGGAGGCTTTGTGTGAGCTGCACGCGCCTGAGGAAGCCCCATGTGGCTTCAGTCCCATTAGTGCGCGCACACCGAAGGCTGGCTGGACCCCGACTGGGGAAGTGCTGTCTGCTTGGAAGTTCACTGCCACGGGGAGTCAATTTTTTTTTTTGTGAATCACTGCCTCAATATTCATTAACAGCTCTTAGGCTCTTAATCCCTTATTGAATATATTTTTCCCCCATAAACGCTAGTTTTCAAAAGGGTTGCCAAAGTAGGCCCTTCCATTCTCTGAAAAAACTGCAGAAGACAACATGTTTTATGTTCATCTGTGATGTGTCTATGCTAATGTAACATCTCCCGAATTCAGCAACTGTGGTCCTTCCTGGCATAATGATTCATTCTGCTTTGAAATGAACCGTTAAGGCTGGCGGTGTGGGTTTTCTTCTACCTCTCCTTGGGTCACAGCTTTACAATTATTTAAAGTGCACGGGGAAACAGATTACAGAGGGAATCACTCTGAGATGTTGGAAATCTCTACTCTCTAGTTTCATTTGTTGGCCTATTTATTTTTTCCTGCAAAACCCATCCAGAAGCCCACCGTATCACAGAGTAATTGACTTCAATTGCTTGACGTGCTGTTAACCAATGAGGGAAGTTTTCAGTAATGTAATTTGTAATCTGGCCTTTATCGTCTCTTTGCCTTCCTGTGAAATTAGCATAATTTTAAATAAAACCAGCTCTTCCATCATCCTCCAAAACATAAGAATATCTGGGCTTCATCTAGGTTGGTAGGTCCAAACAAATCCATAGGGGAGCATTTCCTTAATCTGTCCCGAACAGAGGGAGGAATGATGGGATGGCGGGAATAGCCGCATGGAAACATAAGGGACCGCTGAAACTGGAGTCTGAAATGAGCACCATTAATCTCTTAGCACATCTGGGGCTCCTGGGGCCCCCGAGGAAGTTTCTCCTGGAGACATGTTGGTGAGTTGTGGGTTCCCTAGCCGTACTTCATGCAGACCTGGCACCTGCTGATTCTCTGGCGCTGGGCCTGGCTTTCTTTCAAGGTGTCTGGTGATGGTGCCGAGGAAAACTGCAAGTCAGGCCTCACCGTCGTCAGCCAGAAGCTATACTCATTTGCAAAAAAGTGGCAAGTTCCCTGTCGGCCTTGGCATTCGAGGAACGGTGCGGCTCGGAAATCTTCCAGACAGCTGCCGGGGGACATGAGGGCCTGCCCTCCTCCTTGGTCTCCAGCCCCTGTGTGCTGCCAGGACAACAGGACAGAGTTAGGGCCCAGACAGGTGCAGACTCCCCCAGACCCAGTCAGTGCCACGTGGAGGCCTGGGCCTAACTTTACAGTTTTCCTGAAATTATCCAGGGAAGAACCAACTAGGACCTGCTGAGGAAAGGAGTAGCGGACACGCAGACGTGCACGCAAATGGAACCACCTCCTCTGAGGACTGAAGCAAATCTAACTTCTACGCTACAGCAAAAGCATAAAAAAACCCAATCGGCAATAAGAAGGAAAGAATGGCCCCGTGTCTCAAGAGACTATGGTTTGGGGTGCGGGTGTCTTCACAATCATGTGTCCTCTAGCTGTATGGCTGTCTGGCTGAGTGGGGGCAATCACTGGCCAGTCCAGACAGAAGGGGCAAGCAAGGGGTGTTGTGAGGTGGCAGGTGCGCACGGGGCTCACCATCAGGAACGAGTACCCGATCCAGAGGCTCCTCCAGCTCCGTGGACACGGCGGGATGGACCGGTCCTGGCTGTGCAGCGCCACCACGGGGGCTGGGGCCTCGCACACGGCACAGCGGCTGATGTAGGGGCGGATCTCCTCCTCTGAGAGCGGCATCATGGGCAGGGGCGCGGCACTGGCCAGCCAGTAGGACCGGTCGTTCCTCCGGGCGTAGTGGCACACTTGGTGGATGTTGCAGTAGGCAAAGGGCAGGGTGCTGAACATGGGAAGGCAAGACCCTGCCAGACCTTGGGAGGAAGACGAGACCATGTGGCAGACAAGCAGCCCATCCTGGTGTGCCTGGGGTCCCCTCCTGCATGTGCCACCCGCAGACATGCTCCCACTGTACCCGGGCCCCCACCGAGGCCCACCTCTGTGGCAGTGAAAGCAGGGTGTGCACCTGACCATTCCTGCCACCTCCCTGGTCCTGGGGCCACAGCCCTCACTCCCTCATTTACTCAACATCCACTCATGAGCCAAGCAGTGGGCCGGCTGCTGGAGGGGTGCACAAAGCTCATGCCCTGGCCTGGCTGGGGAGACGGCTGGGTCATCGGAGCAGTGAAAACCCAGCCTGGCCGGCCCTAGGAGCAAGCCCCAGGGAGCACCGGGACTTCCAGAGAGGCTAAGTGGAAGAATGATTTACGCTAGGACCTGAGATAGGAAAAGGATTTGCCCAGGTTTGAAGACAGCGACTACTCAGAGGAGATAGAGCAGGGAGAGAGGGCCAGAGTGGAGGAGCGGGGAGCGCAAAGAATTCAAAGGCATTCCATGGGGGTGGAGGGGAGGCAGGAGGGGATGTGTGTGTGTCTGTCTGTCTCAGGGTGTCTGGAGAGACATCAGAGCAGAGGCTAGGGGCTTTGTCCGTCTTGTAAGGAGCCTAGATTTTACGAGTGGGCTCTGGCTAGACCAGGGTGGGAGGCGACGGATGGAACAGAGGCCAGGCAGGGAGGAGGCCGGACACAGAAGGGCGAGTAGGAGGAAAGTAAATAGAGACAAGATATTAAACACTACTTCTCTCCCCCCTCTGCCCCCCTGCCACCCCAGGCCCCCCCTAACGCCAAGGGCTGTAGCTAGGCCCAACGCAGAATGAGCTGTAAGTAGCTGCCACTGCTCGGCCTGCACTCCTGGAGCACCCTTGCTAACAGCGGGGGTCATAGCCCAGGGCGGGCAGTACCAGGGCTCCTCCTCCACCAGTGCTCCCTGGTGCCATAGCGACACCTCCAGCACCCACCACCCAACCATCATGCTCTGGGAAAGACAGGGCGCCAGCACCTGGGTACGTAAACTCCTGGCTTGAAATCCGGCCCTGCGGCTTACGCATCTGCTACTGAAAATGGACCAGTGGGGCACCTGAGTAGCTCAGTCATTAAGCATCAGACTCTTGGTTTCTTTCAGCTCAGGTCACGATCTCAGGGTCGTGGGATCGAGCCTGGTACCAGAAGCTACATTTCATACATGCGTTACATTTGATTTACTGAGAAAGAAGTATTTTTGTAAAAAAAAAAAAAAAAATGAGTAAGTAGCCAGGTGAGAACTACGGTAGCCAGAACGAGCAGCTCTGGTGCCCCACAGGGTCACAGGTTTCAAGGAATTTCACTGGGAATTAGCAGGGTTGTTTCAAAAGAAAGAAAACCCCACTGGAGAGGGGTGGTCACTTAAAATGTTGATGAATCGTAACATTAACCCAAAAGTTGTACTCCTAAGCGAGGGACATGGTGACCATGTGCTCCAACATACCAAGGTCCTGATTGTGGGCCTTCTCCTGTCCTTCCAGGTATAACAGACTGTAGCCCGTCCAGAGCCTGGGCATGCCCGCGGGGCAGGCGGGCTCCCCATCCGTCTGACTGTGGAGAACCAGGAGGAAGCCACTGAGGTATCCAGGCCCAAACCCTCTGGGCCCAGGGTCCCCAATGGGTCCGGGGGGCCCTGGAGAAATAAAGAAAAAAATGAAGGCAGGTTAGGGGGGGTTGTTTCAACAAACACTTCTGAGCACCTCCATTCTGAGCACTCAGGGAGCCAGAGAGGAGCACCCCCTGATACAACCACAGTGTATACAAATAACTCAGCAGCAAGTGTTTATTCTGAGCATCTTCCCGGCGGTCAGACTGAGTGAGCATAAAAATAGATGCCGGAGGGGAGGTGGATGGGGGTGATGGGGATTAAGGAGGGCGCTCGTTGGGATGAGCCCGGGGTGACATGTCAATTCTACTCCTGAAACTAATACTACACTGCACGTTAACCAACCAGAATTTATTAATTTTATTATTATTTTTTTAACCAACTGGGATTTAAATAAACCCTTGAAACTACAAACCAAACGGCGAGCAAAAGTCCCTGCCCTCCTAAAGTTTACATCCTATCTGAACAAGAGAAATGACAAACCATGAAATGTGTTAGGAAGTAAAAAAAGATGGGCTGGTGTCACCCCTGTGGTGACACCTGGGACTGGACCGGGAGCCTGCTCATCTGAGAAAGGGGTCACCCAAGCGGGTCTTCCTTACACCTCGCAGACTTCTCTCAGCCTCTGGCCCATCTCGGAGATGCAGGGGACGGGGGGTCCCATGCACAACTAGCACCTTCTTTTAGGAGGCTGGGAGCGGGGAGGGAGGCCTGGTCCTACATTCCTGCTGGCAGGTGGGAAGCGAAGAGCTCATCGCAAGGTGAGCGGGGCCCGTCTCCCTGGCATCTCTAAGGGGCTGAAGGAGGCCAGTGGCTACTTCCAAGTGCCAAGAGCAAAGGTGAGACCAAAAGTTGGTTTTGTTCTTTTTTTTTTAACCTCACTTCTGGAAGACGGGCAGGCTCTCCCCATCTATACTGCAAAACAGAGGTTAGAGTGCAGGCCTGGGCGCCGGATGGGGCCTGCTCACGTGCTTGGTGTGACCTGTCAAGGTGGCACGGGGGGGGGGGGGGGGGGGGGCTGGGCTTGGGAAGCAGAGCGTGGGCAGTGCCGAGCCTCACTGCACACCGCAACTGGCTGAAGAGGAGGTGTAGGCGCCCTCTCGTTACAGACCTCACCACCCCCTTCACTCCTTCTCGGCGCCCACCTGGGAGATCCTCTCCAAGATGAGACAGTGCCTAGGGGCTCTTTGGGTCCCCAGCTCCCGGCATATTGCCTGGGTGCACGTTATATTTCAAATGACTCTTCTGGAATGCCTTGTCCCTCTCCTCACCCAGTGCCAATGCCCAATTTTTTCCCTAAGAAGGGGCCTTGTATCCTATATAAATGTATCAACAGTTGTGTGATAAGATGATGTGAACCCAAAAAACAGGCCGAGTGACTGGGCCGGTGGTGGAAGGCGAGAGCCCCCCGCCACCCCATCTTCAGCACGGCCCTCAGGGGCCATCACCCGCACTGCCAGGCTTGCCCCGCTAAAACAGCCGAGCCTTTTATGATCACGAACAGTGGTCTGGGAAACTACTAAATGGGGTAGGGGGGGAGGTAGGCCCTGACTCCTCGTTACTGGGGCTGCGGATCAGTGCAGGGGGTTGGGGAGGGCCTCTGCCTCCCTAACACCTGGTGAGCCCAAACCTAAGGCAAATGCATTTAATAGGATCAGCTGGGCAAGCCGCTTGAGGGGCCGGGGTCCTGCACACAGTTCCCAGATCTGCGGTGTCAAGGAAACGAAGAGAAGCTGGACACTTGTTACCTGGTGCTCCGGGGCAACCGGCTTCTCCTGCGTCCCCTGTGCTTCCGGGAGGCCCGGGAGGCCCTGGGAGGCCGGCCTCGCCCCTCCTGCCCTCCAGTCCCGGCTCTCCTTTGCACCCTGCAAGAGAGATCAGGATGGGGGGGTGACACCACATATGACACCTGCGAGCCATCCCCAGCCCGTGTACCTGGCGCGGCCTGGGCTCCCTGGTGGGGCTGCACCCCGATAGCGCGTGTCACTGTCCCAGGTACCGGGTGGGGGAGTTAGACCCTGAGCACGAGCCACAGGCCCCAGGACTAAGCCGTCGTGGCCAAGGCCACCATGTGGAGCTGGGCTGGGGGGATGGTGGGGGGGCCCTTCACCTCGCCTCATATTCTTGTATGTTTGACTTTTTTATTTTTTAAATTTTTTTAAATTGTTTTTGACTTTTTTTAAAAAAACATTGAACATAGATGACTTCTACAATTAAACATTGTCCTTAGTAACGATTTTTTTTTTTTTTTTTTTTTTTTAGAAAGCCGAGTGGAGGACTAAGTAAAATTTCAGAGGATTCAGTTGGGAGGTCAAGTTAAATTTAGAGCGATGTAAGAGCAGCTGGTCTTTAAAAATACTAATTGAGGCTTTAGGAGGCGGGAGGTACCAGCCTCTGCGGGGATTAACCAGTCGGGGCTTCTCGACGTGACCGTCGCTGTCATCTGCCTACCAGTGGGGAGACTGAGGCTCGGGAAGGTGACTGTTGAGGACCCCAGGGGGCCAAGGCTGTGCCATGGGCCACCAGGCCCTGCTTTGGGATGAGCTGCAGCACTCAGGTGCGCCCCCAGGAGGACGTAGACGTGGGGCTTGGCAGCCGTCACACCGGCTCTTTAGGTGTTTGGTTACTTTTGTGCAAGGCATCAACTCGTGAGCCACCATCTCCTTTCGTGGGGACCAGACACGGTCCTTGTCTGGGGAGGACCACAATGCCATCAGCCTGGGTTACCTGACGACGAGCCGCCCAGGGTTCTGGTCTCTCCTTCCTTCCTTCCTTCCTTCCTTCCTTCCTTCCTTCCTTCCTTCCTTCCTTCCTTCCTTCCTCCCTCCCTCCCTCCCTCCCTCCCTTCCTTTTCTTCCTCCCTTCCTTTTCTTCCTTCCTTTCCTTCCTTCTTCCTTCCCTTCCTTCCTTTTCTTCCTTTCCTTTCCTTCCTTCCTTTTCTTCCTTCCTTTCCTTTCCTTCCTCCCTCCCTCCCTTTCCTTCCTTCCTTCCTCCTTCCTTTTCTTCCTTTTCTTCCTTCCTTCCTTCCTTCCTTCCTTCCTCCTCTTCTTCCTTCTTCTTCCTTCCTTCCTTCCTTCCTTCCTCCTTCCTCCCTCCCTCCCTCCCTTCCTCCCTCCCTCCTTTCCTTCCTCTCCTCCTCCCTTCCTCCCTCCTCCTTTCCTTCCTTCCTTCCTCCTTCCTTCTGCTTCCTTCCTTCCTTCCTGCTTGCTTGCTTGCTTCCTTCCTTCCTCCTTCCTTCCTTCTTCCCTCTCTTCCTCCCTCCCTTCCTTCCTGCTTCCTTCCCTTCCTTTTCTTCCTTTCCTTCCTTCCTTCCTCTCTCTCTCTCTCTCTCTCTCTCTCTCTCTCTTCTCTCTCCCATGAATTACCCAAAGCCAACCATTAAGTCGGAGGGGGCTCACTTTTTCACTCTTGGACTCGTTCTTCCAAGGAGGGGAGAGCCACCTGCAGGGGGAGAGACGGAGGGGACTGCCACACTCGGGTGATCAGATGGCTGTCCCCCTCAATTTCCTGTCTCACACAGGACCCCCCTCTCATAGCCATTTGAAATGCCTGCCCCTCCAAATCTCACTGCTTTTGAAATTCTGACTAATCTCGCCTGCCTGAGGGTGTCCCATGCCAACCTCCTGCTTCTGTCCCCATAGCCAGCCCCGGGCCCTCGCCTCCCCTTCCCATGCTGGGCGAGCTAGCGGGGGGCTTCCCAGTATCCCGGGCTCTCGGGGTGCTGTCATTGCACTTCAGGTTTTAAACAAATTCTCTTGGATTGTCAGGCAGTTCCTGGACTGTGGTCCGTACACGGTTATCATTCAGTAGGTGAGAAAGGAGGCCTCTGCCTCTCCCCGTCTGGGCGAGGGATGGCCTCTCCTTTCCAGTAACTGGGCCGAGACCTCTTTCCAGGTGGGGCGGCTGTGCGCTGGCTGGCCCGTCCCTCGCCACCAGCTTCAAAGAGAACATCAGTTGCTTTGGAAGGAACACAGGGCCCGGATGGTGAGCTCAGAGCTTTCTTTTATCTCCCCCCACCCGTCCCCCAATGAGATGATTGCAACATGTGGCCACTGTGCTATTCTGGAAAAGGCTGCCCAAGTGCTGACAAGCCACCAAACGGGCCAATCACTGAAAAGGCAGCAGGCATCTTCCTGAAAATATCATCAGGTGGCGAGATCACTGTCGATCTGGGGAAAGGGCACCCCCACCCCTGCCACCACCAGATGTTAGGATAGAGGCTTTGTTCCCTTTGGAGATATTGTCAGGCAATTTCCAGACAGAGGAAGGAAGGCTCCTGTTAACCGAGCTGTGGGCTCGGAGCCCTTCGCTGTGTGGACTCTACTTGGTTCTCTACTTGGAACTTGTTTTAAGGACCAGAGCTGCACCTAAAAGTCCTCCTGTGCCTGATGGCTTACCCCCTCTGAGAGCATCACATGTTGACTTGGAGATTAAAGACACTCTCATAGGATGTGGGGATGTCCATTAGGTGACAACAGTTCAAACCAATATGGAAACAACCCCTGTGTTCATCCCAGGAAGCCCCAGCCTTCGAGTCACCCCCCACCCCCACCCAGGAAGGAAAAGTTGTAGATCAAAGAGACGTGTGAGCAGAAAAACATTAGGCCTTCCATGGTGGAGGACACTTAAGAGACACAAGTTACATTTAGGGTGGCTGTTACCCACTCATACTGCGCAGGAAAGAGCCAGAGCTTTGGTGGGGCTTTTTTTTTTTTTTTTTTTGGTTTTTTTGCTTGTTTGTTTTGTTTCTTGTTTTTTTTTTTTTTTTTTTTCCTGGACGGATCTCAGCTGCAGCACCTGATTACAAAATCAGCTTAGCAATGAAAGAGGTTGTGGAAGGGAAGCCAAGAAGAAACCAACAATGTCATTTTAAGCGGAGGTGGTACTTTCTGGTGGCAGCTAATCCTTCGCAACGAAACTTGGGGGTGCCATATACAGCCCCCCAAACCATGCTGAAAGAACTGCCTTCAGAAAAGGACAGATGACGAGCAACATGCCCTGCGGGTGACCCAATCAGGCAGGGCTAGGCCACTTCAGACCCTCAGAAGAGACTTGTCGCCTTTTAGAAATTAGACAGTGTGGCCGATGTGTTCAGGGTGGCCAGCAGAAATAGGCAGGGGAAGGGGGCCAAAGAATATATTGCAGGCAAAGAGAGGTCCTTGATAACAAGAGCTGGAGGCCTGTATCGGGGAAGAGGGACCCATATGGGAACACTGGCTTGGCTCGAGCGTGGGTACTAGGGAGTGGGGCAGGAAGGAGCTCTGGAGAAGCTGAGCCATGGAGCAGCACAGTCCTGCTGGGAGACCATGGGAAGAATGGGGGGCACTCTATGGGAAGGGCTGTGTCCTTTTTTTTGACTAACAGTCACACTTTGTGGCACAACAGTGACCTCAGGTGTCCCCACTGCCAGCAGGAAAAGTCAGTGACGCCAATAAGGAGAGGGCACACAAGCCAGAGAAGACCCTTCTGAGGCCACCTGCAAACAGATGAGCCCATCTGACCCCGAGTCAGGCAGAACCAGAGCTGACAGGTGATCACACCTGGGCCCAGGGGGACTGTCACTTCTCCTTCACAAGCTCACAATCTGTAAGAGAGAATCTTGTATGTGCCCAAGCCAACTATTTGCCCATTTGGTTTTTTATTCCCAATTGCTTTCTTTGTTTTCCAAAGCCACCATCATGGGTGAGCTCGACTGCCCAACTAGTCTCAGCTGCTATTGGGGGGGCAGCAGTGGATCTCAATCCGGGTTGTCTGCTAGACTCATCTGGGGAGCTTTTCAAAACACGGACACTCGAGCTCTCCCTCTCTCTGCATTCTGTTGGTCTGGGAGGAGGCCCAGGTTCACTATTCTTTCTAGCCCCTCCAGGTGATTCTAACCTACAGCTAGGATTGAGTCACCAAGGATGGTGCCACTCTTAGCTGAGTCTTCCAAGGACAGCACTCATATAATATGATTAGGGTTTCTCAAACTTGAATACACACACACACACACACACACACACACACAGACACAAATATTCTGGGGATCCTTGTAAAATGCAGATTCTAACTTGGTAGGTCTAACTCACACTTTGAGTAGCAAGGATGTGTCTAGTGAGTTACCAGGCTCTTAGGCCAACCTCCCCCACCCACGCCCCGGCCATCTCCCCACTGGACAGTTCTGGTTCCTCAAAGCCCTCTCTCTCCTTCAAGGCTCTGTGCAAAGGCCAGCTCTTGCCTGGGTCCCAGCAGTCCAGTCCTGCACCCCTTGACATTGAAGTTCCCCTCTCCTTGTCCCACCATCGTCAGGCCTTTGCCAGAAACTCCACAAAAACAGAAATCATGATCTCCCATTATTTTGAGTTACTTATGTTCTATCAGCTATTCCTGCCATGAGGCTGTGAGGCATGGGGGGGGGTCAAAACACATCTTATTCACATTTGTGTCGCCTACCATACCTGGTACCGCACTTTTGAAAGAGTGCAGAGGATCTGGAAGTATTTATTGAAATAAATTTGCAGAACCCCATTACCAGCCATATCTTCTATTTGAAAGTTGATTTTTTTAACGGAGTGTGTGTTACAGCGGGGGGAGGTCCCAGCCCTCAACTGCAAACAAATACACAACAAGGGGGTTGGTTTTAGAAGTAGGTTGAGTGATGAGTTATTCTGACGGATGGGAGAGCTCTGCCCACGCAGTGTGTGCCAAAGAACTATGCTCGCCCGCAGGGTTAAAGGAAGTTGCTCCAATGACACCCAATTATCTTAGTGCATAAACACAGATGCAGTGCAGTAAATACAAACAAAACAAAAACCCCATATCAATCCGAGGGAGGCTCCAGAGCTGTTCTGGACACTACCCCAGAACTACTAAGACTCTAGCAGAGGGGATACCTTTTGGGCTGTTTTTTGGCTTTGGGGAAACACACACACACAAAAATGGATGGTGCAAAACTCAAGTTCTGTTTCCAATTCCTTTGGCCCTGAACCAAAAAAGGGCCAAAGCTACACCTGGGCAGTGAGAAAAGAGGAAAGAAAATAGGGTAATTTGCACACAGGGTGTCTAGAATCATGGGCACTGCCAATTGGTCTGAAGAGATCAGTGATCTCTAGCTGACCAGCCCGGACTCCCTAATCTCTTTGTAAAAGAGCAGTTGGGTGGGGATTTGTGAAGAGAAAATAAAGGATTTGGAAGACAGTTTCTAAAGGGACAGTTTGGTTTCAGGACTTAAATAAGGATCCTGCTACCCTGACCAAGAGCAATGCTCGAATCAATCAAATGGACACTCCGGTCGTGGCCATAATTTAGAAGGGCCCTTTCCCCCTTTTCTCTCTCCCTCCTCCAAGCAATACACTCCCTTCCCTCTTCTCCTGGGCTGCTTCTGTTCCACGAAGCCCCAATTCAAGTGTTTGTAATTCAAAATCAAGTGGACAGCTATTAGTGACTGTTAATAGAGCATCTACTTTGTTGTATAAGAGGCTTCAAAACCTCATGCCTCAAAGCTGCCCAAGTATGAAAGATTCAAGTAGGAGTTCAGCATAAAAATAGCAGGCTTGTGCCGACCCAGTTAGGACATGATCAAACCTTTGGATAAATGTAGAAAATGTATAAGTGGGAGGAGCTTACACTGCCCCATACTCACGAGCTGCTTAGGCTCCAGGGTAAAGACTACAAAGCAAGACCCCGAGATCTTCACTCCAGAAGCTTATGATGCAAATAATGAACAACTGGTACCAGCCTCCTCGTACCTGGTCCTGGGGGCCCTCTCCTTCCAGGGACCCCCATGGCTCCTTCTGGTCCTCTTGGGCCTGGTACCCCAGGAAGCCCGGGGATGCGGGGGCACGAATCCACATCTGCAGGTGGCCCTGGTTCACCTGAAATTGAAATCACTGCTTGTGTGATGGACCCAAATCGTACAAACAGGCTCCTTCCGCATTCTCAAGGTGGACGGGCTTCTGACACTACACCAGAGAATCAAAGAATGCTCAACAGTCCAAATAAGTTCCATGCAAGTGGGATTGCTGTTCACTGTGGGGTGCACGAAAAGCTTCCAGAAAGCATTTGGTTAAGTACACGACTGACCGAATGAATGGGATCTCAGAAAAAGGTGAAGAAGGACGGAATAGTGAAGGTTGCTTGAGGCAGCAGTCATTTGGTGACCTCCACTGGATTTCTGATCTTTGGGCCACTTTCAACTGGGTGCCAGTCACAGGTAGGAGCAGGAGGGCAACCTTCGGGGATCCTACACTCAGCGTCATGTGTCTCCAGTCCTATGTTCTATATTTCAGCCACTTGGGCTTCCACAGCATCTGTGACTCACAGAGACAGAATTTCAAGATTCCAAGCAGCAACCTTCAACCCTGAGTGCATGCTGGTTGGAACTCTCCAGGGAACTCTCTGAATCTACTGATTGTGGGGTCTTGCCCTACAAGTAGTGATCCAACTGGGGAGCCCGTGGCATGGGCAGTGCCCTCAAGCTTGGTTATACAATAAGCCCAGCCTCGGAGGTTTTCAAAAGAACTGGTGCTAGGGATCCCTGGTTGGCTCAGTGGTTTAGTGCCTGCCTTTGGCCCAGGGCATGATCCTGGGGTCCCGGGATCGAGTCCTACATCAGGCTCCCTGCATGGAGCCTGCTTCTCCCTCTGCCTGTGTCTTTGCCTCTGTGTGTGTGTGTGTGTGTGTGTGTGTGTGTGTCTTTCATGAATAAATAAATAAAATCTTAAAAGAAAAAAAGAGAGAGAGAGAACTGGTTTGGTGCTGGGACCCCACCTAAGCTTGTTAAATAGGAATTTCTGGGGCTGGGACCTTGACATGGGGAATTTTTAGAACTCCCCAGAAGGCTCCCAGTGTCAGCCAGGGCTTCACCATCGCTCAGCGCTAAGAAGCTGTGGTTCTGACTTTAGCACATCAGAATCATCTGGCCAGCTGGTCAGAGCCCAGAGCTTCTGAGCACATAGGTCTGGGGTAGACCCTGACATCTGCATGTCTAACAAGTTGCCGGGTGAAGCTAATGGGGGGCCCATCTGGGGATCTCACTTGGAGCATGATCACTGCTCTAAAGGTTTGCATGTTTTTCCTTCTTGGTTACCTTCACATCTTTAAGATATTTTTTCCTAAAGCTCCCTTCAGGCCTCCTGCAAATATTCCACAAGGGAAAATAAATCATAATAACACTAACCAATAATGATAACAGCCAACACTTAATGAATGCCTCATCACGTCCCAGGCCCCGTGCTAAGTGCGCTACGATTAAAGGCTCCCAACAAGCCCGCGTGTGTGTGCTGCTATTCCTGGAGTATTACAGGTAAGAAAACCCAGGCTCAGGTAAATAAGTGACATATCTAAGGTCGCACAGAGAACCTTGGGCAGAATCTAGGTTAAAATCCAGTAGGGGCCCGGCTCCAAATCTGTGCCCTTCACCAGGACACCACACTGCCTCACAGAACTCTTCACGTCCCTGTGACGAATTCCAAGAGACACATCATATTTTAAAAACGCACTGCTTATCAGTTGTGGTTTTCTTAAAATTCATACAAATGTGCAAAATAAGTTTAGGAACAGCAGTGATTAGGCAGCAAGAAAACTGTAAGGAAATGTAGGCCGTCGTGGCAACACAGGCTACAGTAGTTAATGTGTCTGCGCAGAACGGACTTGAACCTGGGGCACCTGGGTGGCTCAGGTGGTTAAGTGTCCAGCTCTTGATTTCAGCTCAGGTCATGATCTTGGGGTCCTGGGATCAAGTCCCACATCCGGCTCCACGTTTAGTGGGGAGCCTGCTTGAGGATCTCTCTCCTTTCCCTCTCTTTCTGCCCCTTCCCCAGCTCATGCTCTTTCTCCCTCTCTCAAATAAATAAACACATAAATAAATAAATAAATAAATAAATAAATAAATAAATAAATAATAAATCTTAAAAAAAAAAAACAATCCTAGACAGACTTGAGCCCTTGTCAGCTGTTTGGAATTTAATCTCTTATAAAATACTGTATGAAACCGCATCCAACACTGAGTTGGGTGTATCTTTACAGTACGCACAGTTTAATGTAAAAGGTGGCTGTTGCACTCTGAGTGACTTGAGGGAGATGAATATGAATATTTCGTATTTTCCCTGAGTAATCTTGTGAATTCTGGGAGAGCGAAGGAAGCAGGTAAGGGAATGGGGTGGGAGAGGGGTGGGCATTTGCCCGGTGCTTCCTATTTAGGAACCTAAGTTATCTTCAAATGAGTTTATACATAAACAGACACAGAGAGACACTAAAAGGGTGGAAGTGGAAATATTATATATGAAGCTGTGATTTTTATTTTTTTTGAAGCTGTGATTTTTAAACACAAACATTTAAAATAGCAGATTCTTTTTAAACTCTGATATTGCTTTTCTTTACTTCTTACTAAACCAGAAGCTCAACGGAAGCGGTGAAAGTGTCTCTTGTGTAAGCTCCTGCATTCAGGGCACTTTTTCTTTTTTCTTTTTAAGATTTTATTTATTTATTCAACAGAGAGAGAGCAAGAGAGCACAAGCAGGGTGAGCGGCAGGCAGAGGGAGAGGGAGACGCAGACTCCCCGCTGAGGAGGGAGCCCGATGCCGGACTCGATCTCAGGGCCCCAAGATCATGACCTGAACTGGAGGCAGATGCTTACCTGACCACTGAGGGAGCCACCCAGGAGCCCCAGGGTAAATTTTCATTAGGGCTAATAAGAGATGCCTGGAAAGGACAACTGCGTGCGCTCACTGTGCCGCTTTTCTTCTTTTAAGAAACTCTTTTCACTCTCTTTGAAAACCCCAGACACAAAATAATATGTTGCTTGGCATTGTGGAGGGGCAAGCGAACACTTAGTTGAAAAGAAGAATAGCATTTTCATTGTAACACACAAGGAAATTTGCTCTTTGAAAATGGACTTCGATATTATGGGAAAACCCTGTCACAGCCCCTTACTGGGTGTGAAGGACCTATCTTTTCATGTTGTTGATACTACTTATTTTAGGGACGTTCTACGTATTTATATCGCAGAATTTATAAAAGAAACTTAACACTGGTATGCTCTGCAGCATTTGACAGAGAAAGCACTCACGCTCTGGGCCTGAATTGAAATTATGTAAGCTGAGTGTCTACTCTGTCCTGACAACCTATAATGAGACTCGGCTTTAGGACGCTCTAATATGGGGTTACTGTATCTGTAATGAGGAAGCCAAGGCACTGAAGCCTCATATAATTACAGCGCCCCATCTATGAAAACGTAACAAAGCATAACTCACAAGTACAGTGAAAAAGGCCAGCACAGAAATAAGTAGAAGCCAGATTTTAGAGGAAATCACTAATTTTATTGCAGTGCTTACCTCTGGAACCTGGAGAGATCCAAAGTCGGAAAATGAAGCCACGCGACGATTTTCAGGCGGTGGAAAGAGATTTTAAATTTGTCAGTTAGGACAAAAGCGAAATCGGTTATTTGACAATTATACATAATACTTTGAGGATGGCATCAATGATGAGCAGAAGGATGGCATCTTATTTACATAACTAAGTCCCCATCCCTGTCACTGACAAGAACAGCTCTGCTTTAGTAATAGAGCTTGCACATCCAGAAAAACGTGACATGAAGCTCTCTTGCACGATACAAAATTTCAGTTGATTTCGTATGGCAAATATGCCCTAATTCAACATATAGAGAAATTCTGTTCATTGGCAGGCTTCTGAAAGTTTCATATTATTTAGCCAAGTTTTATAGGTTATGCCCAGAGAGGAAATAGGAGATGAATCCAAGTATAAGCTCTTGCTCATGTAGTTCTCCGATCCATCATAAACCAGTGCAATCTATTTATTCTTCGGACCACAGCGCTCATTTAGGAGATTGCAAAATACTCTGAACGGACACCACATTACCGTGCTGTGGATTTAGGATCTCAAGAGATATTACTTCTGCGAGTCTCAAACACGCATGTCTGTTTGCCCTTCCAACTCCTCCAGGGCTTACTTTGACCCTCTGATGAAAACGTGTTCAATGCTGAGCTGACACTGATAGCCTGTCTGTCTTCGTAGGAACTACTGTACTTCACAGAAGAAGTTTAAAAAAATATCCAGGAAAATCAGCAGGAGTTCAGGGACAGAAATGAATAGGGTCCTCACATACAGTGATCGGATCACTCTTTGCCTCTCGTGTGAGGGGACTCAGATTCATTTACCTCGGAAATCTTGTATGTAAAATCAACTCCTAATTTGCAGATCCACTCGTTCTAATAATAAATATTAGTTTACTGAACATCAGATTGTGTCTTGAGGTCTGAAATAAATACAGCTTAACTCCTTCGAAGTCGCAGGCAATTTCGGAATAATTATGAGCTTCCAGTTGACCCACAGGGTCAATACCGAAAAGAAGGCTGTCTGCAGGCTGCTGGGGGAGATCATTAGGCACGAGGAGCTTACCTGGAGGACCGGGGTGCCCTCGCTGGCCTGGAATGCCCAGCAGACCCTTCTCCCCAGGGAGCCCAGGAAGTCCCTGAGGCCCCTGCAGCCCCGGGAATCCTATTGGTCCTAAAAGGAACATAAAGACGTAAAGACGGGGCCCTGGAATGAGGCAGCATCAAGATAAGAACAGTCCGATGGACTGAACCCAGAGATTCACTCCAACAAAATTCAGGGCACAGTCAGCCTGAGAATCCGGATGAGTCTCTCACTTTTTTCTGCAAAGCTGTGAGGAGCTGCCTCTGGCTGAAGGAAACGCAAGCGTTGTCAAAAGGACGAAGGGAATTGGTTTCATGACGGAGATAAGACCAAAGTAGAATGAAAAGCCCTGTCATCCTGAACTTTCTCTAGAGACAGGGGACCAGAAGTGAAGGGAAAACCAGGAAGGCCAGCAGCTCAGGGCCTTACTCGCACAGTCCCTTCTCTTCTTCGGCGCCCAGCAGGGCCTCATTCTGGAGAGAGCCCAGCCAGCCTCACCTTCCTCGGAGGAAGCCCCCTCTGGGACCCCATCCCAATCCCACCTGCTCTTATCATGCTATCATAGAAGAGTGTCCCCTACTTGAAGCACCTGCCTCAGTTTCTATCCCTGGATCCTTTGGTGTGAATGTCTGTCTTCCCCCCATGAAACTATGCCGAGTAAGAGTGGGGACCCTGTTTAAACTGCTCACCGTTAGAATCCCGTAGGGGCCTAATAAGTGTTTGTGGAATAGATTAAGTATTTCCCACTAAGTCTGAAAAGGTAAGCTGAAGGTAAACACTCTTTGGACCATATGCCCCCTGGAATGGGAGTTAAGCAGCACGCTTTATGGTTTCATCAGTACTTCTAAGTCTTTGTATATCCTTTTTTTGGTCACTGTTACTTACACTGCATACTGTTTTCCCAATCCTAAAGAATATTTCCAGGTGGCGGTTCATTCTCTAGAGTAGCAACTGGGAAGAAGGAGTGTCTTATTTGGAAAAGGGACAAGGTTGTTCAGCGAGCCTCCTCCTTCCTTTTGGTGACTGGCAAGCTAGTGTGTCTGTCCAATTCTGGGGTTCAGGAACTGGAAGCCCACATACCTGCAGACATAAGCCACATTCTCTAAAATTGATTTCATTGCTAATGAAGTTGAAGAGGGTTGTTGTGTACTGTTGTGCAGGTTGCGTACTGCACCATTACAGGGATGCCATTTGCACTTAGTCACGGCAGCCTTGTGGTGATTTTGGCCTTCATTTTTCCCTAATCTTTTGCTTTATTTCCTATTTGGTTCAGAAGTTAGGCAAGGAGCCAGTTATTGGGCAGACTTTGACAGTTGCTTCTCTGGTATCCAGCTTCCTTATCTATGACATAAGGGAATTAAAATGGAAAACCATTCTTGGTCCCTTTTCGACAAGAAAAAGTGCTATGAAATGAATAACTCTCTGAAATCCTGGTGACCAAAAACTAACAGTTAAGTATTAGCAAATTAGATTTTTAAAAAATGGCTTAAAAAACATTTCAGCTTTAAAAAGTGGGGGGATTCAATAATGGAGACTGTCTCACGAATATAAAAAGACAAGATCAACCATCTCGAACGGAACTGTCCAGTACGGCAGCCACTAACCACATGTGGCTCCTGAACCCTTGAAATTGGCGCGTGCAAACTGGGCTGTCCTGTAAATAATGAAACACGCACCAGACTTCAAAGCTGGGGAGGACGATGTCTTACCTGGGAGAAAAACCAGGTTTGTACAAACGGCCCTGATTGTTGCATAACTGACAGTTTATATCAACGACAATGTGCCAAAGTGGTAACACTTGAATATATTATGTCGAAGGAAATATCGGAGTTCATTTCACTTATTTCTCTTTACTTTTTTTTAAAAGATTTTATTTATTTATTCGAGAGAGAGAGAGAGAGAGAGGCAGAGGGAGAAGCAGGCTCCAGGCAGGGAGCCTGATGTGGGACTCGATCCCGGGTCTCCAGGGTCACACCCTGGGCCAAAGGCAGGCGCTAAACCGCTGAGCCACCCAGGGATCCCTCTCTTTACTTTTTTAGCATGAGGCTACCACGCCTTTTCGTTTCGTGGGTAGCTCGTGTTCTATTTCTGTTGTTCAGTTCGGGTCTTTAGACCATCAAGTGTGTTTCATTAGGGGCTGAGGATGAACTTGTGTTTCTTCCCCTTACACGTCCAACCGTCACCCGAGCCTTCGGACTCTTTGGGAGAGTCAGGGAATGCACTTCGGGATGCAGGGACTCTGTCCATCGGAAAGGAGAGCTCCCCGGTGCTGGTGCAGAAGCCCAGGCCCCGAAGGGAGGGACAGCAAGGGTCTTCATGCCCGACTTGAGAAACGACCTGCGTTCCTACCTTTCTGGCCATCTTTTCCATCACATCCTGGGAAGCCTTGGTGTCCTGGAGGGCCGGGTGGGCCCGGGGGACCTGGAGGCCCCGGCGGCCCACAGTCTCCTGGTTCCCCTCTCAGAAGGTCAACGCTCCCGGGGGGGCCTGGGGGCCCGGGTGCTCCTGACCGCGGGGAGGAGGCAAAAAGCTTCTTTCAGTCAAAGACCAACGTGGCAGCTGGCCGCCTGAGAGCTTCTTAAGGAAAGGAACTGAATGCAAGCGAGAGATGAAGGGAATTGGAAGAACGACAAAGCCCGCGGTGTCGGGAGTGCAACAGAGACTGTCTCGCGGAGCCCAAGCTGGGCGGTGGCGCAAGTGGCCTGTTAGTAACCATTAGACAAGTGGCTTTTCTTTGCATTGTCATGCCACTGCCTTAATATCGGGTAGAAGGATGGATGGATGGACGGACAGAAGGACAGACGGGCGAACTGACACATAGATGAAAGGCTTTGGAGAAAATCTGGTGATGGAAGAGGAATATTCACTCAATTAAAGGTTCAAATCTATTTGAAAACAGGCGTCTACACCCATGAGGTGAGCCCGAATTCTAGTCCCCCTCAGCTTCTCATACCGCCTAGGGTATTTGGGAGCGTTTTAATTTTTCTCAGCCAAAAATAGAATCGCATAATACTTGAGCCCACCCTGATGATCGGCCTGAAGACTTAAGGCAGTTGGGGTGGGCCTGCGAGGCGGCTGTGGTTGGGGGCCTGGGGCCGCCCTCCGCGATCCCCTGGGCGTCCCCCGGCCCAGTCTGCGCCCACTCTGTCCCAGCCCCACGCTCGGAGGGACGGCGAGTCCTGCGAGCAGCCCCTGGGGGCCTCTGTGCTGCGAGTGCCAGGCCCGGGCACCGTCACGCTGGTGGTGGCGGCTCAGGCGGCAGGTGCCCGGGACCCAGAGGTCCCACTGCTGCTGCGCAGGCCCTGCCGAGGGCCACCTGTGTCCCCAGGGAGGCGGTGCACAGAGCCGCCCCGGCCGGGGACAGCCCGCCGCCCGCACTCCCACCTCGGCCACCTGCCGCGTTGACGGCGCCGCTGAGGGCCTTCAGCAATGGCTCCGTCTGGTCCTACGTCCCTCCAGAGCCGGGGGCCTGCACGGAAAGCCTCCACCACCCCCTGCTGGGATTGTCCCATACCTCTCGGACCATCGGGGCCAGGAGGACCCACATCTCCGGGTGGACCTGGGTCAGGAACGTGACCTTCAGCAGCTTTTCCTGTGGCACCTGCAGGACCAGGGGCTCCAGGTCTCCCTGAGGAGGGACACGGTCAGCTGTCAGCCTCGTCCCATTTGCAAGGTTTTGATTTAGTTATTGAGAGAGGGCAGAGCATGCCGCTTCTTACCTGGGGGGCCGGGGGGGCCTCTTTCTCCAGAAAGGCCTGGGGGAGAAATTCCCGGGCTCCCAGGGTCTCCCGGCTCCCCTTTCAGCCCAGGTACGCCCACTGGACCGGGTGGGCCCACTTCGTGCAAACCTTGATGAGGGAAACAGTATTAGTCCAGCGTCTTCTCCCTCTTGGTCCCTGTTGTGGCTCCTGGAGAAAAATTGCCTCCAAACAGGGTGACGGGGACACAGCCGGTTGTGCTGAGACCAACCACCTGCTGCAGTGGTGGGGCCCTAATGGCTGCAAAGCCCTCCCTGGGTCGGTGGTCATCACTGCTTACACCCCATCAGCCATGGGTTCGTTTTATGGTTATTTCCCAGATTAAAACACACACACACACACACACACACACACACAAACCCACAACAGTGTATCAATGTTCCAACCTCTATCTCAGAAAGCATGAGACCCCAAATGAGATCCAGCAATAAGTAACTATGAATACACTGGCTTGAAATGTAAGGTGGGGATTAGCATGGAGATAACAACCAACCATTGCGGAGTTTCATCCTGAAAAGCGAGAACATCACTGGTTTCTTGCGGGAGGCACCCATTTCACCAGACTCTTTGGAAGAGCCACTGAAGTGAATCCTATGTGCCCTACATTAACTCTTGGCCTTCCAAACTGTATCAAGATTCAGTCTCACTCCAGCCACAGTATCAAACCTGGCGGCCCAACAATCCAACCCGCCACCCAAAGACCCTCAAACCTCCGTGTCTGATTCCAGCTGCCTCGTCTGATTGTAAGCTGTTTTGCTGAGACACTAAAGCAACAAACATCCACTATATTAAAATACCAGAGGGACACCCGGGGGACTCAGTGGTTGAGCATCTCCCTTTGGCTCAGGACGTGATCCCGGGGTCCTGGGATCGAGTCTTGCATGGGGTTCCCTGCAGGGAGCCCACTTCTCCCTCTGCCTGTGTCTCTGCCCCTCTCTGTGTGTCTCTCATGAATAAATAAATAAAATCTTTAAAAAGAAAAGTGAATCTTTAGCAGAGAAACAGTCCCAAGCAACATCAACAGAAGTCACTGTTAACCAGCCATTCTTTCTTAAATTGGGTTTTCTCAGGGGTCCTTTTTTATATAAATCATCTCCAGTCCTAATAATAGTCCAAGACTGTGTCTCTAAGCTAAGCCAGCTTCTCAGTCCGGCACCCCGATCATGTGCAGTGAAGGAATCCCAGCAGCCTCTCACAGTCTGTTGATCGCAGTTCGATCTCTCGCAAAGGATTTCCTCTTACCTGAAGCACCTTTGGCTCCTTTCTGACCCTTTAAACCATGCAAGCCGTTCAGACCCGGTGACCCGGAGGGACCTGAAACACATTATAGGCCTGTGACCCGCCAGGGAAGACCAGGTGTGGAAGTTCACTGGCCACTGGGGACGACTCACTGATGTCCACCAGTGGAATCCCCAGCCAGGAGAGGGCCGTGAGTTCTCACTGCTTAGATGTCATTATCAAGGCTAAATCCAGGCCAGTGGCTATTATTTAACACACTCATTCAAAGGACTTTTTTTTTGCAAGACAGCTTAACACATTTCTTCAGTTTTAACATACTGCTCTTGGTTTATGACCATATTGTGAACATCTCTCTCTATCCAGATAGAGACTAGAATTACTGAATCTAGGGGTAGGAAGGGACCTTAGGTTCTATGACAATGAAATCATCCTAGACGAGAGAAGAGAGATTGGACTGGAGCAAACCCAGGCCTCCTTCCTCCCAGGCCCAGGACCTGTCCACTCCACCATGCTCTGTGGATACTAATTTCTTCAAGATCTAGTCAGGTAAAGGGAGTAAGACAATAAGGACAGGCGGGGCCTGCGGCAAACTGGGGAAATACATGACCCAACTTTTCTTCAAGTATAAAGAAGAGGCTTGCAGGGCAAGTTCGGCTGGTGCTATGTCTTTGCCACTACTTCTTTCAAAACGAACCGCTCTGATGCCTCTTTACTGAAACTAAATTTATTTCATAACGATCGCTGAAGACTCCAGTCTCTGTAATTAGGTATGATGTCTTTCTGCCAGGCATCAGTAGAGTTCTCCAAGGAGACATCTACCAGCCTGATTTTACGTAAGTTGTCACTGAACACAAACACCTATAAATCTATAGATTCATAAACATATAAATCCTTAAAATACCCATAATACATTTACATCATCACACACAGCATACTTACACAAGTGTACAGATTTATAGGGAGAGAGTAGAGGGGGAAAACCAGGGACAGATGGAGGGAAGGAGGGAGGGAGGGAAGAGAAGAAGGCACACAACTGATACCTTCAGAACATTTCCCAGGAGCTGAGCCCTCCTTCACCAGGTGATTCATACATGTCTTGTCTCACTGATTTGGGGGAAAAAATCTTCTCCTCAGCCCCTGGCAAAACCTGATGACCCTCCAGATTCATTGGTGGATCTTCATCAAAGGCTACGAGCCAGCAGGCCCTTTACTTAGTTTAGGGCCACATCCCTGTCAGTTGCAATCACAACACCCTGGCACACGTCAAATGCCCCTTAGCTACCCCATGACACCTACACAAACCTCTCTCGCCTTTATGCTGGTGCCTGTCTTTGGGTGACTGGATTACTTTGGGTAAATTTATTGAGTGCAAGATCGAGCCTCATTAGCCATCCCATACCCCCATTTGGCATGTGTCCTGACACAAGGTTGGGGTTCAATAGGTGTTTGTTGAATGAGCGAGTGGATGCATGGATGAGTGGATGAGAAAACGTGCCACCGGGAAGGCCAGGGCGTGAATGGGTGGAGAGAAAGCTGTGGGAAGGAGGAGGTACAGCTTCTGTTTGCACGTTACGTTCTTTGATAGGTTCATGGGGGGAATAAGATTTGGTGAAGTTAGAGGCATCCCTTTGGGTATAAATAATTTAAGTGCTAATTATTATCTAGTCATTAATGCAAGTCCTCTGTGGGCTTCTTATTAAAAGATGGCACACTTAGCTACTTCCATTATACTTATTATCCGTACTTGAAATGGAGCGTTAGTCTATTTTTAAACTCAAACTTTAGATTTTGGTGCAGATGAGCCCTATTCTCTCATCCCCCGCCCTCCCCAAAATGGGAACGCACCCTTATTTTTTCCCTCAAGCTCTTATTTCCTAACCACTTTTAACAGTGCTGGCTGAGTTTATTTTTCAACCCTCTTTCCTCTTAATGAGCCGTTTCAAGTTTGCACCAAAAGAACACACAGACCCTCTTCATCCGCCAAATCTGGATATTTATTGCCATCTATCTGAAATGATAATAAATTTTTTGAGAACACTTTGCTATTTCAATGTGTTTTGATCTCCAGCTGAAGCCACCAAGATTGATGGCTTGGGGGACTCCACTAGGGTGGAATGTCTCAGCTCCTGCCAACTCTCCATTGTCTCATCAACACGTCCAGATCCCGGGCTGTCACGGGCCCAGCCCCTCACCATTGTTGAACTGGCCGACCCTTAACTGACCCAATGTTATCTTTCTCAACTGAATGCAGCTACATCTGGGTAGGATTTTAAGGGCAATTTTTCCTTTTTACTGAAAGCTTTTTTATCAACCCCATCTCTAAATCAGAAAGTTGTTCATGCATAAAATATACACAGTGCCGATGAGAGGCAATTAGGCCAACAAAGCACATTCCTCGGTAATGAGGATTTTTTTATTCACCTCGCTGGCTGTCCTCCTGCTTCACAACCTTCATGTAAGGCTACACCTCGCTACACTCATGGGCCTGGGGGCTCTCTCCCCCCAGTCAGACAAGGGAACCCCCTGCTCCAGCCCTAATGGGAATCACAGCCTCCATCCAGGGTTAGCTGGCCCACTCTGACACCGGGTTCCCCCACGGAGGTTTTCTTTTGTTCTACAGTCTGCAAATGCCACTCTATCCACCGTGGCCTCTAGACAGGTTTATATTTTTAATGGGGTGACCACTTTGTCCCCTGTTCGTATGGGATTTTGCTGGCTCTTGGGTCCTGAGGCACCCTCGGTCCCAGGCAAAGCGAGACAGCTGGTCCACCTGAATGTGAACACTGAGGAGAAAGGGACCCACATAACTATAGGTAAAGGGGGGGGGAATTTGAAAACTTAACAAAACAGAATCTGAAATAAGATATATATATATATATATATATATATATATATATATATATATATATATATATATTAAAATTCAGAAACTACATGAGGCCTACTAAGGAGAGGCACAAGAGCATAAAGACATGGTCTCCTAACCCGGGGGAGCTTCAGTCCCCAAATGTACTCAGTGACAGCTGCTGACAAGACAATAGCAAGAGAGAAATAATCCCTGACCTGATAGGACAAATGGGTAATTACATGAGGAGTGGTAAGTGCTGTGGGGGCAGGGCCGGAAGAGACACTCCCCTTGGCATAGAAGGGGGGAAAAAAGAGCTTTTCCATGATGTTCACTGCTGTAAGGTGCATGACATTTTTTTCCAGATAAAAGACATGTTGAGGTGCCTTTTTTCTGAGGTCACCTTTGGCTTGCCACCAGCCAAACCAACCCAATCCACATCTTTACAGTGCTTGTCATGGAACAGAGAGTTGTCTCTAGGCTTTCATTACTCCAGGCTCATGAATGCCCAACTAGGAACTGAGTGTCTTCCCTTTAGAGGGCACGTGTGCTTGAAAATTTAAATCTACAAATCAAGCCATTTTTAGCATATGTTTAAGTTAGAGTTTGAATCTGACCGAACCCAAGCAGGACCCAGAATCCATATGGCCCGTTCCTGCAGAGCAAACAACTTTTTGAGTTCAACAGCTGGTTTGTTCAAACAAGATAATCAGTCCCCCTGACTTATTTAGAACATACTTTAAATATTTAGTTTCTCAGATCAAAGTGTTTCTGCTGGAGTGCAGTTCATTTTTATATCAGCATGATAAACTGCAACAATGGATTTATATTGTAGACGTTTTAATTTTTAGGAATGTATTTCATGGTTCTGTTTTTCTGTTTTTTTTTTTTTTTTTTTTTAAAGACTGGGTGTTCGTTGGGCTGTTTGCAGCGAAACAGTGTCACTGCATGGTCAGGAAGCACCACTGCAGCAGTCGTCTGATTGCTGGTATGAATATTTGGGTTGACATATTTATTTCCTCACCTTCTCTTCACAAACTCATTATTCTATAGCACAGAACTCTGAGCTGGTTGGAGATTATTTTTCGAGTAATTCTGTTACTCAATCAACGTCATTGGCTGTTAGTCTTTTAATAACCCAGTATATTGAGATTATGTAATAAACGCAAACTCATTCAAGAGCAGACAAGTCAACAACAGTAACTTGAGCCTAGTCATTTTAGCCAAACTGGGTATATATTGTTACGGCACCAAGATGTTTGAAAATTCTTGCTATTTTCATTAAACGAGGCGGGTAGGAAGAAGGGGAAATGCAGTAAGAGTGGTTAATAATGGAAATGTTTTCTTTTGGTTTTTCACCAGTTTTATCTTTTAGAGACTCAAAAAAGTGTCAAAGAACACCACATCAGGCCTACCGCGATTTCCAGTGACAGCAAACAGCCATAGTCACTAGATAAGCTTTTATACAAAAAAAAAAAAATTACTACATTGCTTGAGATCCTAAATTTATCACAAATCATTGGACTTGACGCTAAATGCCAATGAAGAGAGAGAAGAGTAAAAGGTGTCTTGTTTAATGATGAGAACCAGAAGACAAGTCATTTTTGGCCACATGGAAATACATAAGTGTACCAATTCTCCAAAATAAAGGGCCTCCCTCTCTGCAAAATTGCACCAGATAATACACACCACACTACTGCATGTTGGAAGACAAAAATTATTTGAAAGCTATTTGGTGAGGGGAGAGATGAAAGTGTGGAAAATTTTAATTTGGATTTTCAAAACCGTAAAACAATTAAGCCCAAAGGAGGGGTTTTCAACTCTTTTGAATGGAGGTAATTTTCATTTGACCAAAATTTAGTACATGGATGAGTCAACTAGCAGAAGGTAAGGGAAGGAAGGAGGAGACAGAGGAGCTTAGTTACAGAAATCTACCACATAAGGCTTGACCCTTCATCTGCTCATTCGAGCAAAGACCCTCAACTTCACAGCTTCTAGTTAAGTTGTCCATTCTTCTACTTGTCCATTCCTCTATTTATCAATTTATTTGTGAACTTAAAAGTACTTACAATAACCATCCAGTAGACTTACTGGGTATCTATCTTGGGCCAAGGATATAAGATTCATATTCCACTTGGTGAGAAAGATCTCTAAACATACAAATGTATACAACGTAGGTGCTATGCTAGAAGTATATACAAAACACCCAGGAGAAAACTTTTGCTTTTTCCTAAAATAGAAGAAATGGACTGAAGAAGAATAAGTACCATGGAGGAATGGAGGGGCATGAAGATTTGTTAATAACAAATAAATGTGATATATGATATTATTGTAACCAAACTTATAACCAGTTTACTATTACTCAGAAGGACCAAACATTCAACCAGGAATGTCTCCCCTACTGCACTGTGATATCCATGAAGGTAGGAACCATGTCTATTGTCTTCAGAACTGTAAACCTAGTGTCTGACACACAAACTAGAACATAATAGGAACTTAATTATCTAAGGCGAGATTACGTGAAGAGGCCTGAACAGTATGGAAAACACTGGGGGAAATGCTCTCAAAAATGGCAGCACCGTTATTTTGGTAGAAGGTGGGTGGAGAACCTAGATGCACCGCCTGAAGCTCTGAGTGAGAGAGAAGAGGAAGGAGCTAATGGGCATCTCTAGGAAAGAGGAAGGATCTGTGACCAAGAGCAGTGGCACTCACTTGGCACCAAAATACAATTTGTCCTCATGGGTGGGGCTTCCTTTGCACTCACCTTTTATTCCTGGAAGACCTGGTGGCCCTGGATCTCCCATCATGCCTCTTGGCCCAGGATCCCCTGTTTCTCCTGGAGGCCCTGTCAGCCCAGGCACCCCTTGATTACCTGAGGACGAGAGGGAGGTTCTGCAGACACCCAGATGATATATGAGTTACCTTAACGGGGGAAGGTCATCTGTGTTCTTAACAGGTGAGTAACTGGGAAAACTGTCTTATCACTTTTATCTCCTAGACCTCCCAACCCTAAAAAGAAAAATACACTTAACCTCAGATGGAGCAAATACACTTTGGGGTGATTAAAGTCACCAATTACAATTTTAAACGTTCACTATATACTGAATCGGCAGGAGGAGGAGCCATAAAAGTGTTGTGTGTGTGATATTTGCCAAAAGTCTAAAAGAAAAAAGAAAACCAGCATCTGAATGGCAGGGGGATTAAGGAGGGATGGAAAGGAGTTTTTATCTGTCAGCCCCTCACTTTGTGACTGGCACCTTGCTAGGCTCTTAACAGGTGTTGTCTTGGTTTACTTCCAGACCAACCCGGTGGTACTGCACTAGCTCTGACCCACAGGTGAGGGATGGGTAGGTCTGAGTGACTTGTCCAAAGTCACAGGTCTGGGAAGGGGCAGAGTCACTTCTGAAATTGGGTTCAAGGGAAGGTTGGCTCTTTCTGATACACCAGAAGTTAGATGAGTGGCCCTGGAAGCTTCCAGGCTCCTTTCAAGATACCTGGACACCCTGGTGGTCCGGAGAAGCCAGGTAATCCTGGCCTTCCAGGTGGTCCTCTGAGCCCTTGAACACCGGGCAAGCCCTGCTCTCCAGGTGCTCCAAGATGTCCTAAAGAAAGAAAGATCCAACATCTGAGTAATTGTGGATTGGTTTCTGAGGTGGTAAATCTATAAAACCTGCAACTTCAGCCCTTGCCATTCTTTTCTATTAGTACTTGTCTACATTTACAAGGTTTCTGTTGAAAATAGCAAGGAAAAGTTGAAAACAAAAAATTTATATCCTACCACCTTAATACAATTTTTCATGGTAGGGATGCCTGGGTGGTGAAGCTGGTTAAGCATCGAACTCTTAGGTTTCAGCTCAGGTCATGATCTCAGGCCTGTGGGGTGGAGTCCCACATGGGACTCTGGGCTCAGTGCAGAGTCTGCTTAAGACTCCTTCTCTCTCTCCCTCTGCCCCTCCCCCTGCTCTCTCTCTTTCAAATAAACAAATCTCTAAAAAAAATTCAATTTTTATGTGTATAACAATGCCCAAATAAGACCCACAATTTTATATTCTGGTTTTTAAAAATTAAAACTGTATTATAAGTAATTTTCCAAATTTGCTATTCTTTTTCTAAGTATTGTTTTTGTTTGTTGTCTTTTTTTTAAGTAGGTGCCATGTCCAACATGGAGCCCAACACGGGGCTTGAACTCACGACCATGAGAGCAAGACCTGAGCTGAGAGACCAAGAGTCAGACACTCGACTGACTGAGCCACCCAGGCACCCCTCTAATTATCGTTTTTAGATTACCAGCTGATAGCTTATTGAGTTAATCTTAACCAATCTAATTTTCTCTTACAATTGGCCATTCAAGTTATTTCTCTTTGCTATTATGCATAACGTTCTTATATATTTTAATCCATTTTTCTCATATTACGGTATTTCCTCAGGAAAAATTCCTAGGAGAATTTCTAGGGAACAGAGTATAATATTTGGGTTCTTTTTTGTGCATTTTAAAATGCTGAAGTATTTTAACGTAAATCACAGACATCATGGAACTCCATCCTTAAATACTTCAGGAGGTATGTCTGAAAAAACCATTTTCCTACATGGCCAAAATAACATCATCACAGCCAAGAAAATTAAGGCCAATCGTTAATATCATCTAGTCTTCATTCCATACTGGAGTTCTCCCAACGGTGCCCTTAATATCCTTCATAGCTGGTTTGTCCACACTGGGTCTCATTCCAGAGCCACACATCACATCTGGTAGCTACGTTCCTTAAAGAAAAAAAAAATCTACTACCGTCTCTTTTTCAAGACAGAGACTTAAAGAGAACAGTTCAGCTGCTGTTTAGTTTAGTCTTTCAGAGTAGACCATTCTGTTCTCGACAGAGGTTGTCAAAAGGTTGTGTAAGTGTTGCCCCAACTCACATCACCACTCGTAACTGGCTACAGCCCTGAGATGGCAACTCTAAGAGCATGCCCTGAGCTCACTGAGGACTTACTAGTTTGTTGGCTTGTTTTCTTGCTAATTCAGTCAGAATAAAATAATATTTCAGACTTCCTCTAGTTACATTTCTTGGATTACTAGAGAAGATGACTATTTCCCCATGTTTGTTTACAATGTTTCACTTTAATACTGTACAGATTTACATGATAACCCAAAAGTCTGTGCTGAAATTAGCCGGTTGAATCTGCAAATAAAATATGTGTCTCTGTATTTACAACCCCGTGGATGGGGGGCACAGTCATTATTTATTAGAACACACATGAAACAAGCCTGTGTTAGTATATACCTGTCCCCTGATCGAATTTAAGATCTATGAGCCTCACTGTGTGTTATTTTATTTACCCTAAAAACATTCCCACAGCAAAGGCAAGCCAGTGTTCTTCTCCTCTACAAATGAAAAGACTGAAAAAAAAAAAAAAAAAAGACTGAGGCTTGCCTCCCCAGTCGTATCCATATTAAGAAGAGAATTTCTGAGTTCATCTGTGCCGTATTTTCTCGCTGAATTGGAAGGGGGAGGTAGCAACCCAGCATAATCATTTAAAATCCCCCGAGACAGGTAGCAGCTCTATGCCTTATGCCTTCTCATTGGGCTCATTCAAATTCAATCAATGCAGCTTTTCCCAGTCAATGGAAATTGTGTATTTAGGTAAACTCTGTGCTGGTGAATAACATATGATGGAATTTAGAAGTTTTAAGCTAAAGCTATGGCACATGAGAAAGGGAACAGTTTAAATGGTGATAACCACAGGACACCAGGGAAATCACGCTAAGGCAAATTCTCTTGAAAAAGTTAGCCTAAGTGGAAAATGACTTGGATTTATAATTTCTCACTTAAAATATTAGGTAATCTCAAAAGCCTCCATTTTGGACTAGTTGCAGCTTATAAAATCTTAGTGTCTTAATGATTTACATAAAACTACCAGTAAAGGTGGGATTTTCAGTTCACAAACTGCTTTCAAGGAATTTTACTTGATCCTCAGAACAATCCTATAATTATGCATGGGGCCAGTTTACAGGTGAGGAAATAGAGGACAAAGATGGTAAGCAACTTGCCCAAGACCACACGGACAGTGAGAATTTGAACCAATGATTTTCCTTCTTAAGGCTTCTTTCTCACTCTGGTACTTATTATGAACCCCCACAATGTTAACCTCAAAACTATTTTCCCCTCCAAATAGACACGTAAGCTGCACATTTTGGTTAAAATACTACATTACCTATTTCTATTTGACCATGTCAGAGCTAAAAGACCAATATGAAAGAGAGTGAGAAAGTTCTTGCAAGTGTAATAGCTAGTTTTTCTGTTAGACTTCCATTTTAGCAAACTTATGGTATAAAAAACAAAAAGACAAAGAAAACAAAAAACTTCTGATCATACTTCTGCTCAGATATTCTTTCCACTGTATGTAACGAAACATGACTATTGCCAAAGAGAATTTTAAGATAATGCACAAAATAAGGGTGCCTGGGTGGCTCAGTCAGTTGGGTGCCTGACTCTTGATTTCAGCTCAGGTCATGATCTCAGGGTCATGACATCAAGCTTTGTGTCAGGCTCTGTGCCCAGTCGGGACTCTGCCTGAGATTCTCTCCTCTCCCTCTGCCCCTCCTCCTACTTGTCCTCTCTCTCAAATAAATAAAATGCACAAAACTATTAATACGAGATATTTTATTTACAAGGGATCCATCTAAAGACAAACCTATGTCTAACCTATCCACCACCAGCTGAATGAGGTCATGCATACATCCCTAACCCATCATTTGTGATTGGTTTCTTTCCAAGCAATGAATACTCCTGTGCAGGTATCTTTATTCACTTGTCTGATCACTGGCGTGATATAAATTCTTACAAATAAAATTACTAAGCTAAAAAGCATGTACCTTTCATCAATGGTGGGTCATGTACTGTAGCCAGCCAGGGCCTCAAGCAGAAGGCAAGAGCGCAGTACATCCTAACCCATTCTGAGGGATAACATGTCACGTGTCAATTGTCACTGATAAACAGAGGATAATCGTTTGAACAATTTAGAGTTATTGTTGGTGATGGAGGTTTTTTTTTTTTTTTTGGTTTGGTTTTTAGTAAATTCCATATTCAGTAAATGAGATATTCCATGATACCTCAACAATGGCACTCCTCACTGGCATTCACATATGATTTTCTGAGTGGGAAAAAAAGGGTTGGAATGATGACCTGAAGCTGTGGTCAGTGTGAGTGGTTATTGCTAATGTACCATTCATAATTCTAGAGATTGTGAAGTAGTCCAGCTTTTAATTGCTTGCAATAATCATGTTTGACCATGTCAAAATCTGGGCATGCCAAGGGGAATGGATTGTTAGGTCACCATCGGAGGTCATGGGAGCCATGGTAGAAATGACTGAGAATCCCTGGTACAAAATCCTGATGTCCTTCTAGGCCAAGGATGTGGTGGAGATATGTATAAATAATCCTTCTGAGATGTGTGTAAACAGGGAAGAAAATAAAGATATAATTATTGCCGGATAGGAGTAGAAAGTAATTGTTCTATTTTTCAAAGTAATTTATTCTTTTTTGTTTTTGTTCTGTTTTTAAAATTTTTTTAAATTATTTATTCATGAGAGACAGAGAGAGAGAGAGAGAGGCAGAGACACAGGCAGAGGGAGAAGCAGGCTCCTCTCAGGGAGACTGATGTGGGACTCGATCCCAGGACCCCGGGATCACGGTCTGAGCTGAAGGCAGATGCTCAACCACAGAACCACCCAGGCATCCCATTTTGTTTGTTTTGTTTTTGTTTGTTTATTTGTTAAACAGGCTCCATATGCCAGTGTGGAGCCCAACACAAGGCCTGAACTCATGACCCTGAGATCAAGACCTGAGCTGAGACCAAGAGTCAGACGCTCAACTGACTGAGCCCCCCAGGTGCCCCTATCCTTTATTGTTTTAATAAGAAAAACATTCAGCTATACCTGGACATCCAGGGCTACCCGGTTCACCCTTTGGACCTGGTGGGCCGAACTGACTTGCAGGGTCACCTTTGCTTCCTGTAAGTGATAAAATGCATAATACATTATTTAAGATAACTTTATTTCTTAGAAGGGACTTAATAACAGTCATATTTGTCTTTATAGTTTATCTTCAAATATTCCAGAAGAATTTTTGGAAAAACAGGGTTTTTTTCCCTACATAAGAACAAATGAAAACATAGAAGATGTGATTTAAATACACACACACACACACACACACACACACACACACCTTTTTATTTTTTATTTTTTTTTAGTTCGTAACAATCATCAACTATATCTTAATCGGTTTGAATTTTTAAATTTCCTAAAATAGCTTTAAATTTAGGCATCTATTTAGGCAATTACTTGGCACTGAGCATCTATATTCTTAGTGTTTTAGAAACAAAAAACAGAAATTTCCCCTGTTTTAGCTGCAGTAAGCACATTTCAAGCTCTCTGCAAGGGAGCTCAACCCGGTATCCTCTCAGTGTCAACTCAAATATGAGAGCTTCCCCACTTGTAACTTCTGAAGAAGACATGTAGGTTATTCTTTCTGAAGTAGTAAATGTACACAGTTCATTTTTCTTATGGCAAATGTTGTATTATTTATGGAATGTCTCTCAAAATGCAAAGCATGTTTCATTGGTGGTGAGGGAGGAGATTTTTAGTCATTCATTAATTACTTTTATATTTTGTTACACTTTTTTAAAAGATTTTATTTTTAAGTAATCTCTACACCTAACATGAGGCTTAAACTTACAACCCTGAGATCGAGTGACATGCTCTCCTGACTGAGCCAGTCGGGTGGCCCTACTCCTTTATATTTTATTCATTGCATTTATATTAAAGTAAAATATCACTGTTCATCAAATCTGTGAATTCACAGATAGTGAAGTTAAAACTAAGGTTAAAAAGGTGAATCATATTTTAGTAGGTTTAAAGAAAGCTATTAACCCAATTGTATATAAGGACAGTAAAAAAAAAAAGGACAGTAATAATGTTAAAGGTTTATGCAAACATCATAATTTAAGATATCCTGATTTTTGTTGCTTGTTTGAATTAAGGGTTAATGAAACCTCTCTTTCTCTAAGAATATTTTTACCCACAGGTAACTGTGTTTCTGTTTCCCTGGAAATCTGATTAAGGTAGAATGCCAGTTGTGTTATGAGGCGACATTGTTTTTGGCACAAGGTAAACCAAGATCTATGAAGCCAAATCTAACTTGTAGCTTTTCGTAAATAAATTTTTAATGAAACACAGCCACACCCCTGGTTCGCATTTTGTCTGGCTGCTTTCATGCACAGTTGAGTAGTTTCAACAGAGACCACAGAGCCGAAAATACCTGTGATCTGGCCCCTCGAAAAAACACACTTGCTGACCCGTGGCTTATGGTAAAAATAACTCAACTGTAAATTATATGTGGCCCAGACATTCTTAAGTGAAATATTAACACCTGGTGGGAAATCATGGCTCCGGTCTTCTCTATGTCCTATGACTCTTGTCACTGGGACCCTAAAAGCCGTATCTATGGAGTCCTTAGAAGAGATATTAGCTTCCACGGTGCAGAAGGCTTCCAGACCAAGGTAGACACTGCCCACCACTGTGGATCTGGTCTCCTTGTACCCGAGCTGTCACTTATGGAGAGGCAGTCACTACAAAGATTGCTGAGAGACCCCCACTGAGACCTTGTGTACAACAAGCATGCTATTCTCTCTCTGGTACCCTTGGATCTGAATGCCAAATGTGGATAATTTGGGTCTTGAGTGTTTGACTATCAAGCAATCTAGCAGAGTCTAAAGAGAACCCCTTGGTTAGTATCCAGAATATATAAAAAACTTATGAAACTCATATCCCCCAAAATAAATAATCCAATTAAAAATGGGCAAAGACACAAACAGACATTTTTCCAAGGAAGATATCCAGATGGCCAACAGTTACATGAAAGGAGGCTCAACATCACTCATCATCAGGGAAATGCAAACCAAAACCATCATGAGATACCATCTCATACCTGTCAGAATGGCTAAAATCAACAACACAAGAAACAACAGGTATCAGCAAGGATGTGGAGAAAAGGGAGCCCTCTTGCACTGCTGGTGGGAATGCAAACTGGTGCAGCCACTGTGGAAAACAGTATGGAGGTTCCTCAAGAAATTAAAGATAGAGCTACCCTACCATCTAGTGTATTTCATTTCCCCCCAAAATACAATACTAATTCAAAGGGATACATGCACCCCAATGTTTATAGCAGCATTACCTACAATGACAAAATTATGGAAACAGTCCAAGCATCCATCATTTAATGAATCGATAAAGAAGATGTGGGTGTACACACACACACACACACACACACACACACACACACACACACACACACTAGAATATTACTTAGCCGTAAAAAGGAATGAGATCTTGCCATTTGCAACAATATGAATGGAGCTAGAGGGTATTGCTCAGTGAAATAAATTAGTCAGAGAAAGGCAAATACCACATAATTTCACTCATATGTGGGATTTAAGAAACAAAACAAATGAGCAAAGAGGAAAAAGGGAGGGAGAGGCAAACCAAGAAACAGATTCTTAACTATAGAGAATAAACTGATGGTTACCAGAGAGGTGGTGGTGGGGGGATGGAGGTGATAGGATTAAGAAGCACACTTGTGATGAGCACCAGGTGATGTGTGGAAGTGGAGTCCCTATATCGTACACTCGAAGCTAATATTACACTGTATCCTAACTAACTGGAATTTAAATAAAAACTTTTAAAAAAACTTAAAAATAAAGATAAAAAGAACCCCTTGGATGTACAGTTTGTTTGATGTGTTTTACTTTTCATGCTAAATGTGCGTGCTCACAATGTTCCAAACAGTCAGGACTGTGAACTTGGTGGATGGCTGCTGTGTTTCCAAAGCATACCTTTAGGTCCTCTCATTCCATCAATTCCTGAAAGTCCAGGGGACCCTGGAGAACCTGGCTCACCCTGACAGTTTAACAAAACAGAAGACTTTTAGTTTGGTTTCAAATACAAATGACATATGTATAACATGACCCAGTTATAACTTTCCATAACCAATTTCCATACATTTGCAGTGGTAAAGAAAATTAGAAGTGCATTGCAAAAAAAAAAAAAAAAAAGAAGAAGAAGAAGTGCATTGCAGACATAGTACTCCATGTGTCTAGCTTTTAAAAGCTGCTACAACTCCAGTATTAGAGGTGCCAACAGGTTCTATCCAATTCTCTATTCTTGATTACAAAACAGTAATTGTATCCCATAATTTGAGTTTTAAGTTTCAGATGAGTAAATTAATACCAAATAAAATATTGTTAGAAGACTTTTTTTTACCAAAAATTTGAAAAATCTATTTGGTTCCAAAAGATGGGTAGCAAATTATATACATCTTTTAGAAGTTGTGATGTAGGCTTAAGACACATATTGTACCTCTTGGCTTCTCAGGGAGGTATTTTACTCATAGTTATGAAAACCAAAGGTATTTACAGCAAAATCTGTGATATCTGCAATCATACAGGAAGGCTTAGAAACCAGAATTTGGGGACACCTTGGTGGCTCAGTGGTTGAGCATCTGCCTTTGGCTCAGGGTGTGATCCCCGGGGTCCTGGATTGAATCCCACATTGGGCTCCCTGCGAGGAACCTGCCTATGTCTCTGCCTCTCTCTGTGTGTCTTTCACAAATAAATAAATAAAATCTTAAAAAAAAAAAAAGGAACCAGAATTTGGGTTATTTTTCAGATGACTCTTCACTCTGATAAACCAGCAGTCATGAGGGAAGTTTCTGTGGAGCTGTCTAAACTAGGCTGGGAGGGGCAGGTGGTACGTGAAGTGAGTGACTCTCTCAACCACCAGCGGAAACAGGCATGACCATTTGTCAGAAATTATAGTTACATCATGGCTTTCCAGAAGGCTCCATTCTTCCCTTCCCTTCTAAAACCCAGTAAAAGGGCAATGATATTTACAGATAGATTATAACTACTTATGGGCATCCGAAAGCAAAAGGGTTTTATCATTTTTTCCCTCCCCAACTGGCAGCCACTTACCTGGTCACCTGGAAATCCCGGAAAACCAATAATCCCTCTCAGCCCAGGTGAGCCTGGGGGGCCTGGGGGGCCAGGAAGCCCTGGTTGCCCGGTTCTCCCGGGCTCCCCTCTGTGAAATCCAGGTGCTCCGGATCTTCCAGGCTCTCCTCTCCTCCCCGGCATCCCTGGATTGCCTTTATCACCTAATGGGGTTGGAAGTGTTACAAACCTCTCCAAGGAAATCCTGGTCTGGGCAGTAGTGAGGCTGAGGGTTTGGGTCCTATATTTAGGAGATGAAGCCAATGGTTTGGGGAATCCTAGTTCCTGCCCTAAGTCATATTGTGATGGTTTGGGGCCTTAGTGGGAAAGAAGCGTCCAGGAAGAGACTCAGGAAGGCATGAAGAGACTCTATGGTAGATGAGCATGCGGGGTTGTTTGCTTTGTTACACACTCATTTTACAAATGAAGAACTTACCCAGGGCAGTTAAAAAAACATTCGCTCCCCTAAACACTAGTGAGAGAGAGAGCCAAGATAAGAGCCCTGGCCTCACACACACTAAAACTGAACTTGGTGGGATAGAGAATACATATGTGGTGATCAAAATCCTTGCCACACACCATTTCTGGGGAGCAGGAGCCCAGGCATCGGGGTGCTTGTTACAAAGGCAGAGTTGGGCCTACCCCAGACCAGCCGATCCAGAATCTGCATTTTTACAAGAGCCCTAGGGATTCATGTGTACATCAAAGATTGAGAAGCACTGCTCAAAATGACCTGGACAATCGTCACTGTGTTACTTGTTTTAATACCGGTCACCACAAATGGGGGTACTTTAAAGCTGGAACTGGTATTAGATGTCTAATCTTAGGATTGATCTGGGTTTGGAAGATCCAAATCTATACATGCGTATGAACTTTAAATTCTGACATGGAAAAGCAAAAGAAAAATGCAGCATGAGGTTAATCTGTGTATATTTGTATCTAAAAAAAAAAAGTGACCTTCCTTAATCTTAGCATTATTAGGAAAGCTGCTTCATGCATGCTTGTTTGAATCATCTATAAAGGTCAACTCATTTGATATGGTTCAAAAAAAATGAGCGTTTACCTTCTTCTCCTGGGAATCCATCATCTCCTGGAGGTCCGGGTTCCCCGGTTTTCCCCTTTTGGGAAAAGACAGCCATCTCTCCTTCATCTCCTGGGGGTCCTCTCGCTCCTTCAGATATGAATTATGCAAGAGAAGGACAAACAGAAGCACCACACACGTGATTCTTCTGTGACCACACTTCACGTCCAGTTTCCAAATCCTCATTTTGTTCACTAAACCTTATTTATGTTTACAGCTTGCACAGTATCAGCACAGTATCAATGGATTTCCTAAAGGAAGGGCTGAGCCTTTTTTATGTTCCCTTCCCAACATGTCCAGCAAAAGGGTCTGGGGTACAGGGAGTGACTGGTGAATGCTTGCTAAATTCAGCCAAGTGGGTCTCAGGGTCTTGGGTGAAAAAAGGTAGGCTTGAAAAGTTCCAGATCTAAAATCATGGCGCTTCATCCAGTAAGATGTGAACTGCCCGTCTCACATGTCCCAGTTCCCTGTCTTTCCCTTCCTAGCTACCCTCTATTATTTTCCTTCTGTTGCAAGAACACTTATTTCAACTTGCTTCTCCACATCGAGAATTCTGGAAGGTAGGAAGAATAGACGATATTTCCATCTGATCTTCATAAACTGTCCCGACGTAGAAGTGTGCTTCAGTGGGCTCATACCAGCGTGGTGAGAGCCAATTATTAACAACCCAAGAATTTCATAAGCCTGTTGTTAAAGGGCTGGCAGCTTTAAATCAGGCATGGTGGGAGTATTTACACCAGTGGAGCAAACACCAATCAGGGCATATTTTTAAAAAAAGAAGTTTTTTTTTTAAAAAAAGAGTTTATTTATTTATTCATGAGAGACACACACACAGAGAGAGAGAGAGAAAGAGAGAGAGAGAGGCAGAGACATAGGCAGAGGGAGAAGCAGGCTCCAGGCAGGGAGCCCGATGTGGGACTCGATCCCGGGTCTCTAGGATCAGGCCCTGGGCCAAAGGTAGGCGCTAAACCGCCGAGCCACCCAGGGATCCCCAAAAAAGAAGTTTTTATATAAATTCCGGTTAGTAAACAATACAGCATGGTATCAGTTTCTTAAATCTGTTTTATTTTTGGAAATCATAATAGCATAGCATACGTCACTTAATCTAAGCTAGCTAAGAGTTTAGACACTGATTCCTTGATTATACATAAAAAAATTGATAGGCTAGTAAAACAACAAAAAAAATCACAGTAGAATCAATCAAGAAGTAAAAATAATTTAAATTATATTGCAGGCTATTTACCCAAAGGGCTTTAAGGACAAAAACACTTGTTTCTCAAACTGTCAAGAGTTCATTCCCCACACTGGAAATGAGATGTTACCTTCATTCTCTGCAGCCTCCTGGCCAAGGGGTAAAAGTAAATACGTAACAGGGATGAGCATAGAACATTTAAACCAGTGGTCCTGAAATTTTGATTTTTTACTAGTAATGAAAACTCTTTCTTTAAAAGCTTTATTATTTACTTTAGAAAGAAGTGAGAGAGCAGGAGAGGGTAGAGAGAGAAGGAGAGAGAACCTTAGGCAGACCCTCTCCATCCCACCACCAGCTGCTCATAGAGCTGAACATGAGGCTCGATGTCACGACCCTGAGATTATCATCTGAGCCCAAATCACGCTTAACCGACTGAGCCACCCAGGTGCCCTGAAAACTCCTTCCTTACATGACGCTTAGGAGACACATAACTCATGGCTCAGATGATAATGAGCTTATTCTAGTTCAGGTGTCGGCAAATTACAGCCTGAGAGTCAAATCCCACCTGTGGCCGGTTTACGTATAACCTGTAAGCTACGCTTTTTACATGTTTCCATTGTTAGGGGGAAAGCTCAAAACAAGAAAAATATTTTGTGACGTGTGAAAATTAAATGAAGTTCAAATTTTAGTGTCTGTAAAGAAAATCTGATTGGAATGTGAATTACATTAGTGTGTTTCCATGTTGTCTCTGGCTCCTTCCACACTCCAAATGCTGAGCTGAGTGGCTTCAACAGGGACCACTGGGCTTGCAATATGTACTATCTGGCACTTTCCAAAAAAAAAAAAAAAAAAAAAAAAATTTAAAAGGAAGGAAAGAAGGGAGAGAGAGGAAGAAAGAAATAAGAAAGAAAGAAAGAAAGAAAGAAAGAAAGAAAGAAAGAAAGAAAGAAAGAAAGAAAGAAAGAAAAAAGAAGAGATTAGAGAAAAAAGAAAAGAAATTGAACCAGGGTTTAGGTGCTCAGAGCCCTGCCTTCACCCCCTCCCCAACCAGTGAGAAAGTTCTTTCAAACCCAATAGCTATACATCAAATCACTTGTTATTTTTTTTCTATTAATAGAGCAATTCATTTATCAGTTATATGCAATCAGATTGAGAGGTAAGGAAAATGAATTTGGTTTAAAATTCTAAAGCAGAGACACCAGCAATCCAAAAGGAAGAGGAATCCAAACTGCAGGACAGTCCCATTTATTTTTCAAAGACCACGTTTATACGTTCTGATCAAATAGCACAACCACCTATATGGCCTCATTGCACCATCAGCTGCATTTACCTTTGGCACCTTTCACACCTTGGTCTCCGAAGAAGCCAGGCCGACCATCCTCTCCCGGTTCCCCCTTGCTGCCAGGGCGTCCCTCTGGGCCAGGCTTTCCTCTCTCCCCTGGAAAACCGGGGAAGCCAGGCAGCCCCTGGGGTCCTGATGAAATGAGAACAGGAACTTTTAGAAAAACATTTCATTTTATTTTTTGAAGATTTTATTTATTTATTTATGACAGAGAGAGAGAGAGAGAGAGAGAGAGAGAGAGAGGCGGAGACACAGGCAGAGGGAGAAGAAACAGGCTCCCTGCAGGAAGTCTGATGTGGGACTCGATCCCAGGACCCCAGGATCACACCCTGAGCCAAAGGCAGGTGCTCAACCACTGAGCCACCCAGGTGTCCCTAGAAAGACATTTTAAAAGCCAGCATGCTTCCTAACTCTGGGTTCCTTGTCATGGGCTGGGGCTGCGCCCTCCCATGGACCTCAGCTTCTGCACTGAAGGTGGGCAACCGCTGTCAGCCCCGCTGCATGCAATGGCTGTACTCGCCTCCTCAGGTTTCCACCCCCTAGGGCTGACGTGGAAGCCTTTATGTTTCTGAGTCCTGATCTCCTAATGCTTCAAGAGATCAGAAGCCAGGGACGTGGGGCTCATCCAAAGTGGAAGTACACTAGCCCTGACCCAACACTTTACCGGCTCTACCCAGTGTGTTGAGCAGAAGTGTTCATGCGTTCTGTGGACTCAACACCCCACCCACCTTTTCCCGTTTACCTACACCAAAAACATTCTGCCCTGGAAACGACAATATAGAGGATAAGAAGAAAGGAGATGTCACTAAGGGATGGACAGTATCAGGCTGATATAACAGTAAATTCAATAGTAGGATCATATGCAGTAGCCTTCACTTGGCAGTGGATTTCAAGCTTACCGAATAGGGGTGCAATAATAGAAAAGCACTACCCACCCTTCGGGCCTGGAAGACCAGGCAGTCCATCATCCCCTAAGGGGCCTGGGACTCCTGGGAATCCTAGGGGTCCCTCTGCCCCTGGCCGTCCAGGGATTCCAGGGAGACCTTTCATTCCAGCTGGACCCGGAGGCCCCACATCCCCTCTGTGTCCTTTCCAACCTGGGGCACCTGCGACAAACCACAGTGACAACATACGATAAATGGCCTCACACGCGCAGACAGGTAGAAAAAGTTCACGATCGCTTAAATTGTGTATCTGTGCCCACGAAGCAACATCCATCAGCTAAAACCATAGTGGCAACTCTCCCTCAGGCTCAGAACCTATTTTTCTGGCTGCTATAAATGGAAAGGGAGATTACTTGAGTGAATATTTCCCGATGGAGAGATACACGAGTGCTATAAAGAGCATTTAAAAAATGGAAAATGGAGAAGGGTGAGGGGCAAAAACATGATTTTGTATTTACTCTTGAAACTAGTAGAAGAAAGCTTTCCAGGTGTTTCCTGAAGCTCTGGCCAAGCGAACTTGGTCAGGTTGTTCACCGGAGAGAACTGCAGAAATCACAGCCACATCATCTAGTTTTTATTGGTGCTAGAAATAAAGCTGTAGTGGCACGGTCTGCCCCAGTCTCATTATGATCCATTCAGAGGGCACTTTCCTGCCATTTGGATAAATGCAATAGGATTTAAATAACAGGTGACAAACCAAATGGTGACATGGAGATCCTACGGCAATAGCCCTCTGGCACCCTGTGTGGAGATGTACCTCTTCCTGGGTCTCCCGAGCCCCTACGTGTCTCGTGTCTTGCTGCTTGTGCCAAAAATACAAGTGTCCTGGCCACTCTGTACCTGGGCTACTTCTCAAGGTCACAACCTTGGCAGCTGATACAGCGCCTCCCCCAGCATAAAGCATAAAGAGCGGGCTGTCCTGCAGGTGGCTCTAAAGCAGCAGTCCCCCAGGCTGGGTGCCCCTCTCAGATACTGCTCCCCACTGCGTGTGGAATGCAACATCCATCGAGCCCATGTCTGTGCCCCATGAGATGAGGGGGACAAGGGGAAATGACACAAAGCACCAGGAAGCTCATGCTACTTGTTGTTCTGTGGAGTAAAGTCCTGTGTCTCTGCCCCAGCAGTCTCAGTCCTGCTGGTGGGTAAGAGAGCGGCAGGCAAGCCTGCTCCTTCCTAAGCGGGGTCAGGTCCCAGACTCTTCCCAGGGCTTGATGCGAGCTGGCACTTACCTGGACTGCCTGGGGCCCCGGGGAGCCCCGGTTGCCCTGGTATCCCTGGGGCGCCTCTTTTGCAGGAATGGCCAGGTGGACCCGGGATACCTTGAAACCCAGAGCTTCCCTCTCTGCCTCTGGGACCTTTGAGACCTGGGGATCCGGGCTTGCCGGCTGGCCCTGAAATGACACAATGCACCCGTGACTCCCAGGGCCTGAAACACTAGAGTCAGCCTGCCACAAAGAGTGTATGCATTATCAGTACCAGCAACCGACGTTTGATCCTGGCTCAGGGCTCAAATGAGTAAAGTCTTCCTTTTTTCTTTGAAGATTTTTATTTATTTATTTAAGATAGAGAGAGAGATTGAGCATACGCAGGGGAAGGGGCAGAGGAAGAGGGAGAAGCAGGATCCCAGCTGAGCAGGGAGCCCAATGTGGGGGCTCGATCCCAGGACCCTGGGTTCGTGACCTGAGCCAAAGGCAGCCACTTAACTGACTGAGCCATCCAAGAGCCCCTCTCAAAGGATTTTCTTAATCCAGATGGCAGTTAAGCTCTGGGAATGGGAAAACCCATGCATTAGTAATAGAGTTATTTGATAAAGTTACACAGACAATAAAGAAGTTGCTTAGGCAAATGTAAAAACCAGGCAGTTCTTCTTGATTTTAATTAACCTCTGACATCGTGGTAGATGGGCTTCACACCAAATCTCCACAATGCTTACACAACCAGTTTGCACTGAATGGATGTGCTTTTTGTAAGCTGCTTCATCACTTGAACTCTTAAGTTTCTATTTATTGGAAAAGCAGTGTCATAATTTTCAGGAAAAGAAAAAATCAGGGATCCCTGGGTGGCGCAGCGGTTTAGCGCCTGCCTTTGGCCCAGGGCGTGATCCTGGAGACCCGGGATCGAATCCCACGTCGGGCCCCCGGTGCATGGAGCCTGCTTCTCCCTCTGCCTGTGTCTCTGCCTCTCTCTCTCTCTCTGTGTGACTATCATAAATAAATAAAATTCAAAAAAAAAAAAAAGAAAAGATCAATCCCCCACCTCTCCATGCCCTAAACTAAAAATCTATTTTACTTTTTCACGTTTTCATTGTACTTCTCGTACGTTTACATTTTTAAAGTAGTAACCACAGCACACCATCGTTGGATTATTTCACATTGCACGTTAATCTGCAAAGGTTTTCAATTTTGTTGTAATCTTTTAAAGGTGATTTTAGTTGCTAATCGCCGAATGGCACTCCTTGGAGTGTGTGTGTGTGTGTGTGTGTGTGTGTGTGTGTGTGTGTGACTTTATTGTTCCCACTTGTTCCTCTCTTATGGATGATACAAGAGTATTTCATATTAATCCTCCTGTTCTACTGAACACTTCCCTTAGATATATTGTCACAAGGGAGACAGTAGGATTCCTAAATCAAAATTATTTTCATTGACTCACATAATGTATTATCTCGCTTCTTTCCAACCAACTGGGATTTTGTACAGAGTAAGCTCACTCCCTGTGACACAGAACAGTGGCTTAGCCCCCTGCCCTCCGTTTCCCCTGTAGCATGATACTATTGTGGCTACCTAATACATACTGGCTCATCGACTGTTAGAAAAGAAGCAGAACAGTGTTTGTAAAAGTCTGGTCTAGGATCCACTCTTGGTCACCATCACCCGAGGGGCTGACGTTCAGACTGGACTGCTAGGAGCCACCCAGGTCTGATGTAATGAATCAAAATTCCTGAGACCAAGGCCCAGAGGATGATGATGATTTTTTTTTAGAGATTTTATTTATTTATTCATGAGACACACACACACACACAGAGAGAGAGGCAGAGACATAGGCAGAGAGAGAAGCAGGCTCCTCCCAGGGAGCCCAAGGCAGAACCCGATCCCAGGACCCCAGGATCATGACCTGAGCTGAAGGCAGGTGCTCAACCACCGAACCACCCAGGTGGACCGAGGAGGATGATTTTAAGGACCCCGACCCAAGATTATTTTTAAGTACATGAAAGACTTCTGCTGTGGATCCTGAAGAATCCTATGATTCTGGAAACAAATGGAAGCCTGGGCCAGGATAATCTCCCCACCTTCCTTGCCCGCTACCCCTGCTGGAATGAAAATCCCTCTACCCTGTCACCTGTCCAAGTAACACAGCTTGTGTGCTAGGGCCCAGCCCTGATGATGTTCACATCACACACTGCTCTACGCCCCCCACCCCGCCCCAGAGCTGCCCTTGCTCTTACAGGCTGTCCTCCCTCAATGTGCAGTGGGCAGATGACCCGGTCCAGGGTCCTGGGGCATTTACAGCACAAACGCCCTGAGTCCAAAGCAGGCAGATACCCAGTAGCTGCTGAACCAAACTGAATTGACTGAGCCATGGATTTGAAAGCAATCGGTAAAATGCAAAGGCAACGCTGAGGATGCAGGTTACTTGAAATGTGACCAGTGCTCACGTATGAAGGAAGAAGATGTTTAGAGGGAAAATTCTGCATTCTACATTTCTAAGGTTAGATAGTCTAAATACTCTTCAATATTTAGCTGTGTTCCAGAGCTGAGCCAGCTTTGGGGACCACAGGGACAGCGCAGCCCTCATACCTGCAAACCCTGGACGTCCTGAATCACCTCTGTGTCCTTTGGACCCTGGCACTCCGGAAGGACCTCTCTTTCCTGGGGGGCCTGGGGGGCCATAGGCAATGTCTCCCGTCATTCCTTTCTGACCATTTGCTCCACGAGAACCAGGAAAGCCTGGCGGCCCAAGAAGGGAGGACCCCTTTTCACCTTCAAAACCCGGATCTCCCATGTCACCACGAAAACCTGTTGAAACAAATTGATTAAACTGTTAAATATACACAGAGAACCAATACAAACGTAAGACTGCTACTTTGATAAAAGCACTTTTTTTAAACTAAAAGGTATTAGTTAAAATTAATTAAAATTAATTAGGTATTAACTAAAATTAAGAATAACCTAATAGGCAACGTTGCTTTGCCACCTCGTGTAGGAAAATACATTGTGATTTTGTATTTCCTAGAAGCCAATGATGTTTCCCTAATTGCTTTCATTCACTGGCAGTCTGTCTGGACTGAACAGTTTCTACCAAACAATAGGCCAATAAGCCAATAATAGCCTGTAACTCATGCTTCAGGTGGAAGGAGCCCCGAGAACTTACAAAATTATCAGAACCTACAAGTTATCAAAACATAGGTAAGAGCTTAATGTTTCAAGAAAAGAGACCTCACCCCATTATGTAGGGATCCCTGGGCCACCTGCTTACTAAGGTCATCGAGTTTTGGAGTCATATACACATTCTCAAATGAAAAACACTGATTTACCGGGTGGACCGGGTATCTCTGACATTCCTGGTTTGCCACGCTGACCTTTTGGCCCATCCAAGCACCTCAACCCTGGAGCGCCTCGAGGACCCGGAAAGCCCTTTGGTCCTAAACAATGACAACAAAACACAGACTCCATAAAACACAAATCAAATGAGAACAAAATAAGGTGGATTAAAAAGAATCTGTGCTGTCTTTTTCAGAGTATTTCTACTTTACGTAACTGTTGCCTCGCCTGGTTTACGTAATCAATCTGTGAATCATGTGCTCCAAACAAGTGTTTCAAAGACAGCGATTGTGTTAATGCACTTTCTCAGAAGCCATTCTGTAAAGGATTCTCCCTAAAAGCCTTTGAAACGTGTACCGCCACTCGGATGAATCTTTTGGTGCCTTCCCATGCTCTGTCTCAACACAAATATTTGAGCACAGCCCCTCCTTGTAGAAGGGCGGGAAGGCAATGCAGCTTGTGGCCTGCTGAGAAAGCCCCGGGGTAAAGACCAAAATCTATTTCCCTACACCTTACTGTATTTGCCCTCAAATGAAGTACAGGCAAGAAGCACCTGCAAAAGGAATCAAGATTTCTTTTTTTTTTTTTTTTAACTTTCTGAGATTTTCTACTGCAAGTTCTCTGAGTTAAAATAGCTTTAAAGGAGGTACAACTGCCAACGTAAAGTCTGAGCGTTCATGTTCCCTTGAGGCTCAGAAAGCAGAATAGAGTAAAACTTACAATCGGTAAAGCAAATTATCATTTTTCACTCTTGGGACACGGGAAAAGAAAGAAGGTACAGTTTTAAAATTCTCAAAATGTAGATATTTTTACTGATGTGTAATCAAATAAAGGCAAATTTTGTTGCACACAGATATATAGAAACAAAAACCCAAAAAACTTCTCCACCTAGGGTATGCCCAAACCAGTAAACTTGAGCCCCAATGTGACTTACCACAAATGTTATTTTCCCACAGTCCCTCAAAACCTGATGATAATTTTAGAAGTATCCTCACTAGCTGCCAGATTAACTATTGGTTCATCATCTTACCAGTTTTATTTACTCTGGGGAATATGTAAAACAGCAATTTCCCATTGATCCTACCTGGAGGTCCATCAAAACCTGGGGGCCCCGGCCTCCCAGGGTAGGTGACGTTACAAGAAATTGTATCACCTGGAATGAAAAAACAACAAAACGGGCATTCATTCAACCAATAGCCTCACATAATATGAATTTCAATGATAACTCAATAAAGATGTTTTCTTCATAGAGTTTATGTGGAATTTTAGGGGAAAAGAAGAATCCCAAGTACTGTGAGACCATTTGAACTGCCTTTATTATGATTTTCTAAAAAAAATATGTCCTGAAAGCTGAGCTTCAACTGTCAGACTGCTATAGACACAAGGGGAATAAGAAGAATTCCAAGAAGTATTAGTTTTAATAGCCTAAAAAAAAATAATGCATTGACAGGCCCAATGATATCCAATACAATGGAGTCAGAAGACCTGGTTAAGTCATGAAGGAGGAGCGATATTGAACAGTGAGATCAGAGGACTGGACACCTGGTTTGGGTGTGGGAGGCTGCAGGGATGAGGACACTCGATGATCTGTTAATGCCAGATGCCACTTCCTGAGGGCCTGCCATGGGTGTGGGGCTTCACGTGTATTGTCGCTTGGTTTTTCCAATGACTCTGCAGTGTGGCCAATGTCATCCCCCATTTTCACTGGTGAAGACAGGAAGACTCCAAAAGCTTGTGCCTCTCAGTTCCCTCCTCCCCCTTTAAAAGGGAATGTTTCTCTTTTATAACAGAACTAATGGATTACAATGTCATCAAAAACATATCAACTGAATAAAAAATAATGTTAGATTTTGATGGGTCCAGAACCATAATCTTAAACCTTAGTGAGGACCAGATTATTGATTATTGCTATGTGGTCAAAGCAGGAACCAAAGATACTATCACATTTTAACACCTCACAATTCATAATGTAGCCCGAGGCGTAGGCACATATTATAAAAGGAAAAAAAAATCTTGAATAAATCTTTCTCCAGCCCTTTCAAAGTTTTCAGCTCAAACTCAAAGCAAGTCACTTTATTTGTTTAAATTCAGATAACTGTCAAATATATTTGAAATCCCTTCTCTTTTTTTCCTTCTAGAATGCTTACAAATGGACTTCCAAGGACAATGATGTGTTTTTCAAATGAAATACTAGCGTTTTTATTAAGATACACCACACTGTCTCAAAAGACTGTAAACAAATAGATATTCTGAATACGTATGTAAATTTAATACGGACTGCAGGAGTTGGTACTGAGAAATGAATGAAAGGCCATTTTGGTATGCCAGACAAATAAACAGCAACAAAGACATTTTAGTATTTTAAGAATTTGTTTTAAATATTGATTGTGCTGTAATGCTTTTATTTGTTTGACAACATTCAAGGTCTGAAGAGCAGCTAGAAGGAATTTTATTGAACGGTTCTGCTGTAGCTATGATAGCTTTGCCCAGAAGAGAGGATCACTTTAGGTTCCACGCTTTCCCTTGTCATTCTGTAACACAAAACATTCAAAATTACCTTTCAGGCCCTTCAAGCCCTCGAAGCCCCTCTCGCCAGGGCGGCCTGGAGCTCCTGGTTGTCCTCTCTCTCCTGGTGGACCGGGAAATCCCAGACCTGGTTGTCCCCTGGGTCCTGTTCTGCCCGGGGGCCCCGGTGGTCCAGGAGACCCTTTAGCACCTGGGGCTGCATCCTCATGACCCCCCTGGGAATGTGTGCATCATGAGTCAGTTACAATCATTACAAGTTCATGAGTTCAAAGCAGTCATTGTCATAAGCTATAAAAACACATGGAAAAAACTTATAAATCCAGTAGACTCAATAGCAAACCTAATTTTAAATGATTAATCCAGATTCTTGTTCATATTCTAACTAAATATTTACAAATATATATATGCTATGGGGGGGGGTTAGGCCTCAAATAGAGAAAGCCATGTGTGTGTTATGTGTTAAATACGGAATTAAGAAATCTTACATGAGAACAGGTCTCTAATATCAAAATAATAAAATACAGAAATATGTAAATTGAGAGAGGTAGGAGGCTTACAAATTAAACAAATAGGCTCTGATGTATTTGATATTGTTGCCCTTCTTGTTGTTATTCTTATGAGAAGATACAGGGATAGACTCAATCCCCTCCACATCTTCTCCTGCTTAAGATTTTGACCTTTGGTTAACTGTCTAGTTTGGTTCGTCTGGCAACTTCATACAAACTGGATGTCGAGTACATCACAAGGCAACATTGTTTATGGTAAAACCAATCCCTGGCTGCAAACCATGCATCTGGTCCGGAAAGCTAGGAAGATCTTTGCGGAGCCCTTGTTGGGGGTCTCTCGAGTGGTGGTCGACCCTCTCTTGCTTGCCACTTCCCCTATGTACCTCTTCACCCAAGGAACAGACCAAGAGTCATTATCAGGACCCGTGTTCTATCCTCTGCCCTACAGAGTTAACTGAACAGGCCTGAGATCATTGGGGGCTTTGTAGATACGAGGGCCCCAGAAACAGAAAAACACCATGAGAATGATACAAAGGCCAAAAACAGGACAGGAAGTCTTGGCATGACTAAACTTCCATCTGCAATTATTCTACACCATTTTTTTAAAGATTTTATTTATTTATTCATGAGAGACAGAGAGAGAGAGACAGAGACAGAGGCAGAGGAAGAAGCAGACTCCATGCAGGGAGCCCGATGTGGGACTCGATCCCAGGCCTCCAGGATCACGCCCTGGGCTGAAGGCAGGGGCTAAACCGCTGAGCCACCCAGGGATGTCCCTACAGCATTTATAATAACCATCTTTTTGTGGCAATCAACCAAAGATGGCTCTGATTACAACACATTGGCAGTTCACTGCATTGTAGTTTTAAATGAGAAAGGAAAAACAGAGGCTTTATAACCATATAAGAAAATGAAATTCTGTAGTCAAAGAAGAATTATACATACCGGGGGGCCTGGATCCCCCTTTTTTCCAGGAAGTCCATCCCGACCATTTTGTCCCTGTTGTCCTGGAAATCCTGGGAGCCCATCAGGACCTCTTTCTCCTTTTTTCCCTGGGAACAAAGTCCAAAAGATATTCCAGCCCTTCTCAGCAATGGGTGAAGTAGGAGGACACACAGGACAAAGAAAAAATGATGACCTTGCCTCTGTGTGGCCTGGTAGAGACTCCTCTGAGTGTCTCAGTTGACTAACGTCACACAAAGACAACCATGCAAAAGTCAGAGGGGAGAATGACAATTGCCAAGCCCACTGACTCTCTTATTTTGGAAGCTCTCCTTTCCTCATTCTGACAGGGAGGTTGTGTGTGGAGGCACCGATCACAACAGCATCTACCCCTGCCTGTGTGGTGCCAAATATGGAACTCCATCCCCTGGCAATGGTGAACAGGGGAGCAGCCCATGGTTGTGCACTACCCCCAGGCTAGTCCAATTCTTCCTAAAATGTTCTTCAAGCTGGAGCTGAGAAGGTAGAGCTTGCCTTCCTTTTTTTTTTTTTTTTTTTTTTTTTTGCCTTCTTTCTGTAAGAACTTGGAGCTTCTGGTAGGAGGGGCAGTATATCCACAGCCCAGGAAAGCTAGTCTTGGGGAGAAATGCAGATGGTACCAAGAAAGATAGAAGATGCAGGAGGAATCTTCTGGATCCAGCTATCCCAGTGCAAACCCTACATCTAATACTTCCAATTTTGTTTGGGTGAGTCATTAAATTACATTTTTTTTCTCTAAAACTTCTTCAAGCTGGGTTTCTATCACGACCGAAGTAGTCTTGATTAATACAGGATGCTATAAGGCACTGAAAACAGAGTAGCCAAGTCAAGTCGGTCTTGTGTCAAACCCAAGTTCATAATAATAAGGACTTGAATATGTTTTTTATGTTTTCAAATAGGAGACAGAGGATTTGAGGCCCAACAAGAAATGTGAACAGCAAGGAATATTTTTTAAGCAATCTCAACAATACTGTATCTTGTTATAGAATTGATCTGCAAGGGAAATGAATGCAAGAGGATGGTTCATGTGTCATTCATTAAATGGCAGGGAACTACGTAACTGACTAGGCTCACCTTTCACTCTTGATACAACCCTGTCGCCCTTTTCTCCTTTGCTGCCAGGTGGTCCTGAGGCACCATGCTTTCCCTTGGTGAAAAATAAGAGGAACAAATCAGTTTAATTTTGATGGGTCAAAAGTTATTCATGTACATCTAATCTCTCAGTTCTTTCCTTCTAAATCACCTGTTCTCGATTCTGGTTTGGTACTCTTAGTATCAATCTCTTCCTTGCCTTCTAAGTGGCTCCTACTTTATAAAACTGAAGCTCTTGACCTGCATTTAAAAGCTTGCGGAATCTGGATAAGGTCTGTATCAAATTCAACAGAAATATCTATCAATATCAATTTCCTGGTTTTGGTAATGTGCTATGGTTATGTATGTTATGATGGGGGAAGCTGGATGAAGGGTCATGATTGTGCAACCTCTTTAAGTCATAAAATAAAACATATCTCAAGATAAAAATTTATAACAACAATTTCTAACCATCTTGGGCATTTTAATGCAGAATGAAAAGGAAAGAGGAGGTGCCATCAAAGCTGAAGGCAGAGGTTTAGGGACAAGAGTGTGATATGAGGGAAGTTGTGAGCAATAGAAGGGAAAATAAGAACCTTTCTTATAGCTTATGTATTTCCTCTATATAGCAAGTAAACAGATAATTTTGGCCAATGGACTCATCATCTTTTGACCTCAACATTGCTCTGAGACTCAATGTTTGGGTCATGGTTTTATAAGCATTATGTGTTATTGAATATTAAGCCATGTCAGAAATCTGGAAACCTACCATCGGTATATGAGAGTGGCCAAGCATCATAGTAAATACAGCTACACTATACGTAGCTTAAGGTTACTTATTCGGTGATCTTGAAAATCAAGAAACACAGACAAGGATTTTTTTTAAAGATTTTATTTATTTATGAGAGACATAGAGAGAGAGAGGCAGAGACAGGCAGAGGGAGAAGCAGGCTTCATGCAGGGATCCCGATGTGGGACTCCATCCCGGGTCTCCAGGATCACGCCCTGGGCCGAAGGCAGGCTCTAAACCACTGAGCCACCCAGGGATCCCCCACAGACAAGAATTTAGTCAGAAGTGAAAATGACTGAGCTAACCATTCTTTTCTCACACAGATGCCACTTGGTCTTATTTTCACGCAATCTTGCAACATGCTCCTGCAAGCTTAATTACCTTTCTTAACTGGCACTTTATAGGCAGTTCACTGCTAAGAGAAGAAGGTGCCAGTAGAGATAAGCATAATGGCAGGATTAAGCAATAAGAAGAAGAGGTCAAAACTGTTCACAAGAGGCTTAAAAACCCAAATGGCAAAAATGCTTGAGAGTCATTTGTTCTAGAGAAAAGACAGTTCCACACACCCACTCAAGATCCCGAGGAGGATCACTGTAGTATAACATTCTGCGTAACGATGTTTATGAGACACCAAAAAGGTGGGTGGAATAAATTTCTGAGTAGAATAAGATTAGACAGAAAAGGAACTTTAAAAACTGTAAAGTACTAATATAGGTTGAATGTTGCTTGCTGTTGAATTTTTCCTGTCCTGACAAAAGGACAGAGCCAAAGTACATGAGACACATTTAGTCCAAGAGTCAGATGATGATAACGTCCTTCTGATGGATAAACTATCAACACATAAAATCATTCACTGAGCATGTGAACTATTTCCTTTCCTGAAAGATAATGTCAGTAGAATGAGGCCAGGGACCAGCTTCTGAGAGAGGAGGTGTCCGGGGAAGTGAGAGCATCTACAATGATCAACTGTGGTTACTCTGTGCTCTTTTCTTGTATCCATTCTTCTTCCTCACCACTTTCCTTCCAGGGTGCCCCACAGTACGGACCTAATCTCTAGCTATGACCACACTGTGATGAATTTAATGTAGAGAAGTCATATGGAGGGAATCACACACAGAAAAATGCCATCAGAAATATAATCTGCCCGAAGAGGTAAGCCTTAGAGCAACTGAATTACATAGAGCTCAGCTAGGGCAACCCTGGACGAACTAGTAATTCACACACAAAGATGTTAGCCCTGAGAAGCAACTCAACAGGAAGCCACAAAAATACTTTAGAATCAGTGTAATCTTCATTAAGAAGATTAAATAGAAACATGAAAAAATGACTATGCTAAAAGGCTGAATTTAAAAAGCAGACCATAAAATGCAAAATACTTAACAGCTGTTGCCATGTTCATTCAACACACACGCATTAAAGAATTAGCTTCTTGCCAGGTAGACTTTGCCAGTGTGCTTTGCACGTGTGTCAAGAGTAGTACATGGACAGCCAGATCGTCACTCTCACTTAAGGCTCTCAGACTGGAGCCCTGTTTTCATGGCATTTCCTGGGGACAATGAAAAGGAGCACATACATAGGGGAAGATGGTTAGGCTCCAGGTCACCCCAGGATTGAGGCTCTTCAATAAAGATGGGACAAGTGGGCTGTGTCTCACCTCCAGAGGAGTGCCCGTAGGACCCTCTGAGCAGCCAAGTAGCTGAAAGGTTGTTCCTCAACTTGAGTCACTTGTAATGGTGAGTGAAGGCAAACCATTTCAAAGTAGATCCATCTGCTCTGTGGCATGAGATATCACGTAAACCCTGACAAAGCCAATATTTGTATCTCCAGCTTGGATCTCTCATCTGAATCCCGTACTTGAATATCATCTCACCACCTATTCAACATCTCAACTTGCTGGTTTAACAGGCCCCTCATATTTACGCGCCAAGACTGCTTTCTTTTTTTTTTTTTAAGATTTTATTTATTTATTCATGAGAGACAGACAGAGAGAGAGAGAGAGAGAGAGAGAGAGAGAGGTAGAGACACAGGCAGAGGGAAAAGCAGGCTCCATGCAGAGAGCCCGACGCGGGATTCGATCCTGGGTCTCCAGGATCACACCCCGGGCTGAAGGCAGCGCTAAACCGCTGAACCACCGGGGCTGCCCCCAAGACTGCTTTCTTCCCCACTTTCCACACCTACTCCTCATATTGTCTTCCATATTTGGGTTTCATCCTTAACTTTTCCCATGTCCAACCTAAAAGCCCATCTGTTAGCACTGTCCTCAAAACATCTCAAGAAGATGACCACTTCTCGTCATTCCCAGCACCAACACGTTAATCTGTCTTCCATTACATTTCACCAGGATTACTGTAATCATCACCCAGCTCATCTCCCTACTTCTTCTCTTGTCTCCTGTGATCTGTTCTTACCAGAGCTACCAGAGTGATCCATTCGAAGCTAACATTAGAGTATGTCTCTTTCTTAAGGCTTTCCACTGGCTATTCCATGTCACCCAGAGTAAAAGGTCAAATGCCACCTACCTACCAAACCCCATGCTCTACAACTCATCCTAACCTCCAGCCACTTCTTTGACTTCATCTCCTCCAGCTCTGACCCTCAAGCCACACTAGATGGTGATGGCCTTTATCATCATCAGCCATATGCACTCATATTTTTGTTACATAGTATGTGTTCATCCAACTCCTTGGAGTCCCCAGGAGGGCAGAGACTGTGCTCTGCTCTTTACTGTATCCCCAGCACCAATAACAGTACCTGGAACATAGCAGGTGCTCAATAAATTTTAGTTTGATGAACGAATGAATGAATGAGTGATGATTTTTTTTATCATTAATATATATATATATAGGCTCAAAACATAAAATCTATATCATACTATACATTAAAAAGTGGTACAATTGAATTTTATCTCTATCTGTCTCTTTTAACTATAAAGATTGTTACTGGTAAGAGCTACTCACTGGTGATCCTGGAGATCCTTCAGCACCAGGAGGGCCTGGGTGACCTTTCTCTCCAATCCACCCAGGGAGCCCCAAGTCTCCCTTACTACCCTGCCTTCCAGGAAGTCCTGGAGGGCCTGGTGGGCCCATGGGACCAGGCTCACAGGCACAGAGCCCCGCATTTCCTAGACAGAGGATAAAAGGCAGCTTTGTCATATTTCCTGCATAAAATCCCAAAAAGCCTTTACTAAATAAAACCAATAATGCAAATAAGAATAGAAGGGTCTCATGTACATAGTTTTTTATCACACACAACTATTAATGTGTGATTTGGGGCCTGGGGCACTGTGTAGGGGTACCTAGGCATGGTCTGTTGGGGGGCAGATATACCATTTCTAGACAAAGAGGATGTTTTGGGTCTTTAAAAAATCCATCTTAACAAACTCTAGGGGGAAAAGCTGACATGCAATTCTACCAAAGAAATTTTTAAAAATGAAACATCTTATTTTTAAAAGTATGAAAGTCTTTTATTTCTTTTCCTGAAGAAACAGGAAGAAAATTGGGTTGGAGCATAAACTCTAAACAAATAAATAAACAAAATAATATGTGAAAAAGGATTATTGACTGCATTGCATATTATAATTGATAATTCCCTACAATGCATTTTCTAACATTGGGACTTTTAATCTAAAAAATATGGCTTTAGGATAATCAAAATCAGCTGTGTTTATGGTCTCATACCTACCTATCCCAAATGGTCAAAAAGGCATGAAACAACTTTTAAGGTGGAGAAACATATGGCCAGAGGCATTTGATGAGTCTGGGAAATATGCACCCACAAAGAGAAAATGAAATAAAAGATCCATACTATCATATCTCTGCTTTTTCAAGGAATAAAAAGGATCTCATGAGAAGGATCTCATGAAAAGAAGTCACCACTCTGAGACAAATTTCCCAGCAGGGAAGTGTTTCCTTTAGACTCTCAGATACAAGGACTTGACTTTTGGTAAGTTCTAATCACCTCATAAGTACCGCATAATGAAGAGGAGTGCTCATAGGCGTATAACACATTGAAGTGAAAGGCCCCACTGCCCACTTCATAAATGCCCCCAAGCCCCCATGTGCTGCTGTCTCCTGGAAATTCCACCTTTGATGCATACTTGCCTTTTTCTCCTTTCGAGCCTCTTCTTCCTGGAGGACCCATTTTGCCTTTTATCCCTTGTGGTCCAGGATGCCCAACACTACAATATATAACTTCACAGTAGGGAGGGGGGAGATGAGAGAATCACAATTTTTGTGACTGTCTTCTACAGAACAAGTGCAAGTGTCTCCTGTACTTCCATTTTCCCCTCAAGCCCACCTTTTTTCCATTCCTTTCCTATGACTCTCTCTCTCTAAGAACATATATATACAAACAGACCATACAAGTGTCACAGCATGTTTCTGCTGCTACAACCACTGATAAAGCCATCCTACTCTCAACCCCAATTTAGAGGTTGCAGAGCAAGGCAACGGACAACAGAACTACCAAACCAAACCATCCAACCACACAAACAAAATAACTATATGGCAAGGATCTTTTGCTCCTCCAATTATGAATACTTACCAAATTAAGAAAGCATAAAGCATAGCTCATAAAAGCACAAATTCAGAGACATCTGATAAAAGGTGACATAAAACACATACAATAAATTCCTTATTCTCTCCAAATCCCAGTAAAATAGCAAGCAGTAAAGGAATATTATAAAAATGGGTAAGCCCACAGGACAATGAAAAACAGAAAGAGAACAACAGCAAAAAAAATTATGAAAGAACCTAACAGACTGTGAAAAGCTGAATTCTAAGCAGGCTGTGCAGAAAGGCAGCAAAGAACACAATTTGCATGGGAAATCTCTCCCAGAATTCAGGATTTTTTTTCTTTTTAAAGAGCGAGAAAGAGAGCAGGGGAGGGTGTGGCAGAGAGAGAGAGGGAGAGAGGATCTTAAGCAGGCTCCATGCCCTGCACAGAGCCTGACGCGGCTCGATCTCAGGACCTTGAGATCATTATCTGAGCTGAAATCAAGAGTAGGATGCTTAACTGACTGAGCCCCACCAGGCCTCCAGGAATTGGTACCTTGAAGTAGAATAACAGTAGTGCCCCAATCAGGATGACCGGTTAAAGAAACAGTTCAATCCTAAGATCTCCTTCTGGAAAATTACAACAGTAACTATGACCTCTCAGAATTGGAGGTAACAGACAATGTAGCAAGAAGAAAACTTTGAAATAAACTTTATAGTTTAAAAAGTAGATGAAGGAAGGCATTTCATTCTTAAAACATGAATAGACGGCTACAAAATAAAACAGTAAAAACAGAATAGCAACCACAATACCCTTAGAAATTAAAAAAATATATTATGAAAGCAGAAATTGAAAAATTCTGGAGCAGAGTTGTGAGATGGAGTTGGGGGAATCTACCAGAAAGTGTGAACAGAAAGATAAAAAGGTGAAGAAGAATAAAGATGAGAGAAAGAGACATGGACAGTGGATTCTCTAACAGGTAAATATAGAGAGTCCAGAAGGAGAAAACAGAGGAAAATGAAGGAGAAAGTATCTTCAGAGAAACATTTCAAGTAATTTTTCCAGAAATGGAGGATTTGTGTTGGCTTGAATGTGCCCACTGAGTGCCCACCAATAAATGCAAATGTGTTCACAGAGAGGCAAGCCTTTGTGAAATTTAAGGGTATTGGGGAAAAGAAGAAAAAGAGCTTATGGAGATAAGCTCTTAGAGCAGAGCTTTGCAGCTTTTAGAGTGTGGCTCCCACTCAGCAGGTGGTCTGTGTGTCTCCCTCTGTTCCTCCCCTTGCTCATGAGCGTGCTTTCTCTCTCAAATAAATAAATAAATAAATCTTTTTAAAAAGTGCAACCTGACCTGATCTGAACAGGTTAAAAAGCTCCAGGAGAGATTTATTCAAAGGGATAATATTGATAACATATTTAATGAGTTAGAATGGAGATTTATACAATCCTAGACAGTTTGAGGTTGAATTAGCAAGAAGTTATACTGAAAACCAAGCAAACACACAAAGAAAACAAGATAATTATTAACAAAATATTTTGCTAGAAAAGTAATAATGTATATTATTATATGGCTGAACTGATGAATAACTCTTATGTAAACATTCATTGTAAATAATGAATATTTAATCAAAATAAAGATAATAACTATAATGAATGGGTTTTGGGAGTGGAACATGTGCATATGTGCAGTGGGGTGGGATGGAAAGAGAGCTCATTTCATCTTCTATGGAGGGAAGTCAAAAGATGAGGCTCAAACTCAAGAATGAAAAAACAGTGGGGTGCCTGGGTGGCTCAGTCGGTTAAGGGACTCTTAACTTCAGCTCAGGTCATGGTCTCAGGGTCATGAGACTGAGCCCTGTGTCAGGTTCCACACTGGGTACAGGGTCTGCTTAGGACTCTCTGTCTCTCCCTTTAACCCCCCACCCCCTCATTCGCTCACTCTCTAAAAAAAAATAAAAAAGAATTAAGAAATAGCAATACAAGTACATTGCAGGTCACTAGAAAGGCAAATAGCAGAAAATCCAACTACTTGTGTGAAAATCTCCCCTGGGGAGGAAGGAGTAGAAGGATTGCCTGGTATGGCAAATCTTCACAACAGGCTTCATAGAACTGTTTGATTCTCAAGTCAAGTCCCTGTATAACTCTGATAAAAATTAAAACTACATGTAAAAAATAAAAATCATAGTAATTTACAAAATTCCATAATTCACACTTAAATTCTCAACCAAATATTTTCATATGCTTTAGCTGATGTGATATCCAAAATCAGTCTACATTTTTTGTATTATTGATAATACTAACTTGGCTCATGAAATATTCGATAATTAAAAAAAATGTTTAGAAAGTCACATTTTCCACATGACACTGCAATTATCACATGCAACATAAATGCCAATAAACATTAATAAAGAGCATTTTACCATCTGATCCTGGGGGTCCTTGCAGCCCTGGTGCTCCAGGCAATCCAGGAGGTCCTGGTTTCCCTGGTTTTCCTGGACTGAAATCCGCTCTCCCTGGGATACCAGCTGCCCCTGGAAATCCCGGATGACCAGGAAACCCTCTTGGTCCAGGGGGTCCCATCATGCCTCCAAGAGAAATTGAGAATGAAAACCACATATATATCTCTCAGAATAAACTTTCATTTAGAAGAAACAAAAATCAGTACATTCTTCCTTAGGCTGTAAATATTTTATTTTATTTTTTTTAAGATTTTATTTATTTATTCATGATAGACAGAGAGAGAGAGAGAGAGAGAGGCAGAGACACAGGCAGAGGGAGAAGCAGGCTCCATGCAGGGAGCCCGACGTGGGACTCGATCCCGGGTCTCCAGGATCCCACTCTGGGCCAAAGGCAGGCACCAAACCTCTGCGCCACCCAGGGATCCAGGCTGTAAATATTTTAAAAGAAAAAGAAATGTACTTCAAAATTAACTTAATAGCACAGCCATCAAAATACCTCACTTTCTTTGAAATTAGCACACAAATGGAAACCGGTTTGAGGAATCAGATTTTCTTACTTTTTCTCTATCATTTAGGGTTATGGGGGCGGGGGGGAATACATATTATTTGATTAAAAATATCATTTTCAATCTTTCCACTTTAATAATTTGGTTAATCTGAATGAATAAGTTAGCACATGTAGTGAATAAAAATATGGACTCTTAGGTCACCTATGTGAAACATAAAATACCAAATCTTTCATAGCAAGTCAGGTGGTGGGAAGGCCAAGAGGTGCTGGATTTGAACCTGACCTCTCTCTCTCCAGCCACATGTACTTAAAGTAAGCTACTGAACTTTTTAAATCATCTATATCTACCTCAGAAGCTTGTTATGAAGATTAAATAAAATAATTCATGCAAGGACCTTATGCAATATCTGGTCATTGCACATACTCAATGAATGCAGAGATAGATAGATGTTCAGTGTGTTGTGAGGTCGCAGTGAGTCAAAACTGAATCCTGCTTTCCCTTGACGCTCTCCTAGCAAGAGGTAACGTGTTCCTTTTCCCCTTGAGGGTGACAGCCTTTTGTGATTGTTTGGACTAATGAAGTACAGCAGGAGTGACGTTATAGATATAAGACCCTGGGAATAGGTCATTAAAGATGATTCAGCTTCTGCCTTGTGAGCTGAAATGCTTGGGATTGGAGTTCTGAGCCACCAGGGAAGCAATATCATGGCTCTGAAGCCACCATGTTACAAGGAAGCCTAAAGAATGACAGAGCCTGACAGAGAGGCCATGGGCCTATATGAAACATAGAAGACAGAGGTGCCCAGCCAGTCCTCATGTTCTGGTCTCAGCCGTTACATGGCTGCATCGTAGGAACATCTCTATCTAGAATTGCTCAGCTTAGCCCTTCCTGAACTCTTGAACCACAGAGTGAGGGGTAATATGCTTACCGTTGTTCTAAGCCAGTAAGTTTTGGGTGATTTGTTCAGCAATAGACAACTGAAACCTCGTCAGTAATCAGTAAGTAGCACGCTAGCTAAATTAACAGCGTTCGTTATTGTGTGCCTACGTGCTGGGGCTTCCCATATACTTCCAAATATCATGCTTACTCCTCCAACAATCTCACAAAGTTTATACCTTATAGATAAGGCACAGACAGTGTAAGCCGAATATGAGTAATAATAATAGCTAACATAGCTAATGGTATTCTAAGAATGGTATACATATAAGCTTTTTCACCCCTAACGAGAATTGCATTCTGAAAATGGGAAAACTGAAGCACAGAGAGGTTTAGTAAATGCCAAAGACCACACAGCTTGTATGTAGTAGAACCTGGAACATTTTTAGTCCACAGTGTGAATACATAACTATTTCCATATACTATATTAAGTGGCAGGACTGGGATTCAGTCACAGGTATCTAACTCTAAATCCCTGCTTATTGCATGGTAAATACTTTAGATGATTATAAAATAAGATATGTAAAATAAAGGCTATAGACTTTGGTGTACCTAAATGAAATGTGCTCCTGTGGATTTGGCTGGCATCTTGTCTTCGTGCCATTCCTAAGACCTGTTTCCAAACCTCTACAGTCATTGGATGGACCTCAATACCACCTGGTGTCTTGTCCCCATGCCATGGAAAATCCTCAACCACCTTCCAACGGGGAAAATGGGTTGTAGTGTATGGCATATAGCAGCCCTGACCACCCACGAAATCAATTAAGTTGTGGCCAGCATTAAACATTTTTTTTTGCAAAAGAAAAAAGTAGCATAGAAAACAGAGTACAAAAAAAAAAAAAAAGAAAACAGAGTGCATCATACACAAAAAGGCATTATTTTGTGAAATTCATGTTCCTTTTCTTTTTGTTTTTGAAATTTGTGTTTCAATCATATGTATATGTGGATACACATGTGTGTTCAATGCAATGCAAATGCAATATAATATAAAATATATATTTCATAATGGATTGTAGTCAAGATTTGAAAGCCACTGGGTTGGGCAGCCCGGGTTTAAGCTCAAAGGTTTAGTGCTGCCTTTAGCCCAGGGCCTGATCCTGGAGACCCAGGATTGAGTCCCACGTTGGGCTCCCTGCATGGAGCCTGCTTCTCCCTCTGCCTCTCTCCTTCTCCCTCTCTCTCTCTCTCTCTCTGTTTCTCATGAATGAATGAATGAATGATTAAATAAATAAACAAACAAATAAATAAATCTTAAAAAAAAAGAAAGCCACTGGGTTAATTCTTTTTAAAAATCTTGTGGAATGAAGAATCTTTCTGTTATATTTGCTATACTTGTCTGTTACATTTGTTATATTTGTTGTTTCTGTCATATTTTTTGTATTTTCAATCTGCTAGAGATATGTGTTGCTTGCTCACACTGAGTTTTTATTTCAATCTGCTGGAGCCACTATTTTATTATGAACAAGCTTCAAAAGGAGAAATCTAAGACCAGGGGCTAATGACTCCGGAGCAGCTGAGGACTCTCGACATGACTTATATAGTCCTGGGTCAGGTAAGCCAAGGCTACGGTATCTACAGATTAAATCAACCAAATGAAACAAAGCTTTGCCACCTTTGTGGTGGGTTATCAGATCCCACAAAGTGAAAGGCAAGATTTGTGAAATATTAAAGAATTTTGTAGTTAACAGATGAATCTCAGGAAACTTCTTACTCCTTCTCAGTAAATAGAACAAGAGATACAGATTGGATAAAATGGCATCTTTTCAAGACTCTCTCCCTTCATGTTAAATCAGTTCTCCTGAGTTCACGGAATGCAAATACCCTCTACACGTCTATTCCTAAGCTTACTTGGTCCTATTAACCAGCACAGCACTTGAAGGAGTTTAAAGTCCTCTATCAATAGGATTCTTTCCCAGGTTCTTCCTTAACTCTTACCATGGCTCTAAGGTGTTTTTGGTTGGTTGGTTGGTTGGTTTTTGGAAGGGATACAGATTTTTTTGGGGGGTGGGGTGGGGAATGAGGACTGTTGTTTTGGTTTTGGTTTTTAAACTAAGGCTGAGTCCCATTTTATTTTTTTAATTTTTTAAGTAATAACATTTTTAAATTCATGATTTGTATTTCCACCTTTTATGTAGAAGAGGAACTCAATTTTAATGAACAAAAGTTGACAGGGAGAGTCTTCCAAGAGGGTTGTAACACCTGAAAAAACACTCTACCCCTGGCACTGATTTCCAAATCTTCACTGCCTGTGACAATCATGTAGGATGCCCCTGAGGTAACACATATACCCCACCCCACCCCCTCAGATGCTGACTGAATATTTCTGAGGTGCAGCCGAAGAACCTGGATTTCTTCAAAGGAAGCCATGAATTGGTTTGAGTTCAGTGGTTCTGAAGCTCAGCTGTCCATTAGAAAAAAAAAAGGGGGGGGGTGCTTTTATAATAGCAGATGCCTAGGTCCACATCTCAGAAAGCCCAACATTCCTGGTCTAGGGAGCAGGATGGCCATTAGTTTTTCTGAAACACTCCTGGTTGATCTAGTATCAGCTAGAGGTGAGGGTGAGGCTGTCAGAAACCTCGCACACAAAAGCCAGTGGAGTGTCCTACCTGCACAGGCTTCCCCTGGTGGACCTGGGGGACCAGGGGAACCAGGTGGTCCAACGGACCCCATTTCTCCATAGCGGCCAGGGCGCCCGGGATCCCCTGGAGGGCCTGCCCAAAACAACAGCACATGTCAGTGTGATAAATGCATACATACATTTTAAAATTCACACACAATTACTTCTTGTGAGGCTTGGTGGAGCACCACTATGGGACCATTCTTGCAATTTCTCATCACATTTAAAAATGCAGTATCTTAGATTAGCACCCCTTCAGCTGCCCCTGCTCTGCAGACCCATGAACTTGGAGCAGCACTGTCTTTCTCAGTGATATGGGTCACTTTTTTCTGGAGGGCAGCATCTTGGTAGGTCTTAGTCAAATGGTTTAGCAATTAAAAAAAAAAAACGCTTTTGGAAAGGTGACATAATACACATTTCTGCATACTAAAATAACATTGGGAGTCTTTTGCCAATAGAGATGATTCAGATGCACCTGTCTACCTGCACTTATAAATTATATATCCTTTCTAAAATTAATATGTTTAGCATACCAAGTATGCAAACTGCACATATACTGGGCCAGACTCTCCTGGCAGGGCCACCCAAGTCCCATCTCCTAATAATTTATGGAGGAAGCAAACTGAACACAAACCTTTGAGTGGAACAGATGGAGTTACCAGAACACCCGGTGGTCCTGGGTACCCACGGTCTCCAGGATCCCCCTGAAATCATTCATTCATACACTTTTCTTAGAAACATTGTTTGTCATGTGGCGTGTAACTATCAGATGGCCCAAGAGTGTATTCATATAAGAAATGAAGATTACAGGATGAGTAGAAAAAGGAATGGTTCATGGAGTTCTGGGAATGACAAAGGAATCCGACACCCCTGCAGCCACCCCAACCTACCAGCAGAAGTAAATGACCACCTGGCAAAACTCTCACAAAAGAAAAAAATTACCCCCCCCCGAAAAAAAAACCTATTTCATGCCCATAGATTAGATACCTCTGAAACCATGAAGTTTCTTAGATGTACTCTGAGCATGGATGTCAAACTTAGCATCTAGGACAAGTTGTCTATTCACTTACAGAATCTGAATCTACATCTTATTTTAACAGCAAATATTGTCCTTCTCAACTATGTTCCCTTACTGCCACCATGGCTTGTCCCGAGCGCAAATGCAGGATGTGAGGGTACAGAGGTACAAAGGGAAGAAAAAAATACAGTAGCGAAAGCAGGGAGCACCCCCCTGCTCTCTCTGATTTTAGTCATGATACAAGGTGATCCCCACAGAATTTCTGAAACTTTCGTTATTATTCACCTTCAAAAGGTTGAATTCTTTCTCAAATGCAGAACATAATCGTTATGACATGCATTGACATAAAATATGCAAAATTAACTCTGTCTCGTCCAAAAGCTAAGTTTTTTTTAATGATTCTTTCAAGTGTTTTTTTAAAACGAATTAGGTAACATGAGGGACAGAGAATTTTATTTAGGCTGTACTCAAATACACCCGCTTTTTTACCTTTGGGCCAGCAAATCCAAATGATCCAGGATCTCCAAACAGACCTGGTTCCCCCTATAAATAACCACAAACATGACTTAAAAAAAAAAACTGGGTGACAAATTATCCCATTCTTGTTTCATTCATTTGAATGACACGTGCTCACTGAGATTCTGTGCAAAATCTCAGCACGCATTTGGGCTGTATCAGAGAATTTTGGTGTTAGTTTTTGTATCTACAGCTAGATCCTGTAATCTGTAAAATAAATGTGTATCCTTTTCCAATTAATGCATACTTTCATGCCCTGCCACTACTTTTGAATGACACTGAATTGCATTTATGAATAAATATGTACTTATCATCTCTTTAACTGTGTATATTTACCTTTAATCCTGGGAAACCTGGAGAGCCATAGGAACCCGGATCACCCTAATAAAATCACAAAGCATCAACACAAGGAGAATGAAATCAAAGTGCTTGAAACCAGTTCAATGCATTATTTTTCATCTTATGAAACTGCTTTATGGTTCTTTCATCTCATCTGCAAAGGTAGCTGAGTAAAAGGAAATACATATAAAGTAGATTCAGTCTCTTTATAACATTTGCTATTTTAACTGACCTTCACTTTTATTTTAAAAATTCATGTCCTTGCCACTGTTTCAAATTAAGAACATATTTTTGTTGTTGTTGCTCTTGGGTTTTAACTTATTTAGCCTGATGCTTGCACTGGGCTAAATATTTTTGGAACCATTGCATTATAATTTGTCTAGAGATTAATAGGTACTCTGTGCATTGTTAGCAAAAAAATAATTATCATGGAAGCCAATGTCACCCATTAGCTACTGAATCTGGAGCCATATAAACTCAGTGCCCTTGACCACAGGGGTTCTGGCCTCTAGAGTGACTCTATCAATGGTGACCCCATTAGTGGCATGTGTGGTGACGTCTGAGTCCTGATGTTATGTTTTTTTGTAGCTACTGCCCTGAGATCAGTACCCTCTTTTATCAATGAGGCTTAAATGACTAATTCCAAGCTGCTATCACACTGACACTGGGTCACTGTGGCAGGAAATGCCACAATCCTGTTACTTCCCACCAATTCTATCTTCTGCTTGCCCATTTTACCTAAATAACATCACCGGAAGGGATGTTTTGTTGGGACATGTAGCTATTACATAATTTTTGTCCAAAAAAAATATCGTTCTTATTTGAGAAAGTCTCTACTTTTAAGTTGTTAGAAATACTGATCTAATTTTTTAAGATATTATTTATTTATTCATGAGAGAGGCAGAGACATAGGCAGAGGGAGAAGCAGGCTCCTTGAGGGAAGTCCACTGTCAGACTCATTCCCTGGACCCCAGGATCATGACCTGAGCCAAAGGCAGACACTCAACTGCTGAGCCACCCAGGTGCCCCAATACTGATTTAGTTTTATAAAAATGTGAGAGAGGACAACCTCCAATACACTGATGTCAGGGACAGCATGAATGGCATGAGTGATCCTTACCCGAGGTCCTGAGAACCCAGGAATACCCTTCTCTCCTTTTGGTCCAATTCCAGGTTCTCCCTTAAAGAGATGACAACATTTAGAGGCATTCAAGCAACAATATTTCAGTGACATGGAATGCAAAACAAGACGAAATAAAAATTATTGCCAGCACCTTAAAGAAAACAACTACCTTAGAATAGATGCCCTATGGAATTATGATAAAATAGTGAAAACTTCTAGGAATATATGTTAGCATTAAATCAATGATAAAGACCATGCAAAAATAACTTTTTTAAACTAAGATATCCTATCCTATAAATTAAAAAAAAAAGGTATTTCAGTAAACTACCTTGGGTCCCGGTGGTCCTGGAGGTCCAATCATACCAGGCATTCCTTTTATACCCTAAAAATCATAATGAATATAATCTGGTTTATTCTTATTTAACATACTGAATTCTACATCTTTCAGACATTATCTCCTCAAGAAGCATTTTACTAATTTTAAAAATAAAGGATTACTCTTCAATTGTCGCTGGTTTGCGACAAAGGCGCAGGTGCACTTGTAAACCTGACACTATTCAGGCCAGCTCTGTGTGAGAGGTGTGGTGTCATGAGGTGTAGGGGGCGTGACCACCACAGAATCAGGGCAGCAGATCCAAGCTGGGAATGCAGTCATTGAGAAGAGTGGCTCATTTTGAGCAAATGAGTGAAATTTAATCTGGTAATTGAAAATTGACAACAGAATCTGCATGTGGCATCAGTAACATCCACACTACAGGCTGACAGAGGAAGTGGTCAATTCGCCAAGAGTCTGCCCAGTACTATGCACCTGCTACCTTTTCAGTTATCAAAACATCAAACCCCATATGTAATACCTTAAAGACAATGGGACTTCCTGTGGTCCTTTCAGCCCATTTATCAAAGACAGTATCAATAGGGCACTATATTCTGGAGGACATGTCACAATTTAGCAGCCCACAATAGGTCTGTGACTCAGCAACTGAATAAACCTGAGTACATGGATAATTTTCCTAAGCCTCATTTTTCAAGTCTGTACAATGAGGCTAATAACAGTAGCAGTCTGCTGAGGTTGCTTTGGGATTAATGCAGGGATATCTGTAGGTGCCCTGCACTTTGCTGGCACAGCTACATGTTCAGCAAATGTTGGCTACTACTACTTTATCAAGGCAGCATATAGATTGATAATTACCTTTTCTCCTTTATACAGACAGGAATCAGGTGGCTGTACCAGTAAGGTGGGTCCAGGAGAACCCTGCTGGCCAACCTCACCCTTTCAAAAAAAATTAAGATAGTAGGAATTTCATATTAACTTTATTTTGAAATAAAATTTGAAACAAAGATTTTCACCCACGTATTGTGATACAATGCATACAATCCTGCGTGGCATGGATTTAAAATATAAATCACGGCAAACATATCATGTATTGTTTTTCATAATACTTATCATTAAAAATAAATTTCAAAACCAAAAAAGTAATTCATAATCCTACCGTCAGAGATCTCTATCAAAACTTTGGTATGGTTCTTTGTGCTGTGTGTGCTTGTGTGCATAAACATACATGTACATATATACCCATATGTGTATGTGATCAAATGATGTACGAAATACAATTTAAAATATAATCAGAATATTATATAAAATATGTAAACAATTTAAAATACAGAGTATGGCTTATATTTTTATATTTTCTTAAAGTTTTAAAATAATTTTGTCTTTTATAGTACAAATTTTTGTGCATTTTCCAATCATACTAGAAATTTTTCAAAAACCTGATTTTTGGTGCCCTTGCAATAATCTATCATAAAAATGCACTATCATTTATTAAGACTTTCCACTCTGGTTAGATTTAGGTTCTTTTTTAAAGATTGATTGATTGATTGATTGATTGATTTTACAGAGAGAGACTGGGTGTGCACGCACTGGCACAAGCAGGTGCAGGGGGGAAAAGCAGAAGGAAAGGGAAAGCGAGAATCTCTACTACACTCCCTGCTGAGTGAGGGAGGAACTTGACAGAGGGCTTGATCTCACCACCCTGAGATCATGATCTGAGCCAAAATCAAGAGTCAGATGCTTAATTGACTGAGTCACCCAGGCACCCCTGATTTAGGTTACTTCTAATTTGTATTCAACAATATGTTTAAACTCTCTCTATAAAATAATTAGCCAAAAGTTATCATTTATGTTAATAGCAATGTTATTCTCTTGGGAGTAAAATACCCCGTGAATTGGGTTTGCCATAATATAAGCATAAATTCTCACCCTTAATTAGCAGATAATTGTTTTTTTTTTTTTTTTTTTTACTTTTCTCACTATTTCTAGTCTTCTGCACTTAGACACAGTTAAGAGCAGGTGACAGAGCAGGTCACCTATATTTGCAAACCAGGACCACCATTTTGGACAAGTTCCTTAAAATCTTTCCTAGCCTTTGTTTCCTTGATTCCTCTGAATCTCACTTTCCTTCTCCATGAAATGGGCATTATAAGCTGCCTACTTCAAAGTATTATTATTTGATTAACTAGATAATGCCCATAAAATGCTTAGTACTTACTACCTTAAGTGGAACAAAGATGATTCTCAAATATATCATTATTAAGTCATTAATGTTTTTTGGTAAGTGGGATTTGGGGCAGAAGAATACTATACACAAGCAAGTGAGTAACATGTATTGGTAAATACAACCATGCTTATTCTTGCAACTGTAATAAGCCTGAGCAAAACCCATAAAGGCTGACAAGCAAGGGAGTCTCTTCAAAATGTTGGTCATGCCGCTATTTTCTCACATTGAAAAAAGTACCATATATTCATTTTAATAAAAAGTACAAAGAACACGAATTACGAAGAACAAAATGTAAATGGTCCATGATCATATCATCTAAGAAAAATTAGAAACAACCATTTGGGATAGTGTTATGTGGGCAAACATGTTCTTGAACACCCAAGAGCTCTGTGTCAAAATTTCACAATGATGTTTTGATTTAGCAGACAATCCAAAAGAATTAGAATAAGCATATTTTGGATAATCTGAATGGCTATCTCATAGCCAAACATTTCCACAAGATTCTATGGCCTAAGTTTGCAACTGCATCTGATTGCACTGGTGCTGAGGTCCCTAAACTAGCAATGTCAGTCTCATTCCACAAGGTAGTGTTTCTTGAGCTGGGGTGCATGAGCTTCTGGGGCTTTGACACATTCTCTGGAAGTCCATGACTTTCCAAGTTTGAAAAACCGTGTTTTAGTATATTCCCTTTCACCCATTTCTCTAAGTTAGTGGTTTTTATGGAAAGAGTGTAAGCCATTGTACATACTACTACTCCCCACCCCCAGGGACATCTGGCAAGATCCTAACACATTTTAGTTTGTCACAACTGAGAGGGGAGTACTGTTACTAGTATCTAGTGGGTAGAAACCAGGGATGCACCTAACCATCCTACAATGCCCAAGACAGCCCTCACAACAAGGAAATAGTATTGAGGTTGCAAAATTCTGCTCTAAGTGTATATTTTAATGCCTTGTGGTTTTTTTTTTGTTTTTTGTTTTTTGTTTTTTGTTTTTTTTTTACAAAATTGAGCTTATACTTTTGTAACCTGTGCTTTCTGATCAACACGCTATCATGGGTATGTCTACACATCATGAAGTCTTCCAATATATTTTGGGCAATCGAGTCATTTTGTTTAATGGCTGTGCCATAACTGACCCAACCACACTGGAACTCCACGAGAATGGGGATCAGGTCTATCTTTCTACATCCCCACAGCCAGCACCAATCCTAGCCTGGCACAGTGTAGACATTCAGGATCTACTTACCCACAGTTGTTTGCATGAGCCACTTACCAACTGTTAGCCATTCAGATTGTTTGCAGATGAGTTGGCATCTTAAAATACCTTTTTAAAGCTTATCTTTGCTAAGTTTCCTGCCTCAGCAGAAAGGACTATGGGAGTGAGGGAGAGCAGGGAAGGATAAGTGTGAGAGGGGGAGGAAGTGAGAGATGGTGTTGCTAAATGCTTTTGGTTCCAGGAATTTATACTTTTATTTACATGTGGAGTTTAGGATTCTGAGGAAATTTGTGTAATTAAGCTAAGAAAATCAGTAATTAAACAAACCGTCACTCTAGATACACTAAATTATCAGAAATGTTCGATCTCTTTTTGCTGGGGTAAAATGTGTCCTATACATTCACTTGAATTTAGTGCTAAATTTTGTCAGAACTGTCATTTTACAGTCAAGGGTAATGGTGCCATAATAATTCAGGAAAAAAAATCCTCAGCCATAAAATTGGGCAGTGACTGGATAATGAACACAATTTAAGTGATAATCAGAACAGCCTCTGCCACCCGGGCAGCACACACATTTTAACATCTGCTCCTCCGTGCAAAAGGGGATTCTTACCGGGTCTCCCATTTGCCCCTTTACTCCCACACCAGGATTACCCTGGGAAAGAAAAGGGGAAAAAAAAGGTAATTGCTTTTGAATACTAAAAAGGTAATTACAAGCAAGTAGGACTTCTGGTTAAGCAATTAATTGAAGTTTATTGAGTATTTTGGGAAGTTTAATAAGGGAAAGACATAAATCAGACAGATCTCGGTGGTCACTCATGTCATTGCACACGGACAGTCTCGATTTGGTGTATGTTACTCATGACCACCCACCTTCAAGCCTGGTCTCCCAGGATGGCCCGGAGCACCCTACATCAATGGCAAAAATACACAAGTCAAGTGTCAGTTACAGGAATCACAATGTGTCAGCGCAGGTTGCCCTGGGTTCCTCTTTACAAAACCCTGAATTTTAAAACGTGCATGCTGGGCTTCCTCTCATGGCTGGGCTCCTTGTTTCCCCAGGCCTGTGCTTCAAGATAAACTCACACTGGTAATGGGAGGTGTATGTGAATTCATCACTGATAACCTCTCAAACAACCTACCCGTCCCCTCTACACAAGGCTGCAATTCCCTTTTTTCTTTCCTTTGTTTCTCTTTCTCTCTCTCTCTCTCTCTCTCTCTCTCTCTCTCTCTCTCTCTCTCTCTCTTTCTTTCTTTTTCTTAATTTAAACATCCAGGCCGGGTTTTGAGAGGATCGGAATGAGCAGGGCTATACTTACTGTTAACCCAGGCTCTCCTGGCTGTCCCCTTGGGCCTGCCGGTCCTCGTGCCCCCTTCGGTCCCTAAACATGAGAACCACCAGTACATCAGTTCCCAAAACTCAGAATCATCACTCACAGCAAGACCTACATGTAACCTTTAGTGGACAAAAACCTCCAAAGAAATCACAGTCCCAGAAACATCTGCCCTGTACCCAGAGCTGCGTACCATAAGGGCCCAAAGCTATATGACAGCAGCACTCTGGCAGGTGTGACCAACTCCTATATTAAGATTGAATTAAGACTTCTCAGTACATTAATCAATGTACTTGTTCACAAATAAATCTTGTAATAGCAAAAGTAGAGAACAAAGAAAGCTTGAGACCAGCTATCCCTACATTGCATAGATGTTATGACTTTGATATACATCAGGATGCTTTTTAAAAAATTCATATTAATTAATAATTAACATTAAACTATGAATGTATTTATACTATTTATCATATTTTTAAAACATGTCCTATCAGGTTAATGTGAATAGAAATGCCCCCACTTCAAGATTAAGGTGATGTAGCCACAATTTTCTTTCTTTTTATTTTTTTTTGCCACAATTTTCTATAACATGTATGTCGTAGCATAATTCCACACAAATTCACCAAGAGGGGTTACAGCTATACATTCCTAGAAGCTTAAAGAGAGGCTCTCTGCTCTCCCGCCAACCTGCCCACATCAAATGATTTGTGAGTGTGCAAGAAATTACTCTCCCAAGGAGGATGAATTGGTACTTATTTTAATGGCAACATGAAAGTATCTCATTGATTATATCGAACGGAGCTTCAGGGGTAGTGAGGAAAGTAATGTGGGAGAGTCATCCTGTCTACAGCCAGAAGTTACCAAGCAAAATTATAGGTTAATCAATTTGGAGGCAAAACTGCTTTCAATTTTAATCTTGTGAACATCGATTGATTAATTTCAAAGACTAACATAATCATTGCATTACAAATTTCAGGGCAAAAAAGAGGAGGCAAAAAATTAAATGCAATACACACTGATTCAGCAGTCAGAGTGGTATAAAGCAGTATCATTTCCACTCGATATGTATTATTTAGGTAGACTCGAGGGAGACTTATCATCCCAAATATTAAGTGACTATTTGTACCCAGGTAACGCCAAGTGATCATTAAAAGACAGAAGAGGAAGGTAAGCAGAAGTCTGCTGGGACCTGTGTGGCCACATAGGGGCTCATGCCTGATTTAACCCTCTGCTGTCACCACCTTGGAATTCTTAATGATTTTTGAACAAGGGATCTACACTACACTTCCACTTTGCACTGGATGGGTTCTGCAAATGATGCAGTCAGTCCTGCTAAGATGCAGACAGTGTGAACCACAGGCTGATGGAGGAGCAAAGACAAGCACAGAGCCTGATCAGGAGACTTACCGGCAAGCCAGGAGGTCCTGGGTCCCCCCTGTCACCCTGCAAGAGGAACGATGATGCATTGCTTTAGAAGAGCAACACCACTTCCCTAAAACACACATGATGTAAAAGAGGAATACACAGAGGAATTATTTGGACTGTCTGGGCAGGCTGTTCAGTTTTTTAGTGTTGACAACTGTGGAAGACTGTGTGGAGAGGACTTTCTGTGTCCATTCCTAACCGTGGAATCCTGCTTCTACTCAGCCAAAACCAGACAAAGATTGCTTGAGTCCTGATGACATGGCGTCGAGATGAGATTTTCATCTTTCCATTTACAATCTAAATTCTCAATCCATAGGTCCTCCCATTGCATCACAGCTTAACTGCCTCTGGTCTAACTGCCAGAACTTGCCTCCCTCAACAGATGCTTTGCTCCTTTTTTATCACCCTAGAGTAGATATAAAGGAAATTCTTGCACAAATTCTCTCATGCCTGCCTCTGTGTGCACCTATAGCTCAGTGGCTCTGCCCTGAGACTACATGCCTTAATGAATCAAAGAGTGTATATTCTCTTGAACATAGCTTCTTTTTTAATGTAAAATATAAAGTATACATAAGATAACAGCATTTTAGCCATTTTTAAATGTACAGTTCTGTGGCATGTAGTATGTCCACACTGTTGGGCAACCATCACCATCTTCCATCTCCAGAACGTTTTCATCTTCCCCAGTGTCAACTGTAGCCATTAAATACATTTCCCCTCCCTCTGGCTCCTAGCAAGCACCATTCCACTCTTGGTCTCTGTGGATCTCACTACTGTAAGAACCTCATATAAGTGAAATCATGTATTATCTGTCCTTTGTGGCTGGCTTATGTCACTTAGCATAATGACCTCAGGCTTCATCTGTGTTGTAGCAGGTGTCAGAATTCCTGTCCTTAGCAGGGCTCCACCACCGAACGACTGTTTTTTTTTTTTTTTTCAAAAAATAAAACACTTATCTTTCAAAGGGAAAAAAAAAGAATTCCTGTCCTTTGGAGGGCTGAATAATACTGTGTTATATGTATAGATCACATTCTGTTTATCCATTCACCCAGCAATAGACACTTGGGTTGCTTCCACCTTTTGTCTATCATGAATAATGCTACTAGGAACGTGGCGGTACAAATATCTGTTTGAGACCCTGCCTTCATTTCTTTCAGGTATATACCTGGAAATGGAATTGCTGGGTCATAAAGTGCTTCTACCTTTAATTTTTTTGAGGAGCCATGATACCATCATCCAGAGTAGCTGCACCATTTTACATTCCCACCAGCAATGCAGAAGAGCTCAGATTTCTCCCCATAACCATCAACACATATAATTTTCTGTTTTTTTAAATAATCCAAATGGCTGTGAAGTGCATATGGACTTTTAAAAGTATTGTTTCTTTAAAGTTATTGATGTGTAGACCTTTTTTTTTTTTTTTTTTTAGAGGAGAGGCAGAGAGAGCAGGAGAAAGAATTTTAAGTAAGGTTCAATCTCACAACTCTGAGATCATAACATGAGCCAAAATTGAGTCAGACACCTCACCAACTGAGCCACCCAGGTGCCCCCCTGCACGCCATTTTTATTAGGAATCTTCTGTTTCTCTTTAAGATGAGGAATTCCCAGGCAGCCCAGGTGGCTCAGTGGTTTAGCGCTGCTTTCAGCTCAGGGCATGATCCTGGAGACCCAGGATCGAGTCCCACGCCAGGCTCCCTGCATGGAGCCTGCTTGTCCCTCTGCCTGTGTTTTTGCCTCTCTCTCTGTCTCTGTGTCTCTCATGAATAAATAAATAAAATCTTAAAAAAAAAAGATGAGGAATTCTCTACATTCATTTCTCCTTCTATCCCACTTACTCTTTCTTGCACTATTGCAAAAAAGTATTCAGCATGACTAATATGGGTCAGAATGGCTAAAATTAACAGCTCAGGAAACAACATGTTGGTGAGGATGCAGAGAAAGGGGAACTCTCTTACACAGCTAATGGGAATGCAAACTGGTGTAGCCACTCTGGAAGACAATATGGATGTTCCTCAGAAAGTTAAAAATAGAACTACTCTATGACCCAGCAATTGTACTACTAGTCATTTATCCAAAGGATACAAACATAGTGATCTAAAGGGATACCTGCACCCCAATGTTTAGAGCAGCAAAGTCCACAACAGCCAAACTGTGGAACGAGCTCAGATGTCCATCAGCAGATGAATGGATAAAGAAGATGTGTATACATATGTATAATTACACACACACACACAAACACAGTGGAATATTACTCAGCCATCAAAAACATAAAATTTGCAACAATCTGGATGGAACTAGAGGGTACCATGCTAAGCAAAACAAGTCAATCAGAGAAAGACAAATATATTATTTCACTCATATGTGGACTTTAAGAAACAAAACTGATGAACCTAGGGGAAGGGAAGAAAAATAAAATAAGTTAAAAAACAGAGAGGGAGGCAAACCATAAGAGAATCTTAACTCTAGGAAACAAACTGAGGGTTGCTGGAGGGGAGGTGAGTAGGGGGAAGGCGTAACTGGGTAATGGGCGTTAAGGAGGGCACCTGATGTAATAAGCACTGGGTGTTATATGCAATTGATGAATCACTAAATTCTACCTCGGAAACTAAAAAAATACTTTGTTAACTAAATTGAATTTAAATTTAAAAAAAACCTATCATGACTACTACAGTACAGTGCATTAGAGTTGACAACGTGCTTCAATATAAATTACTACAGTGGATCACCAGCACTGAGAGGAAGCTAGATATTATTTTCATTTTCTTTCACAAATAAGGAAAATGAGGCTCAGAGAATTTGAGGGGGTTGCTCAAAGTCACAGCAGAAGGTAAGGGTCAATTTACTCCTCCCAATACACCATCCTGCTTCCTAGAATGACCTTGTTTTTGATGCTAAATTTGTTAACATATCATTTAAGCCTTTAACAAAAACATAGTTCCTGCTGTTTAACAAGTGTGGATAGGCTCTGTGTATACTGTGAGCTCACTACAGGAATCACTACTTAGGTGTGTCCATCCATGGTGGCACAAAAATTAGGGTCTAATAGAAGAAATTTAAGTTTTATCTAACTGTTACAGAATATTATTCCTCAAGAGAAATGACCATGTTTTGCAAATGTACCATATTTTTCCTTTTGATTTATATCTACTGATCTTCTGTTTATTCATGCTACTCATACTAGAGGTATAGGTGGTCATTTAAGAGTTTATTTATCAATGTTTGTATGTCATTGTACATAAAAACACAAAAGCATTTAATTTACCCGGGATATGCTATAAGGTTTCCACAATTTTCAAGTTCAATAGTGCTGATTCCTCTTATACTGGATGGCAAGTATTAGCATTACAACATTCTATCTACAAATAAACCCATGCTTCTCAACCGGGGTGATATTTCTTCCCAGGACGTATTTGGTAATACCTGGAGATATTATTTAGGTGGGGGGATGCTGCCGGCATCTAATGGGTAAAGGTCAGAGATTCTCTCCATCCTACAATGCACAGGGTCAGCTCCCACAACAAATGATTATCAGGCCCCAGATGCCAATAGTACCAAGATTGAGAAACCCTGAAATAAATGTATCTTTCACGCTTTGCAAGAACAGTTAGGAGATACTGGAATTTTACAGGCAGAGCAATTAAAGCCAAGTGTCTTCACACAAGAAGTATGGTGTCATCCAGAGAATCTGGGTAATGATAAAAAAAACGGTGTGCTCCAGGACATTTCAAAAGATTATATATATATATATATATATATATATATATTATATATATCCGTGTGTTCCCGAGATGGGTTTACCTATGTGGAAAAATATTTTTTTAAACCCACTATGATCATAAAGCTTACCTGAATACCTTTAATGGCACCTAAAATGAACACTGAATTTCCTTTTTCTCCCCTTTCACCAGGAAGGCCCTGAAAATAAAATATTCACTTAAGGTGGGGGGAAGAAAGCATATGATTATTTCAGTATTTCCTTTATTTCATGAAATATTATTAACGGTAAAATACCATTATAGTCATGTTTCACTAGTGGAGATTTCTTTATTCTCTTCATTATTGCTATCATCCTAAGGTTCTCATACATACCTATTCAATATTCAGTTAAGCCCTATTAATGAATCTCTAAAGACAGGGTATCTATTAATATATTTATATTATCCATAGATGTAATACATATATAATATATGCAGGTGATACATTATATAATAAAATGCATAGCTATTTACTAACTATTCATCAGGAAAATTGCACTTTTCCTCAAACATACAAATTCACATGTATTATTCTCACAGGTAAACAGTTTTGCAATTTTCAGTTAATAATTTATGCCCTAGAAATCATTTTTTAAAAACTGATTTTATTCATTTCATTTGTGTTCAAAATAGAGCCTCTGCACCCTTCGTAAGACTTTTAAAAACGTATCTTCTTTTTGGAAGGTTTTTGTAAGTAGCTGCAAGCTTACTTAAGAGTATTTTTACAAAGTGAATGAAATAATTCAATGTATTCTTTTTCCTCCAAAGTTTTCCTACTGAATATCTTAACATATCTTAACTTGGTTATCACATAACAATTTTATCTTCATGTATCAAGTTCCTGCAAAGGACACGCAGATTTCAAAGTTAATCCCTCCTGGAAAAGTCCTGACTGTGCTTCCAATGGGAGATATTTAAGGCTTTTATGGTAAGTCACAGCAACTGTTTTCCTTGAGAAATCAGATGCATCTACGCAGGCAGTCTTTTCTTCACACAGTTCCAATATGCATGAATTTTAGTTTCACAGTTAAGTGAAATAGCACCAGTCCTCCAACAAAATGGTTCAAAATTCAGTTACTACCTTATATTAACTGACTTCACTGCTAGCTCATTGGTATATATAAGTAACAGATGCGAATCATGATTACTAGTCCACAGTCACTCCTTTCCATCTAGTAACAATTGGTCACTGCACATCTGTGAGTCAGCAGGTGCATATGCATGCGCGCACACACACACACACACACCAGCCAAATGTGTAGTTATGTTCCTTCCTTATCTCCCAGTGATAAACCTAAATGACATTTCATGAAAATCAGACCCCATTCCAAGAAGCAATTGTCCATCAATGACGGAAGTAAGTCAGGGAATGAAAAATGATAAAGCTGGCAGTGAAATTCAGGCCCAGTGTAAGTGGAGTTAGAGAAGAAATAACTGAGCGATCGTGGAATGTTGAGACTCTGAGCCAGAAGGAGTCCTCCATGAAGACAAAGTGCCCAACACAAAAAAGGGAAGTGGCTGGGACCAAAAAAAAAAAAGGTGCCAGAGGACATGGCACCAGCATAAGACCCTCATTGTAAAGGGACTTTTAGAGATAGCTCACAGCACCAGATGCTGATCTGAACTCAGAAAAGAGTATGGCAATTCACCATAGCACAGAAAAATGTCTTCACTTCAGGTCTGGAAGTTACATGGCCAGAAGAAGGCATCTTCAAAACACTCTTGGGAAGTTTCTACAAAGACGTGAAACACTTCCATTCTCAATGAGTCTGTTTTAAATGACAAAGTACTAAATCAATGTTATTTTAAATTTTTTTCCCTATGTAGGGACAACTAACATTAAGTTTTAAATATTTTAACAAAACATAATAAAGGTCATGGAACAATAGTCATTTTTCCCATTAGCTGTTAAGGTTGCTTTGTGTGGTGTCAGCTTGCATGGTCATTCTTAATGCCTCATACTATGGGGCAAAGTGAGGACTGACTATAAGTGAGGTGGGTCAAGGGGGAGAAAGCTGCCTTGCAAAGGCATCATTATGACAAACGTCAGTTTGGTCACCACAACATGCTGTGGGAAAGCTAAAATCGAGAGCTCCTCCTCTTCTGAATGTTCAGAATATGAATATGACTTTAGCAAGAACTATTCTTTCCTCTATTCCCTTTCTCTCTGTTTTCTTTTTCCTCATATAAAGATTGGAGACAATTTTAAACAAAATACCTGAAAGCAATAAAGTTTTCTGAAGTGCTGGATATTGTCAACTGTTTCTGAACATCCATTCCAAATACCTTCTATTTTTCTATTGCCTTAGGGGGATGAGAAAGCTAAAACTACATTTCCCGGACCCCTTTGCAGATGAAATGTGACTTAGGGTCCACCTAGGAGATGTACTAGAAGTGAGGAAGACATCCTCTCCCCGGTCCTGTCGTTATAGCCAAGCAGGGAAGATCAGAAACCTGAGTTTGTTTGTTTTTTTTTTTTTAACAGTAATTTAAATTTTAGTCCAGCTATAATGCAGGTTATTCTGACTTTAAGGTAGCATCACATGACATACTTCTGAGTCCATTCCCGAGATATTCTCTCCGTGCAATCTCTGGCACTAGGGGGTCATCTGGGTTTGGATCACATAGCAGTGAACAAATGGATAAAAGAACTTTAGAAATAGTTAAAGCAGGAGACCACTGTGATCTTAGAATATTGAGACAAATGCTGCCGTTACTGTTAATATTTGGATGATAAATTCTTGTAAATGCAACCTTAGGTGGTTTGCTAGTATCTGGATATGGGGGTTGGAAGCAGTGGTTATGTGCAGAAGCTGCCTCCTGTTTCCTGGATCTCAGCTAAGTGTGACCCCTTGAAATCATAGTCCCACAGTGGACCCTGAATGATAAATAATCTACATTTTGCTTTCTGGCCTCTCTGCTCCTCCTCTTACTCTCTATTCTCTGTACAGCAGCCTAGAGTACCTTAATGGAACATCAATCAGATCATACAATTGCTTCCTTGCTTGTAGCCCTTCACTGCCTTCCCCTTTGGCGTGCAAGAGAAAATCCAGCCTCCTCCCCCAGTCTGCAAGGCCCAAGAGCTCTAGGTCCTGCATACTTCTCTGTCCTCATCCTCCAGACACCCTCATTCATTCACCATGCTCCCAGTACACCTGCACTAACTCTGTTTCTTGGCCACATGAAGCTTGTGCCCATTGGAGAGACCTTCACATAAGATTCCCTTTAGGTTGAACTGTGGGGATCTTACTGGGGGGCCTCCTGGGCCAGGAACTCCTCTTTCTCCTGGAAACCCTGGATCACCTCGTGAACCATTGTAGCCATGCATGCCAGGCTTGCCTCTGGATCCAGGAGGCCCTGGGTGGCCCTGTAAGAAACAAGCTTATAAGTGAGGGTGTTTTTGCAAGAATGCTCTAACACAAAGTTTATGTCATATGGGTACCCAAGTTATGGCAATTGGGACTCACGTGCTATTTAATTTGTGAGACTTCCTTCCCACCCACAAGTACTATGTAGCATAGTAAAGATGTAGAGATAAATTTTAATATAGCCCAATTGAAATTAGTTTGGAATATTCCAAGAAATTTGGGAGAGCATCTTCCTTAAAATCCTTAGAAAGACTCTAATGGATTATAGAGCCCCTGAAACACCTCTTCCTTCTTTCATTTGGTTTACATATTATAAATAAAAGTTTTGAGCTCCCTTCCACTGTTAAAACTAACCAGCAAGTAAAAACTTTCACTATGAGTACACATTTATTTCTAGAACATGGAAAGTAAATGTAGCTTATATTTTGGAATGTTTTTCTCTAATCTGTTTGAAAACCTTTCTTTTCAAGTAAAGTGTTTTGGTCTCAAAGTTATTATGCAAAATTGAAATGCAAATGCCCTTCCATGCACTACCAGGAGAAAATAAAGAAGAGTCTGCCAAATAAATATATATATAGAGAGAGAATATGTGATTTAAGGACTTCAATGAGGGCTTTTCCCCCTTTTTTTTTTCAGTTGTGTGCTCTTTTATTGGTTTAAATGCTGTATATACCTTATACGAATATGTTGGCAGTTACTATTATTTTTTTAAGATTTTATTATTTATTAGAGCAAGCACAGTAGGGGGAGGGAGAAGGAGAAGCAGACTCCCCACTGAGTGGAGAGCCTGATGAGCTTTTCCCTTTTTTAAAATAAATGGAGAAAATTAAAAGAGACTTACAGGTATGCCATCCAACCCTGGAAATCCAGGAACACCAGTTGGACCCTAAAATCCCAGAAAACAAGACAAAGATATAAAAGTTATTAAAGTATTGGATTAACAGATTGATTTACTTGAAAACATAAATAATGAGCCATTTTTAAAAAAATCTCTTAGCAGTCACTGTTACTTATTTTTATATTAATGAACTTTTTTAAAAAGATTTATTTATTTGAGAGAGAGAATGGTGGAGGGAGAGCAGAAGGAGAGGGAAAGAGAGAATCTCAAGCAGACTCCCTGCTGAGTGCAGAGCCTGATGTGGAACTCAATCTCATGACCCTGAGATGGTGACCTGAGCCAAAATCAAGAGTCTGATGCTTAGCCCACTGAGCCACCCAGGTGCTCCTTTTTTACATTAATGAACTGAAATGCTAAAATTTTAAAAAACCTTTGGAAAAAAAGAAAACTTTGTACTTTTCTTTTTGTACTTAGGAAGCCAATTTGGCAACATCAATTAAAAAAAAAAACATTTGATACCTTGTGAAATTCGACTTTTTAGCATCTGGGTATCCAAGAGAAATAAACTTTTAAATGTAAACACAGGTAATTTACAGGATTGTTGTTGCGCCCTAGCACAACACAAAGTTGGGACAGGATCTCAAATTTACATCAACATGGAATAAACTATAGTTTTATCTATATTACGGCATATTGTGCAGTATTTTTAAGAGAGTAAGTTTAATCTACATAAATTGATATGAAATGATCTCTAAGCCATCTGGTTGAGTAAAAAAAGAAAAGCTCAGCATGATAAATATATCATTTAGGTTTTTAGAAAGCCATGAAAGACTATAACCCTTCACTGGGTATACTCATGTATTTCAGTGCACAGAAAAGTCTAGAAGGGCATGCTCCTCTGGAAAAGAGTTAGGAAATGAGAGCTGATAAAGAGGAGTTTGGACTTAACTTTTTTGAGGTGGGTACTAGTAGGTACTAGACTACTTGTGATTATTTTAAAAATCTGGCATAGTAGTGCTGGTGAGTGGTTAGTAAGAACCACTTAAGAAGAGTCTTACCTTGTCACCTTTGTCACCTGCTGCTCCAGGAGGGCCACTGTCACCTCTCATCCCTTTCTCTCCTGGAATTCCTGTGGGTCCTGGCAGTCCCAGGGGTCCAATGGGACCCTGTGGCCCCGGCGGTCCTGGTTGACCCTAAAAAGGAAGATTTAAAAGGTTGAGTCTTAAGCGCTCTCTTCTAACACAAACATGCTCACTTGGGCTTACAGAAGACCGGAAAATTAGATGTGAGCAAATTCTAATAATAGAAGCACAAATGACCAATTAATTACAAAAATAAGAAACATCAATATTGCCTTTTTCAATCTGAATTTAAGCCATACAATAAATTTGAATTACTCCACATGTATACACACATGCACACACACACACACACACACACATGAACCAATTATGGTTCTCTTACTATTTTTGTTCCATCAATAACATTTATAACTCTTGACTATTTAGCAAAGCAAGGAACTTGCAAAACAAAGCAAGAAAAAAAATATCAAACTGTCACTACCATCATGTTAGTGACACAAATCAAGAGTGGAGAAACCTGCTTGCCAGATCTTCTTTAAAATTTCATATGGCTAATGGTTTTTCTGCCCTTTTAGTGGAAAACATTTCTTTTTAGCTGCTTTTACCTAATAATATCTACTTCTTAATTTGGAAGTAGACTCTCCACGTCAATTTATACTTATTCAATCTGACTTTCCAGGAATGAAAGGGTCACCTCTTATGTGCAGATGTTTCATGAGCTCAGTTCTCCTGAACCCACAGTGGGTATGTTTCCAGTACAAAGATGAGAAATTCTCTGCTCCCTTGCTGCCTGTCTTCTGTTGCATTTTAATGGGCTGATGTATCAAATGGACATTGAATCCTTGCCCCCTAGAAGCAGCTTTGAGTCTCACAGCTCTCTCTATTCTGGAGTAGGGAAGACTGGCCTCAGAGGAGCACGCTTCCTGCCCCCCCCCCCAATATTGCTCCCTTCTCTGTCCCAGGCTTCCTTTTCTCTTTCCAGCCTGCACACTTATGGTTCCCTCTAGGACTGAAACCTTAAATATCGTGGGTTCAAACAGCACCACTGCTATGTTTCAGCACAGACCTCTCTAACTTCCAGATGGCTCAGCATATCCAGCTGCCTCCCTGACATCTTCTTGGATAGAATGGTACCTCCAACTTAAAAAAGAGATCCAAAATGGAATTCTTGCTTTTCCTCTGAAATTCAATCCTCTGTCAACCTTCCTGAACTACCCATTTGATCCAGCCAGAATCCTAGAGTCATCTTGACATTCTTCTTTCTGCTACACCTACACCAGGTCTATGATCAATTGCTACCATTTCCTTTCCGAAACAGATGTGGAGCTCATCCCTTCCTGGTCCCCCTTGCTGGCACCCTGGTGAAGGCCAACATCAAAAGACTATGGGTTTTGGCTTCTAAATTGCTCTCTAGCTTTCTTTTCCCCTCCCCCAGGCCTCTCTCCACCGAACAGCCCAAGGGAGGTTGAAATCAGATCGTGGCATTTTCCCACTTTTTAAAACCCTCCCTTGCCTTCCCACTGCATGCAAAGTAAACCCCAAGTTCCCCCTAGACCTTCTAGGGTGTGGCCCTGGATTCCCTTGTACCCCATACTTACTACTTCCCAGACAACCCTGGCAGCTCTTCCTTGGTTTGGCTTTCCCACTGGACTGCTCCTGCTCTAGATTTCCACATGACCTAGATCCCCTACACTAACACCTGCTTAGTTGCCTTCCTTGACCCCTGGCCTCTTCCCCGTCCCGCATGAAATAGGATCTCCAATCCACTGCCACCCTCACTAGCCCCTCCATTTCATTATTGGCATCTTAGCGTTTCCTAATTTTCAATTATTTGCTCATCAGTCTACTGTTTGCCTCTCCAGTTAGATATTAGTGCTATGAGGGCAAGGATATTTGCTCACCAGTTAAGTCTTCCATCTACCATCTACCCCAGATTTTGGTTCAGGAAATCTCTTCTGAATGAATACAGGATAGGTGGACTGGCAGTGAGTATGCTTCCAGGCTTGTGGTCCAGTCTGACCACCCAGTCACTTTGGATACTCTCTACCTGGGCCCTGTATGGTTAGGAAAGTGATTTCTGAACTTTGAAAAAAAGCAGTTTTATCAACTCTTATCTTTATGACATATAAAATGTTATTATACATTTAAACTTATTTACTTTTATTTACTTTTAATATATATTCTTGTTTATTTATTTTTTATTGGAGTTCAATTTGCCAACATATAGCATAATTGATTTTATTGGAGTTCAATTTGCCAACATATAGCATAATTGAACTCCAATAAAAAATAAACAAACAAGAATATATATATTATAAATATAAATAAATAAATAAATAAATAAATATAAATGGAACAGGAGGCCAGTCAGGAGATGGGCCTCATGTACATCCTCGCTGGTAGGAGAACCATGAATGTCTGAACTGGGCCAAACTGCAAATATTCTGGGGACTCGGCCCAAACACCTGGAATTTGCTAACTTGCTATAGTAAGACATTTTGCTTAGTGATAGCCTTCGATTATTAGGTATGTGCATCCAAGATTGGTTCTCTGCTACTAACACCAACTTTGTATCTGAATTCTTTGTAAATAAAGTATGTGAGAATTCCAAAATCAATAAATAAATAATTTACTTTTTTGTAAAATAAAATGTCTGGGAACAATGAGTCTATTTGAATGAACTTAAGAATCTAAAATCAGAGTTTCTAAATGATATATCTAGCCTCAGCATTCAATTTCTGTCTATAATCTGATGAGGGCAGGGAGTATATTAGATTCGTACGGCATTTTAAATAACACACTTTGTAATCTGAAGACAACACCTTTACATCAGGTAAAAAGAAACTTTGTAATGAGAAGTTTACGAGAAGGATTTCACCAATGCAAGGTGAGTTGGCTGCCCATCACCATGCACTGCGGCGTCTAAGGTGTTCAGCTGTGTTGTCTAACACATTTCGGAGCCCATGCTATATTTTATTAGTTTGAAAGCACTCTTAGTATTCACTTGAAGTCAGGATGTCCACCTGCAAATTTTTTTGCTTCTTAAAATCTTTCCGAAGATTTAAGAAAAATCACGTTGTATTCCTTTGTCCCACCAAACAACCTGCTCGTGCATTCAATGAGCAAGTGAGTTTCAGAGAGAGAAAAAGCTGAATGGATTTTACAAGATACCTGATCAGATCAGATGTCAAACTTCTGGGCGATTCTGAATTATTGAGCCTCAATTCCAAGAATATAGGGTTGCCCCTGTGGTGTGCATGGACGAGGGGGAAATATTTTTTGGAGAGCCTCATCTATATAAAAATTTGAGTCACCTGAAATCAGTGTGTCAGGACTATTCTAGTGACTTAATCTCCTATGATCCCATGAATGAAATTCCACAAGCCAGCAAGTGGGAGTGTTCTGTTAGGCGGCCGCCCTCCAGAAACCAGGGCCCAGCCATGGGGTTCCAGACCAGTCCATAAACATAAACCCATGAGGTGAACCCCATGAGGTGAACCCCACATAGGATGAAGGATCTAAGAGCACCCTGTTGAAAGAACTATCTAGGCCCAAGATGGAGCCCAGGTTCCACATGAGAAAACCAAAACTTCGATAACTTTTGGGTCCCTATACATGCTTGGGTTGACTGGACACATGGTATTTCCAGTCAGCCAATCCCCACCCTCAATACCAAGCCAACTCTGGGGTCTTTACTTCTTTCCCTGCTCCTTATTCACCTGTTCTCTTCCTTGTTCTTTATGCTTCATTCCATAAAAGCTTCCTGACTTCTGCCCCATTTTGCAGTTCCCTGGTTCCTTGAGAATTCAGGAAGTGTTAAATAAAGTGTGTATCAGCTAAAGTGCCCTCTTCAATCATTTTTAACAACTTTGAAGGGAAGACACAGATCTGGGACCCGGCCAGTCCCAGTCCACATGTGATGAGTCACCCTGGACAGTGCTGCTGACCTTGGCCAGGTCCAGACACAGGACAGATGGGTGGTGCCTTGCCTGGGGCTTGGGGCCTGGGGACATGAGCCCTATGTACCCTCATCTAAAGACAGTAATGCAGGGGATCCCTGGGTGGCGCAGCGGTTTAGTGTCTGCCTTTGGCCCAGGGCGCAATCCTGAAGACCCAGGATCGAATCCCACATCAGGCTCCCGGTGCATGGAGCCTGCTTCTCCCTCTGCCTATGTCTCTGCCTCTCTCTCTCTCTCTCTCTCTCTCTCTCTCTGTGTGTGTGTGTGTGACTATCATAAATAAATAAAAATTAAAAAAAATAAAGACAGTAATGCCAGAATATTCACAACATTATTTGTAATATCAAGAAAAACTGGAAATCCTTTAAAATTCTGCCCAAATGAAATTAATAGAAGAGATTATGGTACCTTCATACAATGGAACACACACAGCCTGTCTTAGCCTGGGTGCCCCAGTGCAAAGCATGGGACAAGGAGTTGATGCAAACCATTTGTTGGAGATTCAAAGGAGATAGGGTGGGACACCTGGGTGGCTCAGTGGTTGGGCGTCTGCCTTCGGCTCAGGTCATGATCCTGGGGTCCTGGGATCGAGTCCCGCAGCGGGCTCCCTGCAGGGAGCCTGCTTCTCCCTCTGCCTGTGTCTCTGCCTCTCTCTGTGTGTCACTCATGAACAAGTAAATAAAATCTTTAAAAAAAAAAAAAAAGGGAAGTGATCCCACCCAAGAGCCAGGGAGCTGCAGTGTTTACCTCGCTGGAGGACCACGGTGGTGGGTGGGGAGTGCCTGCTGCCAAGCCCACAACTGGGACCCTTACAGAGCCCACAGAGAGATGCAGAGACTGTCAGCTAGAGACCCCCCAGGGTGGAGCAGAGAAGTAACAGGCCGGAGGGAAACGTGGAAGGCCTGGACATTAAAGGGAGCAAGCAGGCAGGGCTTTCTGAGCTGACATGGATCACCCTCATGATGCTCACGAAAAAGACAGTGACTGACCATCCAGGCTGTCCGGTCAGCCCCCTGCGTTTGAAGGCCAGGCCCACACTAGCTGTGGGACCTCGGGCACATTTCTTATCCTCTCCGTTCCTCAGCTTCTTTCTCTGTCAATAAAAAGAATAACATATGGCAGATGCTTATGCCTGGCACAACAATGCTAACT